ATTACGTTGAGTTCATGCTGTCATAAACTATTAAGCATTCTCTGGTAGAGGGTTTGATTTTGTATTCCTGTTGACATGACAAAATCCGTAAGTGGACCTACTTGGGGTTTATTTGGAGTTATTGAAGTTGTGATGGTTCATACTAACACTCTAAACCTACCAAGGACTGACTCAATAACCTACCAAGGACAGACGCACTCGATAGCACCAAAAGCTCTTTTTAAGTGAGAGCAAAAGCTCTTTTTAAGTGAGAGGCGTAATTCTTCTATAACTTAGTTGTGGGCCTTATGGCTGCTGCATCACATCACTTATAATTTATTTGTTTCTCCATTGATTAGTACCTCACCCTGTTTCTGCTTTTCAGTGGCTTGCTAAAAATATCAATAAGAAAGTGGAAAAGTCAACTATGCTGAATGGACTTGGGTTTGTAGGTACCACTATTGTTTGGTTATTACTTAGTAATCTCTGCCCTTTCTATATTTGTAGTTGGTACTGTTTGGCTATTACTTAGTAATCTCTGCCCTTTCTGTATAGATGAGGGTTCTACAGGCCTGACAAGCAATTTAGCAGTGTCTTCAAAAGTAGTTTATCCAGATACTAACCAAATGGTTATCTATGATCCACGGCAAAAACCTGGTAGGCAATTCATTTGTCTGCTTAGTTACTATATAACAGCGTTTTACCTGCTTTATATGTTTAAGCAGTATGCTTTGATATTGCCATCAGGAGTCTATAATTTTTAATTGGTATTTAGTGAGCCTGATTAATATCATGCAATACATAAAATAACAGTAAAGTACACTTCAAAGAAACAGAAAACTGGTTTGGTGAAAGAAAAAAATTTGGTCTTGAGCTTTAAATTTCAGTAACTTGAACGTGTATAATAGAGATAGATCAAAAGTGGGTGAGTCTTCAGCAGTTAAATGGGATGTATTTAGGACCTTGTAATTTTTTGTTTCTTACGCTATCTGTTGATTCTGTGAATTAGAAATATTTCTTCAAGAGGTTTATGGTAATTGTTTCCTGATGTGGACTACATCTTTAAATTCCTTGGATATGACTGTCTGTGGTGATATGCTGGAATTGGTTTGGTAATAAACACAAGTCGTCAAACATTTTGAAGAAGAAGATCTATTATCACATTTAAGTTGAAGCTTTTAACTTATTAACTCCACTAAACATAAAATAAAATAATGCCTCATGGTGCTTCGCAGTTACGGTGGTTCTTTGAACAGTTCGGATAGAGAGACAAATAACAAATTTTGGATAAGAGGAACAAAGCGGATATGTTATTGGAGGGGATAGATTTTTGCTGTCTTTATGGGCATCAATGTCAAAGAATTTTAGGGATTTTTCTCTTAGTTTAATTCAACTTGATGAGATGGGGTATGATCAAATAAGTCTGTTTATTTCAAATATACTGTGAATAGTTTTAATATTTTAAATGATTCATTTTCTTTAACCTCTTCAAAACAATGAAGTTTCAAGAATGTCTAATTCTATATTGTAATATATCATAGATGTGATTGTACCATGCTTTTTTGGATTTATGTAGCTTAAGTTCAGTGATTGAACTTTATCTGTTAGTCTTTTCTTTTCTTAATTTTCTTTTACTGTAGGTGCTGGGAATTTTCAGACCACAACAGCAGCTGGAGTTCCCACTGCTTCTAAATCCTTGTCAAATCCCGTGATTGCAGCAGTAGGTGGTCAAACAATGAGTGCGTTTGATGAAATATTAGAAGCAACACCGCCTGCTTTGGTAGCCTTCTTATCAAATTTGCCAGTTGTTGAGGGTAAATTTTGAAATTTTCTTTCAGTTAAACGGAATGTGTTTTCCCCCTTCCGGTTTACAAACTTTGTAGTCTGTATATTTAAAGCCATTCTGACTTGAATTGTATGTCAGAATAGACCAGTAAAAATTTGGACTGAAATGTCATTCTTGTGACGGGTTTATAAATATTCATGCGTAGTGTGTTGCTACTTTCATAAAAATATGGGAAGACAATTGACAAATGTATGATTTGACCTGTGACAAATGTTCAGTAGATGCTTGATCCGGTGGGTATCTATTTATATAAAATTTGAGAATATTAGGATCCCATAGATTAAGGAATTGGTCTTGCTGAGGACTTCAAAATCGGAGGTGTCCTGATTTTAATTTTTTTTCTTTTCAAAAAGTTATGATCCGGATTGACTTTGTAATTTTTTTCTTCCATCTGTCAATTGCATGGTGAGTTTATTTGGTCTTATCATATTAAATCTGATGGTGTTTGTCATTGGTAATGAAGGTTTACCCTTATTTCATGACCCCTGATCCTTTATGCCGCTGTTGAATGGAAATTTTGTTTTTTTGAAATTTTCAGGTCCAATACCAGATGTTGATGTTGTGTTGTCAATTTGTTTGCAAAGTGATGTACCAGCACCACAGCCTGGGAAGTCAGGGGCTGCCCCAATGCCATTGCCATCTATACCTGCTCCTTCCACTAGTGACCTTTCTGTTTCAAGCAAGTCTCATCCCATCCCAAGTGCGTCATCTTTCAAGCCAGCCAGGGGGAAAAGGAAACAATTTGATAGTAAGTGGTTTCTTTCTTTGTGGTGATATATATTCTGGTATACTAGTTCAGAAAGATATTGTAGGAGTCCAAGTCACGTGCCTCTTGAAATTGAATTTTCCATCCATTAAGAGAGATGTCAAAGAAGAAAAATACTAACTGAAGTTCTTCTGAGATTGACATGATTAAATTTATGTTCAAAATGGACTAGACGCAGTGTAACTAGGGCACTCGTGTTCATTCTTTATTTTTTTATAGCCAAAGTTAGTAAGGGGGAGGGGGGTTTTCTCACACGCACTGCCAAGATTCCATGGGGCTTAGAACTTGCGAGTTAAGGCCATTTTCCACCAGGCTAGACCCCGTTGGCCTCATATTTGTGCTTTTTACAAACTAATTTTTGTTGGTAATGTTGGCCATTGATGGCTATATTGCAGATCGTCATTTTATCAAACTGCCATGCTAGTCAGTTTCTGATGGACGTGGCAGTGCCCTGGTTTCATGGATTTGACATTACTAAATCGTGGTAGCTGGGGCTGTGTATGCACTTGGCGTTGGTTTTGTGAATTTGTTAGGAAGGTCATAGTCTTTGCATGAGCCACAGAGACCCCTAATTGAAATCAATATTTTATGAGTACTGCTTTTATGAGTTGTGCTAAGCACAAATCAAGCTGTCTTAATGCGTCTGCGCATGCGCGCGTTCCTAAATGTTATATGGAGAGTATTGACAAGTTCTCAGTAACAAAATATCTTATGAATGGTAGGGCAAGAGGAGGAGGAAGCTTCGGTCCAGAGCCACCCACTCCCAAGAGATGCCTTCAGGATACGGCAGATCCAGAAGGCTCGCGGTACTGCATCTCAAACTGGATCAGCTTCATATGGAAGTGCAATTTCTGGAGATCTATCTGGCAGCACTGGCTAATTTACATCTTTTTTTCCTTCTTTCAGATTCCTTGTTTTTCCCCTTTCTGGATTATGTACAAGATTACATACATTTTAGTAAACTTCAATTGTATTACTTTTTATTTTTATATTAATTTCTTCTTTTTGTCCTTTTGTTGGAAGATGAGTGTTGAGTGGCCAAAAATAAAAACCCAACAGTGGACTGGATGTTTACTTTTTCAATAAAATCAAATTATAAAAATCAATGTTGGAAAAATCGTTAGGCGGTAAGCGGGCCTTTGGAAAAATCGTTAGGCGGTAAGCGGGCATCAGGTAGGCCCTTGCATATAAAGGAGTAATTGGGGTGTAAGCTGTTTTTTAAAATATTTTTTTATAATAATTATTTTGTTTTATAAATTATAAATTTATACCAAAAAGGGAGTGTAAGTGGATAAAATAAGAGAAAAAGGAGTAAAAAATGTGTATATGAGTCATATGATACATGCTTAGATATAATACCAATTTATAAATAAACCCAATCCTAGACATGTATTTATAAAAAAACCCAAGCACTATTTAAACATAGAAACACACCCAAAATCAACCCTTTTTGTTGTGTTTTATAAATGGGTTTTGAGTGTGTGTAATGATGAGTTTTGGGTGTGTTTATATGTTTAAATAGTACTTGGGTTTTTTTATAATTTCAACCCCCTTTTTTTTTTTTTTTGTGTTTTTTTTTTTTTTTTTTTTTTTTTTTTTTTTTTTTCTGCATTTAGTAGTAGAAAATCAGGGTTTAGGGTTTAGCTGAAAATCACCTTCCTAAATATAATATATGCTTAAACTGTATAGCCGCGCGCGCTATACGGTTTTCGACACGTGGCAACTTAGACGCAGAGGGGGTGGTCCTTTTCCATAAACAGTATCGCCAGGCGGCCATATAAAAAATAGTATAGCCGAGTGGCTATACTATTTTTTAAACGTGGCAAAGCGGGCGCAGGGTGGTCCCTTTTTTATCATAAATCGTACAGCCATACGGCCATACCGGGGATTTTTTTATAAATAAAAGGGTATAGAGGGGAGGATATACTACCTTTTTTATTAACACGTGGCAAAAAGGGCGCCAGCGACGGCTGTCCTCTTTTTTAATGAATAGTAGAGCCGTACGGCTATACCGGATTTTTAAAATAATAAAGTAGTATAGACGCACGGCTATACGATTACACGTGGCGAAGCAACAGGTAGATAGTATAGCCGACCAGCTATACTAAGTGGTTTAAAAAAATATCTATAAAAAGAGTATGGTCACGCGTCTATACTATGGTTTTGGTTAAAAAAAAATAGTATAGCCGTGTGGCGATACGGTTGATATTTTAAAAAAAATATAGTATAGCCGCCCGGCGTTATGGGGGTCCTTTTTTTTATAAATAGTATAGCCGTTCGGCTATACACGTTACATAAGACACACTGATCTTCTTTCAAATGGCTTAATCCTGCGTACCGGACACACCAAATTGCTCTCAACCTCTGTTAAATTCTTGGAGATTCTATTTTTTTTAATTCTACTGGATGATGCAGTCTTTGCTCTGCATAGCAGCTGAAGATGAAGCATTTTTGGCTTTTGATCGAGAGATGGATGCTTTCTCAATTCTTATCGAAAGAAGGGTGTTTTTGGCCGATCTGGTGTCCAGAAGTGGAATACTCCGGCGGGGATACCACTGGCTGGAAGAAGCATACGTGAGTGGCAGACTGAACTGGATGCTATTGCCGAAGAAGTCAAAGCGGAGCTAATTTCAAGAGATATAGGTTGCCGTTTGGCTCAAGTTTTGGAGGCAGTGAATGTTGTTCTTTTTGAGTGAAGAGGCTTCAGGAGGTCACCTGTCGTTTGAGATGCAAAGTATTCATACTTGCACTTGGTTCTAAGTTCTGGATGTGGAATTGGTGACATTCGACTCTTGCTTCCTTTATACATAGTTAAAGGCACATTTCTTTCTGATCATAAATTTAGGGGACTTTGGAAGAATTTTTTGCTCTGATATAATTCTGTGCATATTTTGAGGTCGCATGCTGACTGAAAATATGTTTCCATGTTGACAGCAATTTTGCTTAGCATTATATACACTGAGGTTTTCGGAAGACTTAGTCTGAACATTGTGGGATCTCGAGTTGGGGAAGAAATTTTGATCTGGCCCCAAACGAGTAATCTGGAGGTGTATTATTATTACTATTATTTTGTAATATCTTTTACTTACTAAACCATCAAAAATTCACAAAGCAGTACAACACCAACAGTTGGGGTACTAATTCTATGCACACTACATGTAGTTCTAAGTTTGTAACATTTGGTAACTAAGTCTGCCTTTTTATGTTTTTCGGTTTTAATCAGCATAAGTTGTGTTTCTGCCGGTAGGGTTAATATAGCAGCTCGAGTCTGATTTCGTATGTTCATACCGTGGAAGGATAAGCTAAGCTTTCTTTGGCGTTCAGTTCATTCTAATTTGTTTGACATTTCCTGGATATAATAAGTTTCAGAAGGGCTTTTATGAAATTAGAGAAGCTTATAAAGTATCCCATGTATGTTAATATTTTGGCAGAGGTTATTTCTGGTGTTGGGTGTAGTGTCTACTAAGGATGTCTGCGGATTAAGAAATGACTCAGACACCAAGACTAGGCCGCTTATAGATAAATATGCAATTTAAGATGGAATTAGTGTATGTTTTCTGTAGTTTACGGAGTTCGAACCAGGGGCAGAGCTATTTAATTCTGTTCTCATTTTACAAGAGAAGTACTTGATACAATGACCGCAGTCTGCATTTCCAAACATTGTAATAATCAGGTGTTGAATATTACTCTGACTTCTGAAGTGCTTGATAGCTAAACTAAGTGCCAAGTGATTGCTTAGTTGTGCTAAGTATTTCCATTATGTATTATCTCTCAATTAGTTTCTTCCATTTTGAACGTATTGAAGCCAGACTCCTTTACAGCCTGACCATCATGGCTTCGGAAAGATTGCTGATTTTGCAACCACATAATTGGCTTCGAGGAGAGACCATGACATGATGTTATACTACAACAGGTATGTAATGTGCAATGTTGGTACCTTTTCCCCAAAACGTATCTAAATTTAATTGGCTGATCCTGTTGTTAATGGTGAATGCCAGGGACTAGCATTTGCATGGCTTTTGCCCCAGAAGAGGAGGCAAAAGTTCTAGAACCATTTCTTGAGAAATTGCATCTGCTGCGGCTTGAACCATCGTGGAAACCTTTACATCACTCAAGTAAATTTAAAGTCTCTTAGCTTTATGTGTACATAACCAGCCATCTGTGCCTCAATGGTTTACACAGATATCAGTTGCATTTGCTTCTGTGATTTGAGAATTCTTGCCCTCTCCCATGTTTAATAGCATGCACGGATTTGAAGAGACTGCTATGCTGCATTGTTGCCATGCGAGCACCATTAACGATTTCTTCATAAGAACTGCTGAAATTAGGCAAAGTGAAGCAAAAAACATGAAGCTTAGGGTTAAGTGAGAAAATGACTTGGGAGTCTTAAGTGAGTTATGGGTCCTAATTTGAAAGAACTGAGCCTAATTAACCTCTCTCTTAAAAAAGTTTCAAAATGGTTAAAATCCAGCCATCTCCCACCCCAACCCAACAATATCTTATTCCTGGGCAATGGGCAATGACCAAGACTGGAAAATTGACAAAGTAATTTCTGACCCAAAAAAATAAATTGACAACGGAATTTTGGATCCAGGTATACCTGGGCACAGGTCATTTCGGAATGGTATAGGGCTCTTTCGTTAATCGTATCGAAGTTTTCGGTAGGCCAATTTTTCCTCTGTTAACCGAATATTATGACCTTTAATCATTCGAATCGGTTAACCTGATATTCGGTTCAAGTTGGTTCGATAGGTTGTTAGTACTGTTTAACCAAAACATACTAATTATGTAATAAAAATACAATTTATAATCATTTCACAATACATAAGTTCGTGAACAAGTACTCCAAATTATGGGTTATTTACTCAAATGGTCCTCAGACTTATACGTGAGTTACATTGTGGTCCCTCAACTAAATTATTAGTTCAAATGGTCCATCAACTTTTTATTATTAGGTGAATTGGTCATACTATTACACTCCGTCATTGCCGTTAATTTGAGAGTTAAAATCGTCAATTTATATTAAAATATTAATTAATTAATTAAAACATAGGTAGAGGGAGAACGCAAAGGGGATGGGCAGTAGGTGTGGGCTGGGGCTGGTGGTGGGGTGGCTATGCCTTCTTCTCTTCTCTCATCATTGAGAAAACATAAATTTCTTCATTCTCTTAATGAAGAATAGATTTTTAAAAAACATGTGATAATAAAAACAAGAAATATCCCTGTAAACACGAGTTTCCTGCGACAAATGAAACAAGAACACGTGTACAAAATAATATTTGTATTAATGAAATTTAGGGTTACAATCTCTGTATTGAATCATTTGATTCGATCTCCAAAGTGTATAAAGAAAATTTGTGTTTGATGCAAGAGTCGTAGAGACTTAATTTTGATCAAACGGGTAGCACAATGCTTGTTTGGTGTTTGGGATTTTCTAGGGTGGAGGAACCGGCACGTATTTGTTGTGCATGGTGGCTCTTCCAAAGTGTAGGTGAAGAATGCAGAGAATTTTCTATTTCTTCTGAATGCTAGGTTTTTCTGCCCCTTCTTTCGTCTTGAGGCCTCCTATTTATAGGCTCTTGTAGGATGCTTAACCTAAATAACTTTCCTTATTTAAAACATTGTTTTGTAGGATTTTGATTTGATTTAAATCAATTCCCATAATCTGACAATTTAACCAGATTATCTTCAATTGATTGACCTGATTAATATTTGATTTAAATCAAAGTCAATAACAGAAGATTCTTTCCCTTAATTTTGTCTTCATCTTGAACCGTTTGATGCACTCCGTCGGATGTCGCCACGTGTCACTTTTTGACAACTAATCCGATTTTGATGAGTCATACGCCACATAGGCGAATTATGGGGCCCACAATTTTATTCACCAAACCCTAATTATTTTCTTATTTAGTGGAATTTAATTCGCCAAAATTTCTTTGTCTACAATCCCATTCATCTCATCCCTCATCTATCCCACAGAGCAACAAGAGAAACTACTTTTTTCTTTTTCCATTTTTGCAACTCCATTGAGAGGAATCCAATACCATAAATTGATCAAGGCACCCATGTGCCTTCTCCCCTTAATCCTTGGCTCCACCATTGTAACCTGTCGCAGAGCTCAATGCGTGCCGCCACCTTAGCCATCGAAGTCGGAGAAGTCATGTCTGAACAAAGTCGGCGTCGCTGTCATCTCTCCCGGGCTGATTGGTTGTCTTCCGGCACCATTGTCATTTGGTTGTGGAGGGAGGGAAGAAGAAGAAGAATAAGGGAAATTGAAAACTCCATTATGAAAAAGTCGCATTTACCCTTCCTATTCTCCTCATGTGCAGTTCACATAACTTTAATTCACAAAAAATTGTAACGGTGGACCAATTCACCAAATAATGAAGAATTGGTGGACCATTTGAACGAATAATTTAGTGGAGGGACCAAAATGTAACTTGAGTATAAATTTGAGGACCATTTGAGTAAATAAACCCCAAATTATCTATGTAAAAGATTATAAATAAAAAAATTTAAAAAAAAACCAATAGTCTAATTAATCCAAATACGAAATCAAAGAACTTAGTTTAAAAAGTTACAAACGAACATGAAAAATACATAATAAAATTGCAAATAATGTTACAAAATAACATGAGATTTGTTTAAATGGAGATGACATGCAGTCTTTAAATGATACTATAAGAAAGAAGTACCATAATGGGAGTCACATTCGTAATCTAGCTTACAACATATGCACCAAGGTTCAAACCAACAACATAAACTAATTAAATTAAATAGAAACTAAAATAGAAAAAGTATGATCCTCTATAACAATTCTTTGGAGCAATTATGTTCAAAATCATTTCTATATCACTGAAACCCATGTGAGTATAAATTTTCTAAATAAAGCATATAAAAACACATTGCAAACATATAAACCATTTGTAAACATTAATTTTCTGCAACAAATGAGACAAGAACATGTGTACAAAATAATATTTGTATTGATTTATCAAGTGTGTATGTTACAATCTCTATGGGTATTCTTTCACAAAAATAAAAGAATTTCCTCTGATTCGATCTCCAAGAGTGTGTGCGGTTCGAGGGTGCCAAACACTTAATCTTGAATCGGAATTTGAGACTTCGTCGAGGGCCGTCACAGCTTGATCTCAAATATGTCAGGACCAGAAGTAGTGTCACGCAATGGATAGTCTTCGACTTTGGCTGTGGAGAAATCGACACGTGTTTGTTGTGCTTAGTGATTCTCCATGAGCTTGATGGAGAACTTGAGAGTCTAGGTGTTGCTTCGGGTAAAGAGCTCTTTGGTTTTACAAAGTGTGTGTGTCTCCCCCTCCAAAGGTCCTTTCTCACAAATATAAGCCTAGTATTTATAGGCAAAGAATTGAGTCTTGGTTTGGAATCCCCAATCTGAATCCCTTGATTTGTGGGATTGGTTTATGATTTGATTTAATTTGAGCTAATTGATTTAATTTAGCTCTTAATTAAGTCAAAATCCTTCATTTAGGGAATTTAACTCGTGATTTAGGAAGATGACCAAATAAGGATAATTTATTCCTTTTCGGCATATGATTTCATTTGATTGATGAAGATCTTAGATGCGAACATGTGCCATCTCTGGTGTACACCTTTGTCTGCATGAGTCATGTGTCACATGTATTTATGTGGAACCCACGAATTTTCCAGTTATCTTTAACTAGTCAAATTTGAATTTTGACTATTGACTGTAAATTAGTGAATTTTTATTTCACTAAAATTTCACGTCTACACCATCTACTAATAAGTTGACACGTATATTGGTATTTAAATAATAAAATAATTTTAATTATCGATTTGGTATGGAGTTTCATGGGGTTATGAATATTGTTACTCAGTCTATTAATCAAACCTTTCAGAAAGGATCAAATCGGAAGAAAAAAAAAAAAAAAAAAAAAAAAAAAAAAAAAAAACAAAACCAAACCAAACCAAACCAAAAAAAAAAACCAAATCAATTTGGTACAATGGGTACACCACAAATGTTTGGATGAGATGCCCACCCCTAGATCCAAGCATACTATTATCGTCTGAAAAAAAATAAATAAATTAACCAAGCATTTGAATAAGTACCGAGCTTACCGTACACGATTTTTTCTCTCCCCTAGAACGAGGAAGAGTTCGAGCATTTTAAGTGAGAGAATTTGGTAACAAGTTCGCTACATTTGAACTACGAAAAAGAAACATCCATCTTACAAGACTTCGCCGACATGGATAAATTATGCAAACCGAAACTGAATTTTCTCGCTTCCATTCCATCTACAATTTTATGATATAATAAGGCGATTCATTAATCTCGGCACTGTAATAATTAATATCCCCTTTATGGCGATTCACAAGCTACAGATAGTAAAAACGTTGCAGTTTCCACCCTGGTAAGAGGAAGTAAAACTTGGTTGCAACATGAATAGCAATACTTTGCTATCTCCGGTCAATAACGCTATGCCACGAGGAAAAGTTATCACACGTGTCATACCATTATTGGTTGGGAATAGCAAAACAGTATTATCTAGTTTCATGTCAGTGTTCCTCTGGTCGAGGATATGCCTTTATCGAAACTGAAGGCCATCCATTTCATGCTACACAGTGCAATATAAATTTCCAATGATATTTTCAACCCCAACTTTCTTAATACGAGGACTTGCTAGAAAATACCATTAACATGAAGTTAATAACACGTGAAGGGGGACGCTAGGGATGATTATCCCTGTATTGATAAAGGCAGCTAAATAAGGAAAGGCACTTACTAAGTTTGTGAAAGAGAAGCCAACGTAATGAAAAACTACAAGTGGAGTTGTCAATGACCTGAAACCTAGACCAAATAAAGGGCGCCATGCCCACCAATTGATTAGTCATCACTTCCCTATTATGTAAATAATCTTCAATCACAATATTGAAAGAAGAGGGGTGAATGAAGTGCGAACTCTGCCTTCTCTTGCAACATCATGTGTCCTCTCAGTTTGTCTTACCCTGTTTAAGAACCTGTACTGTAAAGCTTTGCAGCAACTAATGAATCGAAGGTATAGGCGTGGAGCGACCCATGATGATCTCAAAGATAGGCTTGTGTCCTCTCAGTTTCGTTCCTCATTTCCTTACAATGCAAAACCATCATGGAATAAGCCCATCTGGTACGGCCACATAAGCTAGACGAACTCTATTAGGTAAAGGTCTTGCAATAAGCCCCTCTGTAACCCAACCCATTGATTCTCCATCGTTTTTGGCATGGTTGAATTCCCTCTGCACATATTCTAGAGATATTTGCAGCCTTCCTCCCGGTTTGCAGTCAGCGGAAGTGCCTCTTGCTTCATATCCTGCATTTTTCTCCAACCAATACAGATAATTGACATGGAACAATGCTCTCAGCATGTCTTGTAGTGAAGATGTTTCTTTAAGCACTACCTGATACATGGCAATATATAAATTACAATTCAAAAAGATAGGTATATGTACAAATGTGTGTACATATGCAAGCATTCATTTATGCGTACAGGCAAGTATGAAGCATGCAAAATTTATGCGTATACAAAACAAAGAGTTGTATGATATCCTGATCTTGCTTTTATCTGTCTTATGTATCCACTTAGTTTATGTTTTCCATCCAAAAATATTCACTCCTCTCTTTCTCTCTCCTGCCCGGCCCCTTTTTAACTTGTAGTAGAGCATTCTCCATTGTTAAAATATCAAACCTTCCATAGACAGAAGTATAGGCTTGAATCATGTCAACAGTAGATGATTAAATAATGTCACAACTAGAAACTTAAGAAATTTAAATTCCCTATAAGTAATTAACTTGACTACACAAATTTCATAGGAAATATACAAATTCAAAAGAAAAAAAAAATTGACTATGAGATGATACAGAGATTGATACCAAAGGGATAATTTACTCACGCAAAATCTTCCCTTGTGCTCAGTAAAAATATAGCCTTCTTCCTTATATAGACTGAGCAGTGCAAGCACATCCTCCTTGCTGTTGACTAGATCACTGAGCTTGGATCCCAACTGCAGCCTCTGCTCGATTTCAACAGCAGCATCCTTCGCTTCCGAAGATAATACTGTTGATTGTACCTTGGATGTGCAAAAAATAAATAAAATTAAAAATGCATGCAAATCAGACCATGTAACATTCAACAGGAACATATATGGACTATTTTGGATTCTGTCTAGCCTCATACTCTGTAAACTAATAAATGTACAAATTTTGCTAACCAAGTTAGTTCCTGATCATAAGGTATCATAAAATGTCTTGCACATATTCCACTGATCTTAATTGTGCGAGAAGTATCATCGCTTCCCAATTTCTAAAGGAATTTATAATCAAGCATTTACATGACAGCGTCTCAACCTCAAGTTACACGAAAAATCAATCATACATTCTTGACAAACACATGGTTACAGGGAACGAACCCTGACACAGTTTATCCATTCATTGCACAAAAAACAAAAACATTATTTATATAGGTTACTTTTTTTGGTGGGGGGGAGAGGGCGATGGGTGGGAATTGTTGGTGGGTGGGGAACCCATTTCAACTCAAGATGTAACTTCTCAACTTGGCACTGGATTGCAAAGCATAAGGCACCATTAATTATCCTACATGGATGAATGACATTAAAATCCTGCTGATAATGGGTAGGGGTATGGGGGAAGGTGGGTGGGTCACCTGGAGATGGGAAGGGGTGGCGAGGGGTGGTTGCTGGGGCTGGTCCTTGTGGTTGGGGCAGGGACGGGGTAAGAGGGAAGTGGTGGTGCTTTTTTTATTATTTTAAGTTTTCATTTTATTCTTATTTTAAATTGAATTTTTGAAAGTTTGAAAGTTTTTATTATTAATACTTTAGTCCACCTGAGCAAAAAAAAAAGTGGCCCCGGCACATGACACGTCATCGCTTAATGGATTTCCTGAAGGTTAGCCTAATGGCGGAGCCAGATTGTCACAATTTCATAACATACGAGTACTAAACTCTTAAAATTTCGAAACACATGTGCTAACATGCCTTATCAGGTAAAGTTCATGATACTAAACTGAAATTGACCCCCTTTTTTTTTTTTTTTTATTTTTTTTTTTTTTATAAATATCATTTCCAGGTTGCAAGTGCAACAAGATTGTATAATGTCCGCACTCAAGACAGACTGTTTACACATACATGCATGCATTATGAGGTAATTAAAACAAATTATTAATTGTCATTGTTGCAGCCAAAAATGAAGGTATTATTACTTCTTTTTTTAATCTTTTATTCCTCTTGTGCAAATTCTTGCTATATATGATCATCATGATTATCATATCATCTTCCTAAGTATAGTGCTTGTATACCTAATTCGAATAGATAAAGAAGTAGAACTAAGCTGGGAGGTGTGGAGCACTTACATGCAGGTTATAACTAAAAGTTAACTAACAACAAAATAGAGTACGAAGCTGACTACAAGCTGAGAGGTTTGGAGTTACTGCCTTCTTTGGACTGACACAGAGAAAAGATAAGAAAGAGAGGTATGGCAGTGGTGCCATGAACTTGAGGTGAGTTCTGGTGACATCTGTTGGTTTTTTTGGGGACTTGAACTTCTATCTGGTGGGACAGTGAGACTGAAGAAGGGGCTGGTCTGGTTTCTTTAAGACACTCAATGACTGAAAGGATGAGTTCAGTGGAAATATCTTTGTTCAAGCCACTAAAGAAGAGTGTCAAAGGAGGTCTCCATAAGTTTCATTACAAAGATTACTAGTATTTCTTTTCTTAGAAAGCAATACTATTAGTGAGAAAACCATTGCAAACGCAAGCAAAGGAAACTGGGTAGAAAATCTTAGGTAGATTCGCTTCAACCAATTGGTTAGTTCTTCTATACCTAAGAGTCACAAAGTAGTTTAGGGTCCAGTTCAAAAGCTAGAACTAAGATGCAATGTTGGCCATGTAAAGGATTTGGAAATTTTTAAAACAAGGCCTGAATCAATTTGTGACCTTTGTAGAAATATAAAAAGCCAAATGAGGAGGACAAAAATAGCTCACTTGGTTTGCAGGCTTCAAGTTAAGAAATGGTACAGCTGGAAAAAGCGGTTCCTCCTCATTGACCTCTTTGACAGAAGGTGCTTGGCCGCTAAGAAGATATTCGCTAAAAACCAAGCCTGTCGAATTAACCAGGAGCCAAGCTCAGATTTAATTATAAACTCGGTTGCTAAGAAAAAGTTATTATTCGATTTACAGATGAGGATTTAAAGTTGAAGAGAGAGAGAGAGAGAGAGAGAGAAATTACTTGCACGATAAGGATTTAAAGTCCTTATTTGAATGGATTGATATGATTTCAGATTGCAGAACATGTGGATCCAAGTGACAATGCTAAAAGAAGCAAGGCCAAGAAATGTAGAAGAGCCTATGTAGTTGGCCAATGCTATACCGAGCATGATACCAACAGACTTGCTCACCATTCCCTGAGCTTCACCCTTAGCAATCACCTACATTTAAGTATTCCTTTTAGAAATGTTAATTAGTACACCAAGGTAATAGCACATGTCTTTAAATGGATGGAAGTAAGAGGCTTCCAAGCTTCCAAACATTTCAAAATTTGATACCTCAGCAAAGTTTCTTTGAGCAGCAAAACCAGCATAGAAACAGCTCCTGGTAGCAGCCTGTGAAATGATGGATTTGAAATTTCAATTAAGTGTACGTTTTTATATTGGATGAATGTGAGGATGATTACAGCAGGGAGTCATATAATGATTAACTACTGAAATCATATAGGAGGCCAGAAAGGTTCATTCAACACGAGATCTACTTTTAAAAATAATAGTTTGTAAGGCATAGAAAAATGTTTATACTAAGACTGTTTATAATGTAGAGAAAATGTCTTTAAGAAGGAACAGGATAGCCGTCATTCTACACAAGCCGCAAACTTAAAACCGGAAAGTAACCTGAATAAGTGCAGCAGCTGAACGCCCTGCACCTGCAGCAGCACCAATTAAAAGAAAAAGATGGGGAAATGCAGGAGTGAGTATTTCCATTCCAAAGGCAGCATTTTCAAGAAGATCAGCAAACAACCTCCACCCTTTTGGATTGACATCAAAATGCCTTCCATATTTTGAGAGCATAATTTTGCTGAGGTATCCAATTCCATCCTTAAGGACCCAATTGACAGCAGCAGCGGCCGGAATAGCCCCTTTCCCCAATCCAACAGCGTAAAGCAATGCCTATAGACACAACACAAACAAACAAACTCACAGCGGTTGGTTAGAATATTAGACAAAGATGATGGTTGGTTAGGATAGGAATGGTAGGCGAGGGAAGTACCTGAGTGGCAAGGACACCACTAACTTGGCTGGCGACCCCCTGAACTCCTCTCCATAGAGAGTAGTCCAAGTAATCACTGGTAACGCAGTGGGGATAGCCTTCTGGGAGCATCAATCGCATAAGCAGATGTTTGCATTGTAACCACAGATTCCCAACACTTAATGAACCAAAACCAACTTCATGAGCAACAACAAAGGCATCCTTAACAAAATCAGGAATAAGCTTGGTCCAGTTGCCTCCCCTCACTTCCCACACAGGCTCACACTCCTCTGATGATGCCAGCGCATAAGCCAATCGGAGGTGGCAGAAGCAACACCCCACAGAGCAGAAGAAGAAGGATAAGAAGATAAACGGGTGATGCCCAGAAGAACCCGAAAAGGAACTACCTTCGTCATGCCACCACCATGAGGATGACTCAAATGGATTATTCCAGCCGCCGCCGCCGCCGCCGCCGTTTTTGTTGCCAGAGTCACAACCGCCATTGTCCAGCAGGATAGTATATGCATTAAACCGTTTCCAAGGCAGTCCATGAGCGTGAGATTGTGAGGCCTTGAGACTAAGCGAAGGCAGCAACACTGGATTGGATTTTAGAGCAGATGACGGTGGCGCAACAGAATTTCTATCACGGATGTAACTAGGCGGTAGAGGTGGAGTAATGCTTCCTTGGATGAACTTGCACGCGCACCCCATCTCTCCTTTACCTCTGACCCGCCTCCCCTCCTCTTTTTTGGTCAATAATGCCTCCCCTTCTCTTCTTCCCCATTCTTCATTCAAAACAAATTTTTTATTTTTTATTTATTTTTAAAGCAATACAAGAAAGGGATTTTAATATAGAGTGCTGCTAAATGAACCCTAACTTCCCGTTTGGACGAGGGAAAATAACTTAGAATTTAGCTAAAAGTCGGGAATTTAAGAGGAGAAATTGACAATTCCCTTGTTTGGCAACTTAAGCGCCAGAATTCATATTTTCCAGTATGCCAAAACTTACATAATAAAAAAACGCCAAACTTTTTATTTTTTATTTTTAAAAAAGGCCAAAAACCTATGATAAAACCCTGGAAAACAGAGATTGCGAGCCTTGTCGCTTAAAGGCATCATAAAAAAGTTGGGAGCTAAGGAGAAGGAGTTCATCTTGAGTTCTCTCTGGATCAAATCTAAAGGTTAGTCTTCAAGCCTTTTTCTCCTTCAATTTATGTTTTTCTATTTTATGGTTACAATGCATTTTAAATGGCTATCAAAATTGGGTGTTTTTGACTAAATTTATGAATATGTTATGCATAGGTTTTGTGATTTTTGCGGCACTATGGCTAGATTTTGGGAAGTTTTAACAAAATACTCTATGCCCATTGATATTGGTGTGTGATATGTGTTTATGGTGCAGCTCTATATTTGTTTTCTAGCTTTATCGCTTTGTGTGATGCTTTTGTCTTCTCTGCTTCTATATGCTTTGTTTTCTAGTTTCTTGGATTGTTACAACTATTAGTCTGTTGCGTTGGCTTTTCATGTCATGTAGTGAGTTACAACTAAACCGGAAAGTAATATTAATTCACACATATAAATTGTGCATCATATTCGTATGATTTTCTTCCTTCAAAGAAAAAGAGGTATTGTCAAAGATGTTATTGCTAATTCGATTGCTAGAATGGCTTTATCATTTGAAGAGTTTATCCATGCTGATACTAAGAACCTTGATCCAACAGAGGTATATTATGAAGTATAAGCAGTACCATGTCTTAGTGAAAATGAACCACTCAAAGCATGTGCTTGGTTGATAGAAAATGACAAACAATTTCATATGTTGAAGGCACTCCCAATTAAGAAAATAAAAAAGTATGTTGCTGATGTTTATTGCATGTGGGGAGTGATTTGGTTTGCTAATATGCTTTGTTTGTTTAAGTTAAGTTATTTAGTTCATCAAATGATATGTTATTTTATACTTCGAGGAATACCTTCTAGGTCAGTTATCAGTTTTTTTTTCTTTTGAAATATTTAATTTATGTCATTTACAATTTATATCAGCATCCAAACATTGACATTTTCAATTTCTGTCATTTATAAAATTCAACATACATAAATTCAAATACTGAAATATTCAATAGTCAAAAATTGAAATGATGGAAATCTAAATTCCGTAATTTTAGAATTCTATGTAATTTGCAATTCTTTCATCCAAACGGAAAGATTAACTGATAATTTGCAATTCTATGACCAAAAAGAATATATTAAATTGTGAAACAAATTTAATTTTAATAAGTAGATTCTAATTTTAATTTTAAAAAAAGGCTACCAAAAGAAAGAAGTGGAGAATGAAATGGCGAAGCCATGAGGGAAACAGGCAGACAAACACTTATCAACCTCTATCGAAATATTAGAGCTTTGTAGAAAAGATGTTGAAACAACTTTCTGGTCCTAGAAGAGACCCACACAAATTAAAGGGAAGAAAACCTAGGGATAGCTACAAACTTAGTGCAGGAAACAAATGATGAACATTACATTTACAAGACAGCTGGCTATATCAATCAAAGAGAAGATTTAAATAAAAGTGCAACACCACCAAATAGACTAGCATATCATTGGACGTATCAACTTGGGAAGAAAGCCCCAACAAGTCACTGAAACGGCCAACATTATTCAACTTGAAATTAGAATTAAGAATCAGGCAGAGTTCAAACTTAGTTCTTGCTTCAAGTGGAGAGTGACAAGAATTTATACGAATCAAGCTTTGAATTGAAGGAGTTAGCAAATCTATTCTCACAGCAACTTACGAAATTAAAGATTTTGATGCAAATCCAAAATCTGAAAAAAGGACACGAATTCATGTAAAAAGAGAAACCTCGTTTAGGATTAGGGTGTACCAAAGGTATTTTTGGTAGTTAAATGAGGTGTACTTAGTTAATTTTATATTTTAATTAAAATATTATGGTGTACTTAGTTAATTTTAGAATTTGTTTAGCAGCACTCTTATCATATAAGGACAAATAGAAGGATACGAAGATAAAATGATCAAGCTCCTCCAAAATTGAACAAGCAGGTCCAGTTACTCTCCAACAGTGAAATTGACTCTCATGTCATAACTCTCACGGTCCTATTTTTACATGCATAACTCTCATGTCACTCACAGTTATGTCGATGTACTGGAAGAAACAATTTAAAACGCCTTGAACTTATTTAACATTGCAAATTGTGTAAAGGACTTTTTAATCATTTTCTCATACAAGGGAGAAATACAATAAATTATATTAAAAAAAATGTGTTTGGTAGAATACTTTTAGAAGTGAGATTTTCCTTTTTCTTTGATTTATGGGAAGGGAAAATAAAATTTGGAACATTTTCCAAGATAGAATAACTAGACTTATATAGATGGACGAATTTGTTAGGAGGAATCATTACATAGAAAAAATCAGTATTAATCTAAATTCATGTAATGTAATATATACACAGAGCCGAAGTCCTAAATGAAAATCATTCTCTATACCATATTTTTTCCATTATTGATTTAGGGGTTACTTTTACTAATTAGGTTTTATCAATGAATAATTATATTTTTCACGATATGTATAAATCGATATAGGGTTTAGGGCTTTGGCTCTCTGTATGTGTGTGTGTGTATATATATATATTCATATTTTCTCTTATGCGGACATTTGTGAGGACGCTATGTATTTTCTATTACCCCTTCCTATTTATAATGGCGTATGCCGTCCGCACAATAATAATGCGCATACGTATGGATAAAAATAACTCGTTTAGGGTTATACCTATACAGTTATTCTCAAATAATTTTATTTGAGGGACATCCTTTCGGATCCCCTACAATTTTTTTTTTTAATGATCCAAACCGTCTATTTTGCAAGTCTTCATTAATAGATCATCCAAGCGAAAAAAGAAAAAGGCAAATTGAAAATCACTAAGACATCTAGTTGGGACCAACAAAATAGACAAACACGGTGTTTCAAGAAAATAACAACCATCTAATTGAATGGTCAAATGATTTCATATTCAAGTAAAATTTTGCAAAGATAATCTTTGAGGTAATATCTAAAAACTAGACTGTTTAAATAACTAAAATACAATGCATAGTGGGTCATACAAAGGTGTCCCTCAACCGAAGCTTATTTGAGGAATCCTTCAACCGAAACTCTTTGTGTATGTGTATCTATTTATTTGAGAGACACTCTTTAGGGTCCCCTACAAATATTTTTTCAACGGTCCAAATCATTTATTTTTTAAGTCTACATTCATAGATCATCATTGCAAAAAATTAGAGAAATCGAAAACCGTTTCGATATCAAATTATATCATACAAAATCAATGAACACGATGCTTCAAGAAAATACTAAAATTTCAATAATTCAATTGATTTGTCAAATGATATCGGATTCAAATGATTTTTTTGCAGAGATGATCTTTGAACAAGCATCTACAAAATATATGGTTTGGATTAGTGAAATACAACACAAAATGGGCCATGCAAGGGTGTCCTCAACTAAAGCCACACACACACACACACACACACATATATATATATATATATATATATATATACAGTCCTTCTTCTGTTAAGGGATCCCTTAAATAATTTTATTTGAAGGACTTCCTTTAGGGTCCCCTATGAATTTTTTTTCAACAATCCAAACAATTTATTTGTTAAGTCTATATTCATAGATTATCCTTGCAAAAAATTAGACAAATCGAAAATAATTTCAATATCCAATTGTATCTTACAAAATCAATGAACACGGTGCTTCAAGAAAGTACTAAAATTTTAATAACTCAAATGAGTGGTCAAATGATATCGAATTCAAGTGAATTTTTGTAGCAATGATCTTTGAATGATTATCTAAAAATAGACGGTTTAGATTAATAAAATACTATGCAAAGTGAGTCATACAAAGGTGTCCCTCAAATAAACTTATTTGAGTAGAGGCTGCGATTTTGATTTTCTCTTTTCATTCCTTCGGTTTTAATGTTGAAATTTAAAGTTGAGACTATTTAAAGAATAAAAGTATGTATACAATTATTTAAACAGTAAGTGGTTGTATAAGAGAGGACTTGTATATCTTACTATAATTGCTGCAATCATCTGTCATCACTTTTCATGTCAACATTTGCTAACCCACGGAGGAGGAAAATTCTGTGTTAATTGACTGCTAATTTCAATGAAAGACTCCTCTACTAATATCATATGTATAGTGTTGAAAACTTATGATAGTTGGATGTCTGATCCGATCAGGCAGGTGCCTCGTGTATTAGCTCAGCCGATCTCCCCTGATTGAATGTAATAGTTGAAGATGTTTGGGAGTTAAAAGATAGTCCAATAAGATTGACGTCACAAAAAATAATTTCACAATCACTGAAGGATGGCAGTGAACATGACCCAAATCCCAAGGAAATACGGCCTTGTTAACAGGTGAATTCCCCCTCTGCCAAAGGGGAACAGGAAAATTCGCCTGCAAAACAATCTGTTGAAATTAAAAGATCAGGCCAGCTCAACATTAGATCCACAAACCACTTGGACCCCTCCTCCCGCGAGAAATTTTTAAAAAAATAAAAAAGAAACTGAAGCATTTGGAAGAACAGAAACTGATATTCAACAGAACATATTTAAGGATTAAGTAACACGTAAAAGAAAATAAAGTTTCTGCTCACAAAAATTGGTCACAGTTGGCACCTGTCATCATATATAGATAAATACCCAAGCAAAGGAGATGTTTTATTTCCTATTCCTATTTTACATATATATATATACAAATATTTTCTCCTATGCAGACGTCTGGACGTTATTACCATTCGAACACCATGTATTTTCTATTATCCCTCCCTGCTTTCCTCCCTGTTTACAATGGCGTCCGCACGGTAATAATGTGTGGACGTCTGGATGAGAGGAGAACTGTATATATATAAAGCTTTACAATCAAGAGAGATATAGGTGCAAAAAAATGAGACATAGGTGCAGAGTCATCATTATGTTCATTAGTTTAGCAGCCGCACTGGAATTTTTCCAGGTATGCATCAGTCTATTTCTCAGCTTTAATGGGCTACATGTTACAAAGGAATACGGTAAACTTCAATTGCGATTTTCATTTCTTCTTTCTTATAGCAAGAAAATCTTAATTTGAACAAGAAAGGAATGAACATACCAAAATATGCAGATGAGCATCCCTTAAACTTTCACCATGTGTGCCTCAGCCAGCGAAGAATTGAGGTCTTCTCGAGATTGTGATCGCCTGCTTTGAAGACGCATCTGAGATCTGTGAGGAGACCAAAAGGAACCCATGCTACTGCTGTCAAATTGCATCTGGCCCAGATTATTTGAGGAATAACTATGGGACATACTGCTAGTGGAGGGGTATAAGGAAGACTCCATTAATTGGATGCCACCGCCACTGTTGAGACTATCCCCCAAGCCAAATGGTCTCCGTTGCGCACCACCAGCAATTGTTGGACTTAGAGGCATCTTTACTCTTCCATCCCCTGAAATGCCAAAGTTGACATTGACTTCAAATGATTAATAGTACAAATATTATAAAGGCTCTTCACTTTTGTTCCCACATGTTGGACTCAAATCTCAATTTGGTCATGAATTTTTCTCAACTTTTTCAAGATTTCCCCCCCTTTTTTTCAGTTAAGTCCCCCTTCATATATTAAGATATCCTAATTATCACTTTTAGAAATTGATGGTGTGTGTCATAGCATAATATCGCCATTATTATCTTGAAGTTTTACCAGATTGCATCACTTGATCAATAGCTTGAAACTGGATGGTGACAATAATTGGGAAACTGTAAGTAATAAACCAAGAAAATAATTTTTTACAAAAGAATAATAGTGATACATGGAATCATATCAAGTCAAGGAGAAACCAGTTGGCATCTAAACCCCCATTTGATTTCCTCTTTTATGTTCAAAAGATCAACGTATCTATAGTATAGTTTTCCACCAGACAACAATTTTCCATAACATAATTGCACACAAATAAGACAATATAAACTGATGAAAGACAATTTGCTTGTAATTTGTTTCTATATCCATGCCCAAAACGAATTTGCTGTATTTAAACCTACAGACATGCACCAACTAGCCCTTGGTCTAGTAGTACCTCTCTTCCAACATTGGAACAGATCCCCAGTTTGAATCCCCAATTCCCCCCCAACAAAAAAACCAAAAGGGAAAAACCTACAAGATTGTTTAAACACTTCAATCTACTCCCTTTTCTCTAGTTGTTATGCTAACAGTGTACCCTAACATCACATTCTCAGGGTGACTTCACATATACGGAAAGTGGATAAGATGAGTTAATGTCTTGTACAAGGAAACCACTAAAGAGGAATAATCGTAGACAGACAGTTAGAACAAATAAAGTTAAAAATTGTCATAAATATAACGGTATCATTTGGGAACTATTTCAGAACTACACACACATTAGAAGTCTTGGGAAAGTGTTTACCAGGACTAATAGGACTCCAGCGCTGGAATCGAAAAGGCGTTGGAATACTCAGAACGGATGCAGAAGATGCACCATTAGTCCTAAACAGCGGGAGATATGACCTCCAGAAAAATTTTGGCATCCAATTTCCAACACATGATAATGCACAAAGGAGAAAAAGCAACGAAACAAACAGAACTGCAATAAAAAATATTGGGTTGATCTTGATCTGGAATATTTCATAACTGCGAAGGCCCAATCTGGTTGAAAGTGCCTTCCCAGCTTCCAACAGAGCAACCCCAAGTGTCCATGTAATTCTTCCAGACCCAATTATAACATGATTATCTGTAATGTGCAAGCCCTCTCTCAACAAGAATACAATATATGGTGCTCTAAAGCAGTACTGTTCAATGAAGGGCTGAGGAGCAACACTGTTCTTTGCAACTTCCCAAGTTCTTTCGCAAAACTCCCGACCCTTTTCCAATACATCATCAAGCGATGCCTCTGAAGTCAAATTGAAAAACCGATAAACCACAAAAAATCCAGAAATCGCAAAGAATTTCCCATAAGGACGGGGTAGACCATCGGGAAGAGCACAAGGTTGCAAGTCGCAATCAATTCCTGAGTTTCTATTGGACCATTCCGACCAATTGACAGCAATTCTTGCAAGTTTACTGCATTCATCCCAATTTGGAGCACCACTAAGCATCACAGAAATCCCTGATCTTCCTCCTTTGCCCAAACTCTTTTTTGCAATCACAGGGCTTCCACCTTCTTGGAATTTAGAAACACATTCGGAACAAACATATTTCTCCTTGTATCCGGACTGCAAGCAGGGGTGCCTAAGTTCTCCCTTCCCGTTTACTAGTTCTGCCTTGGTGATTTCTGGAAGCTTCTCCAAAAGATGAACCACAGACTTGTCAAATGCATCATTTAAACCATAGCTCGGGAGAGAATATGCAGTGAGATGATGGTTCACAGCCCCAATTCTAAGGTTTAAACTGGTCTCGTTATGCACACGTTCATTACTCTCAAATGTAACCTGCAGCGATGAACCACCCAAGTCAAGTGCACCAAATGTTGGCTCTCTTGGTCTGGCCCCCAGCATGCCTGTATGATGGTTGAGGGCTATCCAACCAAAGTAAGCTTCTTCCAGGCCACTGATAATCTTAACCCAGTCTCTTTGGCACAAGAAAGGTGAATTCTTGAGTATAGACCATGCATTGTCTAGAAGCCACTTTGAATCGACACTCGGCAGTCTGCGAACCCCTGCAGTAGCATAAAGGAAAAGCGAGGTTGTTTTATGCGCCTTCTCTGGGATTTGCTTCTCTGCCCATCGAATAAGTGGTTTTATTGCAGCCTTCAAGCCCGAAACGTTATGAACCAACTTGTCAAGCCCAGGCTCAGTTTCCATTCGATCATAAGCTCGACCAATGTGTGAATTAGGTTTTCTTTGAAGACCTTCCGTTAACGGCTTCATGGCAATAGGAAAAGTGCCATCGTTCGCATTATCAAAGGATGCTTGATATACATAAACTCGAGTTCCAGTACTTCCACAATCAAGCACAATATAAAATTTGGGAGTTCCTTTAGACCAATAAGAATAAATGAACACGGAAACCAAATAAATTAGAAAACCGAACAACAAGATACAACACAGAAGCATGAGGGCTCGAACCAACTTGTTGCAGGCAGGTAGGATTCCTCCTCCTGGCAGTCCTTTCTCCTTTGAGAAGCTGGAGGCAGCAGTTTCTCTCTCTAAGGAATGAGGGTGTTTGGAATGGCCCGCAATGCTGGGATGGGGATCTTCAGGATCGAGCTGATGATAAGAGGAGAAATCCTGGAGAGATGATGAGAGTCGAAGATGGTTCTTGTTGCGTGCAGGGTCAGCAAAGGCAAAAGCATGGGCACACGTTTTGGGAGGAGAAGATACAGTGGAACCCTGAGGATTAGACCAACGACTTGATGCAGAAGAAATTATATCGGCAATTCGACTAAACACCATTTTCTTATGCTCTGTTGGTGGCCTTTTATTAGGGCTAATTCGAACAGTTGCAAAGAAGGGGATGAAATCTCAACATACCCAACAACATCAATCAATCACATAATATGACACAGTTGAGAAATTTACGAAAGCAAATGTGCATAACAAATAGCAAATGCAAATATAATGTACCAGTTGGAGTGAAGTTGACATCCGAGTCTAGATCCCGAGTGACACTAGAGTTGGGTACTAAGAGCACATAAGCCAAACGCCCAAAAAAACCAAGAGCAGGCCGTGGGTAATTACATAGACATGGAACTTAAGGGAATCCAAAGAGAAGGATCAGGAAGAGGAGGACGACGACCAGAACAACGAAAACACGTCATTTTTATAATAAAATGCTTACACGTTTGTTAAGCAATCAGCAAAGGAGATGTTGATCTTCTTCTCGCCTTTCTCGTTTCTCTGTGGACTGGTCTCCGGGTTGTTTAGATCCAACCAAACCCAGAAAACCAAAGACTTCTCTGTCTTCGACCAAAAAAATAAAACACGTCTCTCTCTCTTTTTCTGTTTTATTTATTTCGGTATTTCTCTCTTGCGGGACAAATCTCTGAGCCAATTGATTTGATCATTAACCCGTTTAGATTTAGGCAGTATTGAAAGTTGAAACACCCACGACCCGATACAGCGTACCCATCTGCTTTACCTCCAGGAGGATTTTGATTTGGTATGATCGGTTGGGTTTTTTTTTTAATTGACTTGAATCCTCACCTAAAGCCCAAACTTAAAGCCCAACTCCCTAATTTCTAATTTCTATAGTTCAAGGGGCCAACCTCAAACCCTCAGAATAAAAGGTTTGTTAAATCATTTGCATCCAGAAAATTACTGAAAGGTTTTTGTTAGGTTTATTTATAAACATCTTTGTTTTACACATATTATTATTCTTCTTCTTCTTCTTTTGTTGGTCGCACACACATTTCTTCTAATTGCTAAGAAACAGGTAAATGACCAGATGCATGCACAGTGTAGTACATAAGCTTAACTCTTGATTTGCCCCCCCTAAACTTGTACTTAACTTTCGATTTACTTCGTATTTTTTATTATAAAGAAAATTAAGGATATGGACTTCTTTTTTTCACCCATTTCCCCCCTAACGTCTAAATCCTCAATATTTCATCTAATTTTATGTTAAATCATTTTTAAAAAAATTATTTTTTTGCAAAAAATTGAAGAAAAAGAGGACAACAAATTCCTTGGGACCCACTGAACCAAACCCAACGCCAACCTTTCATCCCTCTTCCTCCCTTTACCCTCCTCTTCTGATCTCTGTCACCACCCTCAGCTCTCTCTCTCTCTCTCTCTCTCTCTCTCTCTCCTCTCTCTCTCTCTCTCTCCTTCCACAACCTCATCGATCACAAACCCCCTCGATGCACCCCTCCCACCAACTCAACCTCATAGACCAAGCTCCTACTCAAGACCCATCCTCAGCCTTTGCTGTCACATCCCGAGATCGACTCTGTCGTAGCACGATATTGTCCGCTTTGGGCCCCCCTCTCTACCCTTACGGTTTTGTTTATAGGAACTCACGAGCAATTTCCCAGTTGGTCACCTATCCTGGGATTGCTCTAGCCCAAACTCACTTAAATTCGGAGTTCACATGACTTCGAAGCCAGTGAGCTCCCAAATGGCATATCACATATAAGGCATATCACCTCTTCTTTGTTGGTCGATGTGGGATGTTACACTAGCCCCATCTTAGACCCATCCCAAAGCCTTTGCCCAAACCCAAACCTAGACCTATATAATCCCCCGACACTTGCCCCCCCACCACCCCTAGACTCATCCCTGCCCTCCCCATAGACGGCAATAGATACATGCTCCCCCCCCTCACCCTACAAAACCTAGCCCGCAACCCACCCCTTACACATAGAGAGAGAGAGAGAGAGAGAGAGAGAGAGAGAGAGAGAGAGAGAGAATATATATTCAATTCTTTAAAGTTTTTTATTTTATTTTTCATATAAAAATACAAAATTACAATTTTGTCTTCATATTTAATGGCAAATTAGATGAAATGTTGTGGATTTAGACGTCAAGGGGTAAATTGGGAAAAAAAAAAGTTCATATCCTTAATTTTCTATATTAAAAAAAAAGATTGTGAGTAAATCGAAAGTTAGGTACAAGTTCAAGGGGCAAATCAAGAGCTAAGCCTAGTACATATTATTTCTGAGTTTAGTAATATTTCTATTTATTTGTACTGACAAATTCAAACCACCCAACCTCTATCGTCAACACGACCCATTAAACCTCGACCCAAATTTTTTGACCTTTAAGCCTAAGTTGTTCAATATATAATTGGTCTAACCCACATTAGTTAATAAGCGATAACACTTTTACAATGCTAAAAATAGTACAAGGCTAAAACAAGGCAACGAGGAAGGGTGAGAGAAATGAGAAAGCAATGATTTAGGTATTAGATTCATAAGAAAAATGAGTTAAATATCAATATATAATTGGTTCGGTTTTTAGGTACTAAGAATAACTAAACTAGTTTAAGCAAAAATTGATTTTAACGATTTTTTCCAGTTCGGTTTAATTCAACGATTTATTGGTTCAAATGCCTTAATATACCTCTAGTAGACTTGGACCCAACTTTATTTGTGGGCCTTAACTAAGAGTGGGCACAGTTCAGTTTTCCCTTACAAACTGAAGCTGAAATTGAAAAATTTATAGAGTTTAATTCGGCAATGCAAGGAATGGTGAGGCAACACTTGATTTTGACGCTCGTGGAAAGGCAATGGAAGGAAAGCTGAGGCAACGGTAAGGCAATGCACGTAAAGGCAATGGAAAGGTAAGGAATGAAAGGGAAGGCAAGGAAAATGTAAGGCAAAAGCATGGAAAGGAAAAGCAAAGGAAAGACAAAGACAAAAGTAAGGCAAAGCAGGTAACGAGAAAGCAACGTCAAGGCAAGGCAAAGACAAGATATAAGCTTTTCACTATATAACTGGTAAGATATTGGTTTTTCACTCTATAACACACTGGCAAGATATAGGTGGATCTTACAATAACTAATTGATCCAATTTCAACATAAAACTGAGTCATTCGAGTAGATATGAGCCCCTAAACTAACTCAATGTTTAATTTCAACATAAAACTGAGTCATTTGAGAAGATTTGACCCCAAAAATATTTCAAATCTTCTCAAATGACTCAATCTTATTTTGAAATGGGATCAATGACTTACTCTAAGATCCTTTTAGTAGTAACGACAAGCTTGTTTGAGTGGTAGTGGGACACAAAACCCAAGGTAAATGCAAGAGAGAGTCAATTTTAGGGGTCAAATATTCTCAAATGACTATGTTTTATGTTGAAATGATGGATTTAGTCCATTTAAGGGGTCAAATCTCCTCAAATGACTTAGTTTTATGTTAAAATGAAATGAACCACTTACTGTAAGATACTATAAGTTGTAATGAAGAGCTTGTTTGAATTGTAGCGGGACATATAGGGTTATATTGTTATATTATAGTACTATCATATTAAAAAAAAATTAAATTATTCTAAGAACATAATAAATACCATCATTGTACATGGATGACACAAGAACACCACGTGAGCTAGTGGTAAGCCGTTATAATTGAGTATTGGAGGTGTATGGGCTTTTTCATTCTGGCAGCTACTAGAGCCTGGGCTGTCGTAAATAGCAAAATGGATGAAATTGTCCCTTGAGCCTAAGTTCGAAGATCGAGCCCCAAAAATGCTTCGAAATGACAGAGATGTTTTAGGAAACACCTTGGTTACCTTTACCAAAAAAAATAACAACAGCTTACAGATAGATTTTCTAGCTTGACATGAGAGACTTGTGGCATGAAAGCAAAATTGACATGAGTTTAGCACTGAAGAGAAAGTTATGCGTTCTTGGGGGAAAAAAAAGGTGTTAAGGTAAGAGAAGAAGGGTCTGCAGGAAGGTTTGGCTGAGAATGAGGGAAAGGGAGAGGAATTGGTGGCTTGAGTGTTTTTCCGGCAACTTGATAAAGGCTCTGTCAAGTGTTAGAACAACCTGCCAGAAGAGGGAAAATAGGGAAAAATGATGAATAGAGCACAAATTTGCTGGGTTTTGCAGGTGAGAGAGGAAGCTTGCTCTCTGGATGTGATTGTGGCTAGTGGTGAAGCATTGAGTGTGTTGGATAATTTTCCAGCAGCCTGACAAAAGCTATGTTAGACTCTAGAATGGCTTGCCAAAAGAGAAAATGGGAGGATATGGAGGAAAAGGCACGAAATTGCAGAGTTTTAGAGATGAGAGATGAAGCTTGCTCTCTAAATGTAGGTTGTTTGGTTGGGTAGAAGAGGCCTTTTTTATAGCTGCTGGAAGCTATCATTTTTCAAAAAATCCTAATGGTTTCTATCCAATTTGGCCAAGCTTTTTCCTTCATTTCTCCTCCCTTCTTTTGACTTATTTTATTTTGGCAAGACTTCTATGCCCAATCTCACAAAATTAGGGATTTTTAGGAGCTCAATGCTCTTTTCACAGCTGCCTCAGTGGAGAACTTCTATTCCCAGCCATCTCATTCCTTTCTTTCCTTTTTTCTTCCATGGCCAGGTCTGATGAGGGAAAGAAATGGGTATGCATGCTAGTTCAAAAGGTGATTCCCCTCCTAGCAAGCTGCGTGCCAATATCCCTTGGTCCCTTGAATGCTTTTTGCTTGAAACTTGTTCCTTCCCATGTGCTGGAGCCTCCCAGAAGCTCATTGACATGAATATTTTGGCTTTCATTGTGGCATTTGTTTTCAGCTAGGTGCTGGAGATTTGTAGATATTTTCTAGGGTTGTTTGGGCCTTATAGGACAATAAGTTGGTTTATCAAGTAAATGAGCTAACTTCATCAATTATTGGACTATTTTGGTTGAAGTAATGAGCTACTTTCTTTTTTGTGCTCACCCACATGTTTGGGCCATGGGCTTGAGTTCCGAGGCTCCCAAGCAACCCCGAGACTTCCATTTCTCGGCCCATCAATGGGTCTCATGTCAACTTATTATCATCCATACCACAACTCACTCAAGTAAGCCCTGGGCATTTGAGTGGCTTGGGCCCACTTAGGCTTGTTAGCGTGGTTGGGTGTGAAGTATTGATTTCATGCTTGGCATGACATGTCACTTGTCATGCTTTAATTTTATCGTCCCTGAAGAGGGACAAGACATTCAATTTAGCATGGGCTTGTAGAGCCAGTGCCTTTTATAGGCTCATTTCAATTTTTAGCATGACAAATTGCATATTTATTTGGCATGGCACGTGGATCATGACTCATGCGAACGTGAATAACAAACTTTTGCGTGCTCCAAATTGGGCCTTTTCTTAATAAGGTATTGCGTTGGGCCGAGAATTCATTTGGGCCAAACCGTGGATTTTTTGGGCCTCAACAGGAGGTTAAGGGTTTGAAGCCCTTTGGCACACAAATACTTCTAATATTTGTCATTTTTTATATGGGCCTTTGAATAAGGGTGGGTTCCACAATTTGCCACGTCATCCTTAGGTTTTTTTTACGGAGTTTGGAATGGAGTTGACAGTAAAGGGCAAAGTGAATCACGAAACCACAGTCAAAGGAGCAATATGGGTCACTTTGAGTTTTAGGGGGGAAAGTGTGATTTAACTTATGTTTCAGGGGGCATTTTAACTAATAAGCCTTTTGATGATGACTCTAACCTGCAGGTTAGGGATAGGCACAATTTCAGGTCAATCTGACATAACCATCCAACTCGTTCATAATGGGTTAGGTTGGGTCTAAAATGAGCGAGTCTTGAGTTCAAAAAATCATAAACCATTAGGTTACGGATTGGAACCAAAACTTAAAAGTATGTTTAATTTTGAGTTAATCCGACCAAACCGCCCAACCCGATTACAAAAAATTTGAGTTGAATTGGCCTAATAATAAGCGGGTCTTGAATCCAATAAATCATAAACCGCTACATATCGGATTGAGTTATGGGTTGAGACTAAATCCGACCTAACCCAACTCTGCCCACCTATGTGGAGTAAAATGTAATTAATCTTTTTTTTTTATAAAAAAAATATTATTATTAATTTTATTTTTATAATCAAGAACGTTGGTTTGCCTTCTTTAAAATCTAACCCTTGCCCTTGGACGGAATAAGAGATAAGAAAAGTGGGTGGCAGATGACGAGTGAGAATAGAGATTGCAAGTCCACACCTCCACATAATCGATAAAGAGAAAAGAGGAAAAATAATAAGAAATTAACAAGAAGTATTTTGGTGTGGGGTAGGGGGTTTTGGAGATTGATTTGGGATTGGGATTGGGATTGGGATTGGGAAATAGGAAACAAAAGACGACTGGTTAGGTGTCTCAACGGAGAATTTAGATAAGATATACAGAAGACAGAGCAGACAGAGGAACGATGAGTATAGCAACAGTAACCACAGTCATAGCAGCCTCTTCATCCCCGAGTACGGCGGCAGATGCGGGACACATGAAATCATTATCATTCTCTTTCCCTTCTTGTTGGGCAGTTTCATTTTCACATCACAAACTCACTCCCAGCGCTCTCGCCCACTGCCCAAGGCCAAGGAGGAAAAGTGGAAGGATTAGTTGCGAGGTCGCTACCAGATCAGACTCCTCGTCTCCTTCTTCTTCTTATTCTTCCTCTGCCGATATAACATCATCAGATGAAGCCGTCGCCTCCCCCAAGATCGGAGCTAGGGTTAAGGTGAAGGTGCCTTTGAAGGTGTACCACGTGCCCAGAGTACCAGAGGTGGAAATCACTGGAATGGAAGGTGAGCTCAAGCAGTACGTTGGGCTCTGGAAGGGCAAGCGGATTTCAGCCAATCTCCCTTATAAGGTGCAGTTCGTTGTCGATGTTGAAGGCCGTGGCGCTGTCAAGTTCTTCGCCCATCTCAAGGAGGACGAGTTCGAATACCTTTGAATTTGATCAATGGATAATCCATTATGTATATCAGGCTATAACCTCTCCCTCTCTCTCTCTCCCTCTCTCTCTCTCACACACATTATATTATCTAATAATCATTAGCCCGGCTGCTCGTTTCTCAACTGCACTTGATTGTATTTTATTCTCTTGTCATTATTCTTATTATTACTACTCTTAAGCTTCTTCAGCAATATGCGGTTCATCTTGTTGGTTTAACCAATCTGATAATTGATGGATTTAAATGGCTCAAGATTTATGCAGAAATGTAAGTAACAAACAGCTATTTCAAAATTTGATTCTTTGGAAGTTTTTGCGGATTAGAGTCACCCCCTTCTTTTGGTATCGTTAACTGGGATTGTTTAAGCGAAAGTCCGTACAGGTATGTAACTTGTGTTTCTGGGTAGCCTGCCTAATCCCCTTCGCTAGAGTTGCATTGATGCAACTTCTGACTGACATTCAACAAGAATATACAAGGCTTGTGTCTATGTTGAATGATTCTATATTCAACATGGCTGGTTTGTGTCAAATTATTTGTAGCCCTTGTATAAAAAATAATGTTAGTGATATTTAGGATACTGAGCTCTGAATCAACCCTTCTTTCTAATTGTTTTGCATCACCCGCACTCCCTATTCTCCCAAATTTTGATCGATAATGGTTGTTGTTCATTAGGAAAAGCCTCTTCGCATTCCGTTCGCCCGATTTTGATTGATAATGGCTGTTCATTAGGAAAAAAAGCCTCTTTACATGCGCGGGACGCATGCCTGAGAGACTGGTAATCAATTAAGCAAGCTGAAATTAATATCAAATTCAAGCTCAAGTTCAAATTATTTGTGCCGAAGTTTTTAAGTTAAGTTTGTTGCGCTAAAGTAAAGCTCCAGCTAGGCACAAGCTTAGTTTATTGTCAAGCCATGTTCGAGCATCAATCATTGAGCTGAACTTGAGGTTAAACTCCTTGGGAGCTCATACAAAATTATCATGCCAAGTTCAAGTCAGAGAAAGCTCGGACCTGCTTGGCTCGTATGTACCTTCTGGAGCAGTGACAACTGACAAGCTTAACTTTTTTTTTTAATGCAAGCGAAAGTGAGGGAGGGGGAATTGAACCTAAGACCTTAGGTGCAGGGATAAATATGCTTAACTACTTGAGCTACAAGCCCCTTGTTCCTAATTGACAAGCTCGTATCTACTAGTCACTTAAGTTCTGGAAATAAGAGAACATTTCCCATTTACAGCAATTAAATGCAGCACCCACAAACAGAACGCCACCGGGCCCCTCTGAACACAATCGATATGAAATTCGCTTTTTTTTCTCCCTTCAAACTGATTATTTGTGATCAACTGTACCCTCAACATGAGTTTTCAATATTATCAATGGTAACCACAGAATCGGTTGCACTTTTTCCTGAACTAGTTCCAAGTTTCAAGTTAGATTTTGTAAGGACTCTTTTAAGTAAACAAGGAAGGAAAAAAAAAGGCTAGATGAGGATGGACACATCACTACCTACGAGACATGAAGAAATTGAAGTCATGATGCTGGAATTTGCAATGTTTCAGCCAGGAATTTGCAGCATTCAGATAAGAGGCAATATTTTCCTTGTCTGAAGTCTCAGGATTTGTCCAGAGTTCCCCATACATCTTATAAGTAGCCACTGCAAAAGGAGGAAGAGCAATTTCACCTCTTCTACTATCTCTTTCTAGCATCCTGCCTCCCCATTCCTTTCCTAGAGTATTAATGTTTTGAAACTTCTCATCTTCCTCCAATATGGTACACGGGAGTCCTAAGAACCAACAACGAAAAAAAGGAAAGTTTGGTTACAACGGTTACAAAACTTCTGACAGTTCGATCTTATCAGAAAACTCACCGATAAGGGATCATTCAAGTATATGGTTTATCAGCTTCTACCCATGATAGCATATAACATGTAAGATCAAACTTTCTCCCAAAGTAAGAGTAACAGGCAACTACCATTAACAGAATAGACAGAGTAGTAAGCCACTAGGCCTTTGTATACTTTGCATAAGAGGCATGATATTTTTTAAAATTTTCAAGAAAACTGCTCCAACATATTGCCACTGTGGACTTATATAAATAAAGACCATGCTTTGTTAAAAGCGGTTAAATATGCTTAATATGTAAAACTAGATTAATTGGGGCATGGTAAAAGAAATAAAGTGCATGCACATTACTTCAAATAAACAAGGAATGCCCTTTTTACACACAGAGATATCACACAAACAAATGCAAACTTAGATCTAATTGGTAAGGACTTACACGACCATGGAAAGAATGCAGAAATAATGACAGATTTCACAATAGTTAAAGGAGGGAGGGCCTTTTAGTTAATCAAGCATGGAATTGGTATGCAGAAAGAGGTTTCACGTATATAACGTTCCTACAACAAATTTTCACTAAATCCTGATAATCATTTAATCAATGCTTTCATCATCTCATTTCAATCACTTTATACTCCAACACTCTCTCTTATGCTGGTAAAATGTAAATAGATTTTGGAGCACCCAACTTGCTTCCTACAAGAACACATTAACTTCGTAAGGCTCCCATGTTATGAGAATCTGCAAGCTAGCTCCCAGTAAATTTTCATCTTATACTACTAAAAAAATTACATACATCCAACCACTGATGAATCACAGGTGGATTTATTACCAAGATAAGCGAACACGTAGCAACATATACCACAATCAAATAACCACAAAAATAAAATAAAAACCTGTACTATTAACTGAGTAAAATTCCCCATATGCCCTTAAAATTAGAAAAGACAATTCCCTCCTCATAGAATACATTAAAGGATAAGTGTTGTGGTCCTAAACATTTAAAAGCTACACATAATGTGAGAACAGTTTTCTCAAATGCCCAAAGAAAAGAAAAACTCCAAGCACTCCCTATGGAAACGTAGTCGAAATCAACTACAAAACAAATTAACCATTAACATTTATCCAATTGACTGTTGGATCGAGTAAGCATTAGATCACCACGTCTGCAGGCAACATTTTTCGGCAGCTCAAATGTTGGCAGCTTTTTCTCTCTGGCAGCAGGTAGCCTTTTTGCCACACAAAAGAAAAAAATTAAACTACAAAAGAAATTGCCTATTGTTGTATCAATTGTATTTATTACTAGATTATTTGATGCAGGAGCATCTATAGGGCTCTACAAGAGTACTTGGGCTGTTAGTCAATTGGGCTAGGGTTCTATTTACTTTAAGTCACCTCTTAATGGTCTCGACACTATCGCCCCCTATCACCTGATCTGGTTGATACGGATAGGGAGTGGGGCCTTGGTTAAAATGGACATCACCTTGGGAAACATGTGGATAGCCGCCCCGCGTGGCTAAAAGTAAGCCAAAAGAGCTCATACTCTATCATTAGTTACAACTTACTCCTCTTGTTTTCCTATTCTTATTAGGATTTGATTTCATTTCCTGTTTTGGTCTTCAATTTCCTTTGTCAATTAGGTTTTCTGTATTCTAGTATAAATAGGCTATTAAGAGACTCTTGTATGGAGTTTTTTAATGAATATAATTCCACACTTCTAGTCTATAGAGTTTCTTTTGGGATTTTTGCCCTAGAACTCAATTATCTTTGTTCCAAATTATATTCTATAGCTTTATCCTTCTATTGTATGTTTGGATAACTGGACAACAGCTTATAGCAGCTGCCCTGCATCAAATTGGTATCAAAGCCAGGTTAAATCTTTTCTCCACACCATGGTTAGACGTGCTAGAGGTTGTGGACGAAGGAACCAAGCCCAACAAATAGAGATGGTTGAGATGTGGCGTATGATCGAAGATTTGTCGAGAGCGGTGCAAGCCCTCCAATGATAGGAACGCACGGATGCCTATATGGAGATTCCGAAACTCAAATGCAAACCATTAGACATACTGGAAGGTGGTCCTAAGGATGACCTTTAAGAAGATGTAAACCCCTTTCATGAAGCTGGAAACTATGGTGATGGTGATTGAGGTGGATTGGAAGGAGCGGTTCGCTCTAATTCTTCAGTTAGTTTCCTAAATTTGGATATCCCTGCCATATTTGATCATTGTTTTGAAGACGATTGTGAAGTTTGTTTTGGGGTTGATGAATTTTTGACAAGGTATTTGGTGAGGGTAAAAAAGTTGAATCTAATGTAATCTTGAAGGCAATGGATCAAGAGAAGGTTGGGTCTAAACGTTTGGAGGAACACAAGCCATACAAGTTCGAAGGAAAGGTGATACAACAAAGTACAGAAGGAATCTTTGAAGATGATCAAATAACCCTAAATTTTGGAGACCATGTGCATGCTTTAGAAACTACTAATTCTAAGTATGTTGATTTCTTGGTGTTGATGCTTTCAGTTTGAACATTGCCAAGACCTTTGTTGATTGTGTCAATCTATTGGTATTTGGATTGCAGAGTTTTTGGGCTGAGAGATTGGTTGCATAAGATAATTGGAACTGTTCCAAAGGGATCAAATATTCTAAATATCTATTTCTTTGGAGTGGGAAGGTTCAATTTCAAGGTCAAAGTTCTATGGACAGTTTATGTAAGCAGAGGTTCTGTTTAGATAGTTTTCATCAAAACATTGGAATTCAAGGACGAATTCTTCTCAACGCAATGGAATTGATGCAAGAAAAAAAGCACAAGTGTTCAAGAATGGTCCTAATATTCAAAATACCTCTTTGTTTTGAACGGAAGAAATCAGTTTCAAACTTCTCGGGGAGTCTTTGATGACGATTTAGACTCGAGGACGAGTCTTTTCCAAGAGCACTTGGGCCGTTAGTCAATTGGCCTAGGGTTCTTTTTACTTTAAATTATTAGTTACTTTTTTGTTTTCCTATTCTTACTGGGATTTGATTTAATTTCCTGTTTTGGTTTTTAATATCTTTTGTCAATTAGGTTTTTTGTATTCTAGTATAAATAGGCTATTAAGAGACTCTTGTATGGAGTTTTTTGATGAATATACTTCCAGACTTTTAGTCTATAGAGTTTCTTTTGGGATTTTTGCCCTAAACTTAATTATCCTTGTTCCAACTTCTATTCTATAGCTTTATCCTTCTATTCTCTACATTCACTACTTTAGATCAACTAAGTACTCATGATCAGTCTTCTGCAAGACTGCAAACAACATCCTAGGTAGCTCCAATCTATGTAGCTTCTCTGGCGAAAAGTAGCCTTTTCATCACGCCAAAGCGACTCTCACTCTACTCCAGGAACAATTTCAGTCTAGATGGCTTTCACTTTGGTGGCAGGTAGTCTTCCTGCCACATCAAGACAACTTTACTTAACGGAGTACTGTATACAGTCCTCTCTAGTTAGCCTTCTTCAAGGTAGACCTTTTCATCATTTAAACCATGTACTCTGACAGTAGGTAGCCCTTTCCAATATTTGTGATGGCTACACTGCATCAGTTCTAGTTAATAAGTTTAGGGGCCCTGTCTTGGCGTCAGTTTCGCCATGCAAGCTGCTTTGATACCAAATGTGGCAAAAGATTGACCAACAAAATTAATTCAATGCTTTGAATTATTTGGGATTATGACAATATCTTTATTTGATTGTGTTCTTATACAATTGATGCTAGAGTAGTCATAATTGTTGTGAACAAAATTGGAATATTTCCTTCATATTCATTCAGTTGCCGTTTTTTTAAATATATTTTTTTTCTTTCTTTGGTACCCAGAAATCCACCAACCCGCTTTGCGGACACAGCTTTGAAACTGTGGCCCCGGTCAAACCCTACAATCTTTGGGAGGCCGGAAACACTACTCAGACCACATGGGAGCAAACCATGGACCTGACCATCCAACTAACCCCACGATGGTAATTGGAGTGTGTGATATAATCCTCCATCTTTTAGTATGCTCAACAATCATTTTATCAAAGCACATAAACCATAGTCTCACCCAACCATAATTACCTACATAAACTTCTTTGTAGTAACTGCATTAGTAGTGAAATTATTTCAGTTCTATGTAATTCTTAAACCTCAGTAGTGGGTGAGAAATAAATTCTTTTAAACACTCTGATGCACTCCAATTAATTTCTCTTTCTGATACTTTGTTCGGGTTCTTCTGAAGCTTATATGAGTCATTATTTTGTTACCTTACTCCATCTAGCTCCTTGGAATACTTCTCAAAATTTGCAATGACTTTATTGGTTTTCAAGCTTTATTTTATTCTTCAATATCATCGACAGATTTCAGGAGTAGTTTGGAGCTGTCTAACTTTAGACCAAACCACCTATTCCTGTATTCACTTAATATTATCTTGTGAAATTCTTAAATCTATTTCTTATCCATCTATATACACACAAAATGATCGTAGAAGGAATCGGGAATTTAATTATTATAATTCATACATACACACATTAAGGAATTCACGTCTGAAGAGTTTATTAAAAACTCTGTACAACTGTTTCATCAAAGAAAAAGGCAACTAACAATTCTGATATATTCAACATGTATAAAAATTCTAAACAAACTGTCAAACGAAACCAAAACATCTTCATTCTAGCAACAGTTGAAGATAACAAATAGGAAAATAAGAACAAAAGAGCACCAGCAATTTGCAACCTTAAGTTTACAAAAACCACTGCCGCATCTAATTTTGCAATCATATCAGTCAAATCACGCTCTACAGGCCATACTATCATACTGTTAGCATTTCCATGGACCCATTTCCTCTACCAACTACATACCCTTCATTAAAATAAATATGAAAATGATACTTAAACATCTTGTGGTGTATATCTGGTAACATTGATTTTCAAAAGCTTCAACGACTTCTGTCAGTTATAGAAAACCTACTGTCATTAGTGATATTCTGAACATTCAGTAATACCAAGTGTAAATGCACCAAGAGTTGTGTGTAATTAATGTTACCTCGTACGGGGAACGATACAGTACGTGGAACGGGTACAGGTTCGGTAATTTCTATTGTACGGATTCGTTGGGTGCATAGTCAGTCAGGAATTTTGGGTCGCAATTTTTTCGAGACCCCATTACTGCATAATGGAGACTTCTCCATACATGCACCTTCCCCTTGGAACTGGAAGCCAAAACATCTCCTCCAGCACCTCCCTCTATCACATTCTCTATTGTCACAGACTCATATTCTTCTTGTCTCTCAGTCAGACAGTTTAACTCAGACTTACCCATCTTCATCTTCTTCCTATTCCTCAACCGTCAAGTCTCTAAAAGCTCATCTTCTTCCCGCTTTCTGAAGAATTACCAGACATTGAATTTTGGATGAAGATGGAATAGTGATTGCCCTAAGTCACCCAACGCCATTTTTTATTTTTTATTTATTTTTCACGATTTGAGTTTGCAAATCTATTATACCTTACAATCATCTAGGATGTTAGTTTCTACGATTTGGGTTGCGATTGGGACGATTGAACTAGTTCACAGTTCACCAGGGAGAAGGGGGGGTGAACGAAAGCACATGACAGAAAAACCATGGAAACAACTCAGTTAGACCAACTTTTCATGATGTTTACATGCTTGCTTCTTTGTTGATGGGCTAACATTGCCACTTCTCTAGAACAGCATTCTTCTACTTCTTCTTTAGTTCTTGTTATTTTTCTATGGGGGAGAGAGAGAGAGAGAGAGAGAGAGCTCCTAGCGTTCTCTTGTTAATTAAATAACATTTCCACCCAACACTTTGGGAAAGAGAGTGCATGTGTTTCAATAAATGCACATCAATTCTTCTATATACGCCCCAAAATAGGTTCACTCAAAATCAAGCTATTCATCATCATCGTACAAATTTGGTAGCCTAGCACATTTATCTTTGTACATGATATGTGTATTGATAGACATTTTAAAAACTATCTTAAGTTTCCATAAATAAAAAAACCATTTCAATTTGTTCTATTATAGTACAAATTGTTGTTGGTCAATATTTGTAATAAATAAGGTTTTCTTTTGATGTAACTTCCATTTGACATCTTGCTTAGTACATGGTCTGGGAAGGTTTTCACACTAAGAATCTTTTCTTTGGACCTCTAAAAGTTATGTAAATTTTAGTCTACATTTACTGTTATATGACATGAATTTGTAGGGATTTCAGACACTTTGGTAGATATGTAAGAAAGGAGACAACACCGAAAAGAGAGGGGCGTGTTTCTATTAATCCATTTTAAATTTGTATCTCGTGTGGATAATCATCATGGGGGTCTATATATGCATATACACATACATTTATAAGGAAAACGTTCTCTTCCAAAAAAGTCTGAGCATATTATGTTAGCAGTCTGTGAATCCAGAACTATTTATCAAGTGGATTCTTATGTTGTGGGTTCAGACAACATAAGTATCTAGCAAGAGATGAATTCCCTATATATATACACACACATTCATTACGGAAAGTTCTCCCAGTACAAACACATTAAAGATAGGTTCTGTTATAAGCATACATATATACCAAAGGATTAAGAAATGTACCAAAGGAAAAGGCACTGATTGGATTGCTAATACATATGAGTGTTTGATTGAAGAGCTTGGTTCCTAGGACTAAACGCTGGTTACATTATGTAAGAATCACTTTACGGGGATATTTCATTTTAACTACCACCTTTGATAAGTTCTTAATTGCATATTCATAAAACCATAATTGATTAAAAACCATTCTGTCTCATATAACTTACAGGAATCAAACATAATAGATTTTGAAGATTGTGAGACAAGCTACCAGATCAATTAAATGTATAAAATAACAAAAGGTATAATATAAATGTAGTTATACTTAGAAAACTAAACAAAAAATGCATGGAAATAAACAACAGAGATTAAATTCTCACCCAACAATGGAGAGAGAGAGAGGAATATGTTTTTACCTTGAAAAGATGATAATGTGTTATAAGTGATGAAACATGCAGACAAATCCTTTGCATTCCTTGTGAATGGAATTTGGTAGATAGGATACCTAATAAACAATGAAGAATCATTTGTAAAATTCTTATATTTGTATCTCTTAAGACAAGATATGATATGAAAGTAAACAATGGTGAAAAGTACGTCAGGTTCAGAGTAAGACATTGTTCTAATATTTTTCTCATTGCACACGAAAGATGTTTCCTATGAGAGTTGAAGTTGCAATGTCCTACCTAGTGCCACTAAAAATGAATTACTTTTTTTGTAACGACTGCACTGTTGACAAATAATAACTAGAACTCCAGTTGTTTGTAGTTTTTCTTGCAGAGGCAACTGCATTCATCTTAACATGGATTATAGTTTATGAAACAGCTTCCTGGGGTTTTCTTTTTATTGATCAAGGAAACACAAGAAGACAAAGATACTAGTAAAAGGCCAAAGTGGAAAAACAAGATACTAAAAAACATTGAAGGGATCCGCAAATGGAAACACAATATACTCTATACTGATAAGTAGAAAGATTAGTATCGCAATCTTCAATTGAAAATTACTAGCAACAAGAGCAAAAATCGTGCGTACCAAGCAACAGCCATCCAGCTATAGGGAGAAAGCTGCACGCTCTGAAACTTCAGCAGAGCAGGATAATTCTGAGCTAGCTCATTGATCTGATCAAACATCCCATTGCATATATGATCAATAAGAGTTATCAAAGTTGACTTTTTCTCAAGGGAAAAAATAAAAATAAAAAGATGACAGAATTCCAAAACTTGTATTGAAGAAATGGAGGGTTATTGGGATATTTGCCTTGTCGGTGAGCGGAACTCTATCATAAGGACTGGCTGTTTCATTGTACTGGCAATACAGGTGGCCAAAGCGCTCAGTTGTTTGGCAAGAGACCTCATGGTCACCGGTAGAATCATCTGAAGTGACATCTGAAGAGTCACTCTCGAGTTTCGGTGTGCAGCTTATCCCTAACCTTGTTACCAGAAGAATAGCAAGCGAATCAGAGATGAATCGGAGATTTTTGAGCTCGAGAAACAAAGGAAAATAATACTTTTCAAATACCTGGAATAATAATCAACGGGTTTCCGAGTATATATTTGGAGAGCAGATAAGGATGGAGAATAGTATTGTAAGACGCTATCGCCGCTGTTGAGGAGAATCGGGACACCGGCACCAAAGCAACTCCAATCCTTGTAAAACTTCCAAAGGTCACTCAAAGAGAAACACCCGGTACTGTTATTGCCAAGGGATTGCGAAAGGCACCCATTTAGCATTTGCACAGGAACCTGTATGTTATAATATATTTATAAATATTCACAACAAGGAGAAAAAAAAAAAGTTTATTAAAATAACCAACAACCAAAAATATTATATGAAAAGTTGAGTTTTTTTTCCTTTTCCTTTTTCTTTTTATACAAGTGGAGATTTGGGAAAGTGACTCCTAGCTACTTGTAAAATTTAGGGTCCGTTTGGGAATGTTTTTTAGACGACATCTTATTATATTCATAAACAACTATAAGATAGAAATGAGAAATAATGAATCAAAAGATGAATTCATTTTAATGAATAATTAATTTTTTGACAACACAGTCTATCTATGAAAAAGGTTTTTTATAGTTAAAATTTTAAATAATCCAAAATTATTTTAATTTAAGGAAAAAAAAAAGATTAAAGCACAAGTACTTGATTTTAAATTTAGAATACCAAAAACTTCATTTGAAATAGAACCTAAAACAAGAAAGAAAATGTAAAAACAAAATTGAAAACAAGAGAATGGTTACCTTGGGAGGCTGTTGTTGAGTAAGGACTGAGGGCGTTATAGATTGAAGAAAACATTGGAAGTTGGAATACTCATTGGGATTAGAGAGCATAGGTATGTCCCAGGGAGAGTAGGGCATGATTTTGATCTGATGTGCTCCGGTCCGGTGCTGCTGCTGCTGTCTCTCTCTCTCTCTCTCTATCTCTCCCTCTCAAGAGATGATTGATTGAAATTAAGTTGGCGAGATTCTTCTATCTGCACTTCGAACTGCTCAGCTGCTCAGCTTGCTCAGCAGGTATAAAAGCAAGGAAAGGAAAAGCAGCATATATACACATTGTCAGACTAAGAAAGGAAAAAAAAATTCATATAAAAGCAAGCATAATAATTCATTTGCATATAAATATATATATATATATATATATATAAAAGGGCTTAGACACTCCCCTCCCTTGGTAATTAATTGCAGTGTATTTTTGCATTCATATGCAGCATTGGCAACCCTTCCCACTCTTTCCTGCTCTCTCTCTCTCTCTCTCTCTCTCTCTCTCTCTCTCTCCCCTGTAATGTCTGTCGTCTTGCTCACAGTCACAATTACCTTAGCCCAGTAATTTAATCTCAATCTCTTGTTTTACTTTTATGCACAAAGCCAGATATTAAAACATCTGTCTTTTTCCTTTTTATTCAATTTTCAATCAAAATATATGGAAAGTATATGTGTGGTAATCCAAAATTAATTTATGGAAGGAAGAAAGAAACAAGATTTAATATGAGGAGACTCGAAATTAAATGGTGATGAATTTCAAAGTACTGAGCGAGGGAGTGACCACTGACCGAGGCAACAAACTGATTGCACACACGTTTAAGTCACTTTCAAGCAGTGGAAACAAAAACCTACAACCAAATGAAGATGGCAGAATGAAAATGGCAGCTTTAGAAGTAGAATAGAAACAATGACAGCAACCTGATTTCTCATTTGGAATTTTGGAGAGGAGGTCAGATTCGCCCTCCAACGAAAAAGTTATGGAAATTTGCAACCCCTTCCTTTAAAATTTTGCTCCCATGAAAAATTTCGTAAGGTTTTTATGCCAAAGTTAGGAAAGGGGAGTCGGAAAGTACTCACACACGCGAATACTATAGAAGCTTGAATTCAGATCACTTAAGAGCACACCAACAGCTTGAGAGCCAATCCAATTAAAACCACCTCATTGGTGACCAATATTTGTGTTTGGAGGAAGTATTTTCAACTGCCCAATAAACCCTGTTTTTTTTTAAACAAGAGATATTGGAAAAATCTCATCTCCTGAGTATTATAGTTTCTCGACCAATTGTTAAATTCTTTTATTGTATCTTTATATATGGATAATTTTTGTTGGATCTGAACTTTTATTTCCTTTTTTAGTAATTACTTGTTTTGTAACAGATCTTCGTTTTTTACGTATTTGTTCTTTTAAAATAAAGCAGTTGTGTTTTCAAATTATTTATTAAATAATGGTAATTTTGTGTTATTTAAATAAGGCCAGTGGGTATAGCTTTTTAATACCCTAAACCCTATAGCTCAGTTGATTAAGCTATTTCACCTCCGCTTATGTGAGCAAATGCTCGAAACTCCGAGACACCCAATGAATTTGTGCAAATCTCCCTCTCTCAATCAATTTATACTAAAAAAATTTACCATAAGAATATTTTACTTTATATAGATATTCTATTCACACATAGTAACCCAACAACTTTATTTTGGCATGTGAATTCCAATTAGAACCCTTTAAAACCAATTAGAAAATGAAAGAGAAATCTGAAAAAAGAAAGACGCAGCACGCAAACTACCCATCTCCCCACCTTCTCTCTCTCTCTCTCTCTCTCTGCATAAAGTTGGACTGCCCAAAAAATAGAAGGAATGAGCATGGGCAATTTAGAAACTATAGGGGGTGAGATGAGTAGAATTTGTTGGCGGTGATGTAATGACAGGAGAAGATAGAAACTGGGTGACAATAGCACCACTCATTACATAATTTGTATTTATAATTTAAACACAGTTTCTCTTATCATTCAAGTACAAAATAATTTAAAAATGGTGGATAAATATGTTTTGGGAATTTTTTAATTTTCCTGTTCTGTTAAGTGCTGCTAAACGAACCCTAAAATTATCTGAGTACACAATACTACAAAAGTATATATTGAATTACTGATTTACCCTAATATAAAATAACCAAAAAGGATATATGGAATTGTGAAACAAATATAAATTTTAATAAGTACACCCTACTAACCATATTCAACCCTAATCAAAAGATTACTTGGTTCCCATCTTTGTGATCCGCGAGTGCAACCAGGGACAACGAAAGAAAGAGGCTGAAGTTGATTTCTAGCCGTAGACTTTGGCCGACAAAACAAAGCCACCGCTTCGAGGTAGGAGAATCTTAACTCATTACTAGCGAACAATAAAAAGATCAATATTTCTCAAAATCGATCCTTTCGTCTCTCTCTTTCTATGTTCATAGTGGATACCAAAAGTACACCTTAGAGCACTAGCTTTGAGATAAAAAGTCTTGTTATTCGTGCACGTCCACCTCAATGCGGGGCCTAGAACAAGCCATTAGAAAACAGTTTTGGAAGGACACAAATGAATTGGCCTCTTATTAGTACATTGCAGAGATATTATTCCAATTTTATGTTAGCATATATCAAAATAAAAGCAATACTAATAGGATCATCAACAAAGATAATAACTACGAATAGTCCATCTAGAAAGGTTGGGAAAGTTGAGAACAAATAAATTTCACAGTAGCATAGTAGTATATAACTGAAACATGCATAAAAAATCACTATTAACGAAAGAGGTGGTGATTGCAAGAACTTGGAATTGCAAAAAAAGTGTCAACAGTTTTAGTAGAAGCATAAATCCATATGAAAAGTCAAAGATTTATAAACACTATTAAAAAAATCAAGTTGAAAATCAACTATAAAATAATGCTACAAGTATTAGGGTGTACTAGAGGTATTTTTGATAGTTCAATAGGGTGTACTTAGTTAATTTTACATTTTAATCAAAATATTAGGATGTACTTAGATCATAGGGTGTATTCAGTTAATTTTAGGGTTCGTTTAGCAGCTCTCAAAATATAATGAGATTTAAACATGGAATTCTTTTAAGAGGGCATCAATCTATAAATGAGGTGGTGCTTTGTAGATTTAAATGTTGTGGTTGCAGGGAGGTGATGGTGAGGGAGGTGGTGGCGGCAATGAAGGTGGTGGGTTGTTTGTGGCTCAAAATTCCTAGTTTTTTTTTCCCACACGAAATTTCTAATTTTTGTTTTGTTCTTATTTTATGAATCCAAACAAGGGAAGAAAAAGTAATTATAACAAAACGAAAAAGATGTAATTCATCATTGACAATGAGGTGAAAGAGGACTTGAAAGAATCTAACATTAAAGCCATTACTCACATTTGCAGTTTTTTTCAGGATACCTGTTACAGTAGCACCAATCTTTTACATTAGGAACGTATCTATTTAAAAAAATAATAATTAAATCATCACTGATGCAACCAAAGGATACAATTTGATGCTACATATTCGGTTAAGTGTGAAACGGAGTGGTATCTCTTCTCCGCTGAGCAGAAATGGATTGATAGTTCCCAAAACCGTGAAGACAGGATGTATACTGACATGTCAATTAGCCTCTTGTTTTAGTGAATAGTTTAGAATAAGCTTGTAGTTAATAACTCCACTTAGCATTAATGTACAACCAGGGGATGCCCGAGCCAGGCCACACAAGACAGAGCGTTGCGTCAATAGCCAGCCATCAGGTGTTGCAAGAAGAGGGGTCCATAACTCCAAAATGCACAAACTCCCTCCAGACTGCACTTTCACTTTCAGTCATGAAACTTCCTGAAGTGCTAGATTCAACTCTTGTGCAGACTTCGCAATTGATCCTCCTCTTCTATGGGCAAAAGAGTGAACAAAAGGATATTGGCATCTCTGGCATAATGAGTTAAAATGCAAAACAAAGTGTTGGTCAAGCCAACTTTAAAAATCTAAATTTTTTGAAAACAGGCACCTGGTAAGAGCAGACAAACAGGTTTTGACTTTTTCAAGCTCCATAAAACAGTTGTTGCAACGCTCCAGCCTATGAAAAGCAATTCAAAATAGAAAGCCATCTCAAATGCGATCAATGCTTAAAATCTATATATAAGGTAAAGAAAAATGTATATCACAACAAACAAAGCATACCTTTGCTCGGCTTCAATATCAACACCAACAGATGATGATGCGGATAATGTTGAATAGATCACAGAACCAAATACTCTAACCAGCTTGAGCAGCATTTCCAAAGAAATGCCTAAATGCCTGAATATGGTCAGACCATCAAATAATGAGCAGCAAATTTGCAGATGAAAGATTCCAAGCACAAAATCCAATAAGTACTGGTTGAGATTTTGTTTCACAATTAGCCTTAGTAATGTTATAATTGCCTGTCAAATTTAGAAAATTTTCGGATGAAAGATTCCAGGATCACAAAATACATCATCCAGGTACATCCATCCCTGGAGAGAACTGTGATTAGAGTCCCCTCTTCCACCGCCACCAACAACCCACCCTCCCAACTTTTTCTTTCTTGATTCCACACTTCTTTAAACAATTGTTCCCATTAGGTGAAATTACATGCAACAATACAGCACTGCTTCTACTTCTTACAAAACATCTACCTAGTAACACGATTGCTCACATCGCATGTCACGAGTTTCATTCAACCTCCGCAGTACACCAGAAAACCACATGGCATTCCATATTATGAGTAAAAATAAAGTTAAAAGAAAAGGACAAAGAAAATAGGATAATCTCTGCAGGCAACATTACTCCCAAAAGAAGAGACCAAAAAAAAAAAATTCAAAGGCTCAAAGCATATAAAGTTAAAAGAAATAACATATTAGAATGATTTCCCATAGACAAAGCTTGCACCAGCTTTTCCAATTGCAAACTCAAATAGCCACAGCAAGTCATATTTAACGAGAACATCCCACAACAAATGAGTGGATGATACTTCTATGTGTACACATTGGGGTTGGGAAAACATTTGGTGGGGGGGAGGGGTGCGGAAGAGGCACCTACAATATAGTGAACCTCCTTGTGTGATAGAACAATAGGAAAAAGACAACAAAGCAAACTTTTTTAAAATGGCTTAGACGATTGTAGTACTGCAGTGCAGTTGACTACAACTAAAACTCACAAAGAAAAAATAAATAAAAAAAGGAAAGTTTCTAGAAGGTAGCAAAGCTCTCCACATGAAACAATTTGATGTCATTAAGTTTCTAGAAGGCCTCTACCTAACAAAGACCCCAAATAATAAAAAAATAAAGAAAAAAGGAAGAGGTTGCTAAAATTCTCACCTATCCAAGTTACTTTCTAGAAGGCCATTGAGGAGTGGCAGAAGACAAGTGCATATATCCAGTGTGACAATGTCAATTTTTTCTGTCATAATGCTAACTACATCCGCAATGACCTGGATTAAAAGCCCAAAAAATTAAAAAGATATTTAAGTTTTCACAATAACTGAAAGGGATATTTGTTCCACATTCAGTAGTATCTAGAAACTGAGGGCTAAGAAAAACAATTAAGACAATCCACAGAATATTCTTACAGCATGATCAGCCATCTTCTCCATTGCACCAATGACCCCCTTAACATCATTCCTTTCCCAATATCTATAGACTACCTGCAAACAGTTACCCACAAGATTCGTCAGTAAAATATATACTGTCTGCAAATCGTCACTATTATTATTGTGACTAAGCAACACTTCAACAATTGGTAATTCCTCATTGCAGCTCAGCTGTTCTTAAAGCTTGCTAAACTCCATTTGCAACCGTTAGGTGGTACCATTATTTTTAAAATCCATCATAAACCCTAACCCCCTTTCTATTCGCTAGTTTTTCTCCCATTCCTAAAGCTAGTATCACAAAACACTGATATAACTGCTACTAAGAAGCATTCAAAAGGTCTTTCATCTCCGTAGCCACAATGTTGCAAACAGGAAAAAAATAACAGCAAAAAATAAAGCACAAGCAAAACCTACAATTAAAAACAGAAGTATTGCATGCAATTTAATTTCAAACGGAGGACCTAATGGACTCTTCTTGGACAGAAAAAAGAAAGAAAAGAAATTATGTAAAAGAAAGAAAGATGGGATACAAAAATAATGGTCAAGGGAGCTGAGCATAATTGACTACCCAACTAACAAGCATTGAGCTCCCACCATCAACTCAAAAATACCCAAAGGTCATGTAAAGAAATAATAGATACATAAAGAAGATAACAGCACTGCACAAACACTTAAGCAAAGTCTCAAAATCAATAAAGATGACCTGTAATTTGGTTGAACGAGATTGCATGGAGCCAACAAATTGGTCATGTTTTTCCATGAGATCTGCAATAGCATCCTCATCACTAGCGGACACCAATTCTTTTTCAGTAGATGTAGGATAACCTCGCTGCTTAAACTTCAAACAACCATCCAGAAGTTATCATGAGAAAATGATAGATCTTATACAAGTTCATGGTTTCCACTATGGTATTCAATTCATGGTTTCTAGCAGTTCTCATAAATGAAATCATGAGGAAAGAAAAATATTTTGAGAATTAGCAATAAATAAGCAATTAAGTTTAACTTATGGTTAAATGTCATTCTTTAAATTGAAATGCTAGAAGTCTGCCATCTTCTTAAATGCAATTTATGATGCATGTTAAGAAAGAAAGATGTCACAAAAAGGCAGAACAAAAATGTGGCAGTACCGCATTCAAAGGGGGAATGTTCACCTCAGATGCTGTTCCCAGGGTACTATTGGGCGTAGGTCCCTCGTAGTTAGAATATCTATCTCTTTTCTCCCAATTAACAGCAAGTGAGCGCATTCTTCCTAGATATACCATATAGAGCTTCGGTCATACTTCATGAGACTAGTCATAGAAATGAAGCAGAAGTAAAAGGCTATACCTCCTCTTTGACCTTCAGCAGAGTATGCATCTCTGCTCACCTTGTGCCCTCGAGTTTCATCTAGATAAGAAAAAAAAATAAAGGTCAAAGATAAAAACACTGGAGCTTTAGCATTGGCAGTATGACACTCCATCTCAAGAGGACATATGTACATGACTAAGATAGACAAAACCACATGCACAGTACAAGGCCATCAATCATTAGAGAGAACATTACACAAAATATAGAATTAAGCATTACGCAACAGAGAAACCAAGCTAAAGCACATGGGATATGACAGCATTTAATATGAAAAACATACACATGTTCCTTTAACTGCCATTAGTGAATCCAAATATGGAGAATCGATCCTCAGAGTAAGGGGCACATCCCCTTTGCTGGCAATACCATCATCAAAGGGGTAGTTGTTATTATGGTTTTCATGCTCAGAGGCCCATCTGCCTTGCTTTCACACTAGTCTGAGAAGGCCCTTTATTCGGGTAACTATTTGATAAAAACCTATGTGGAATAATGATTACCAATCATTTAATGAAATGAGATGGCTTGTGGTTCGACTGTATGCTGGGTTCATTCAACCAGCCTTGTACAACCTTTGCAACTGATTGTGAAAATTAACTGTTTGATTCCCAAGCTAGTGTAAGAACACCTATAACATTATTGTGGTACCAAAAAGTGATTATTTAAGTAGGGGGTGGGGCAAAGGGGAGGGAGATCTCCACCACTCACACACCACAAACACATAGAATGGCTTGAGAAGCTGAGATTAGAATCTAATATTTACAACATCCTGCCCGAAATAAAGAATTTAAAGTATAAATATAATTTTCACATATTGAAAGCTTGGACAGCTGAAACTAGAAAATCCATCAAACTTACAATATTATGGCTCATATATAGATATGTCATTGATGTGTGAACATCTTCAAATCCATAAGTAAAACTGAGATAAGATATATAACAAAGTTGACAAGCACCTCCAAAATCCAGATCCATATTTACACTAAATTGGAAATATACTAAATATGCCGAACTTCCATTAATATCCTTCACCCTGGTGAAAACCATGACATGGAACCAAATGAACTGCATTACTCCAGTCTACCACCATTACTGTTAACACTAATTACTCATAATGACCAGAACAATAAACAACATTCTCATATCCATCAGATTTGTCATCTTTCAGGTTAATGATTTATATTTGTTTTGGTAGGTCTAGGCCTCCTGCCTGTGGTGGATGTACATCTGATCCATGTGACATATTCTCAGACAGTTAACAAAAGAAATGATTTTTCAATTGAGACTCAAAACACCTCTGGTGTGAGGCTGAGTCACAAACTTAAACTGTTTTAAGAACACTAAGTATGGTACAAGTTTCTTTTTCTACGTTAAATTTAGTTCAAGTTACAGTTAAAGAAAAAACTATTAAGAGTGGACTCCCCCGCACCCCCTTTTTTTAATTTTATGTTCTGTGATGGAAAAGCTATGAGTGGAAAGAGTGCTACTAAAGATCAGATACATACAACTTTCATGCTGGTGGCTCGCAGTTGCCTCCATCATTGAACTTGTCTCATGCTTCCCAGGTCCAAAATATCTGTCATCCTTTGTGTTCCTTTCAGCAGTATGTATTCCCTGGGTTGAACTTATAACTGTTGAGAAACCATTCTTATCTGCAGCATTGCTTAACTCAGTAGCCTTAGAAGCAGCGGAATCAGACACTGACGAGACAGTTGGCTTATCCACTTCTTCTCTGCTATTGGACAACTTCCGGAAATCAGTTGCCTTTGACTGCAAAGAAAATGCCAGTGTTCTCCCAGATCCACCGGCCTCTTTTCTGGACTCAGCTGGCAACTCTGATCTTATACTAGTTCTCGGTACAATTACAGGTATGACATCAGACTTGTTAAAAGTTTGAAGATTGGCTGTTGAATTGATCTTAGTAGAACTCCTCTTCAGGGTTGTTGCACTAGGAACTGCTGCTGAACTAGCAGCAATGGTTTTTGGACTGGAGTTCAAATTGATCCTTTGAGGAGTACCAGGAACATTTCCTGTGGCTTCATTCAGGATGGATAGCCAGACATAAAAAGTCTAAACATCAGAGAAGTAATAACAAAAGGACATGTAAAGAGGCCAAGATAAGATCCATGATAAAACAAATCTGAGAATCCCAAAAACAATAGATACACACAAAATACTCCATGAAGAAATTAAAAACAGTAAAGGTTAAAAAGTTGCCTACATGCAATAACTTTTGGCTCCTTAGTGGGATCTGAATTTTGAGAAACTGATAACCTTCCAAGAGATTTTGTTTCCTTCACTAAAGAATCTGAACATTGGGAAACAGATAGCCGACCCAAACTTTTAGCAGCATTCTCATTGAGTAATGACAGATTCCCGCCAGACAACGGTTTAGATTCTGTGTGCCCATTCAATCTGCTAGCATTACCAATTGCATACGGTTCTATGCGCTGTGCCAAGCAACAGATCAGTTTGATATCAATAGATAATACCACCAGAGCTAGAAAACAAGAAAACATCTAAATGTAAGAACAGAGATAAACTGAGTAATACCGAGATGTCTACAACCCACACTCCAACACAACTCTGATTGTATGAGCATCCAAGAAGCTTTCCCTCATGAACATTAAGATCTGACAATCGAGACCATCCAACATCCACGGCATCATGGCATCTTATTGGCTCCCACGAGAAAACCTACATACTAAGAGTTTAAGCATGCAAATTTCACAACCCTGATTCATATGAAGGATTACATGAGCTTACCTTTAAACTTTCATGCAATCCACAGAGTAGGGCTCTCCCATCAGGACTAAAAGTCAAAGAACGCACTCCAGTTGTCTGTTAGAAACTAGAAATTAGACAAATAATCTCCTTATAGAAAGACAATCCTGAAAACATTAGCTTCTTGGCAATTTGGACCATTAGCAGTATTCATGGGGTATACCTCAGGTCCAGATGAGCCAATTAACTCAAAGGTTTCGAGGTCCCAAAATTTGACTGTCCTATCAGCTGAACCTGAAAGGAAATGAGAAATAATACATAAGGAACAGATGTGGAGTCTAACAGATGAAAGTATTTCCACCCCTTACCAGAAAGGAGAAATGTCTCACAAATTAATAAAAGCTCAACCATGCATATTTTTAACCATAACAGTTGCAAACTAGTTGAAAACTAAGATAAGATTTAGAACCTAGATGTATGAGGTATCTACATATTCCATCTTATGTCACAGAAAGAAGTCGCAATTATTAAACCCAAGGGAGTCCTTCTTTGTAGTTGGTCCTGCTCATTGTACAGAAAACCTACTCTAAACAACACAAAGCACCAGAGACCAGGGTATTCAATGATCAAAATGATGCAGTTAAGAACCAATGGCTATACAAAACCTAGAATTTTCATAAGAAATGAAAATAATGGGTTAAACTACTATCTATAGCAAGGGAGAAGCGGCTTACAATGAGGCAATGATCTATGTTCAGCAGTAGGAGGACAAAACGGCACTAAAACATAAAAATCCAATATCTCGAGGGACTATCGTGACACACCAAGGATATCGACTCCTATTTTCAATTGCCAGGAAACAATGCATTCTAATATACAGCTAATAACGCAAGCAAAATGCATAACTGATGATTAAAAGACAGAAGTATCAATAACCTGTAGCTAGCAGAAACTCGTGGGGATGAAAATCTATGCACTGAATCTGGCCCTCATGACACTTGAAATCATGCAGCAGCTTACCAGCAGTCAGATCCCACAACTGGTAAAATATTAGATATTGGTTTATATTTTGTCAGAATCAAATGGCAAATTTTGGTTTACTATCTACAAGTTACATGTATCAACATCCATAATTGCCCAAGAAGATAGAAGCAAATATTTTTCAAGACGAAAGCAATTCAAACCTTCACAGTGTTGTCCTCTCCACCAGAAACAACCCAACGGCCATCCGGTGTAAATCTGATAGCGTTGACTCCTCGAGTATGGCCTTTGTATGTGTGAATACACCCCTTCTTCCTGATATCCCATATTTTGAGATTTGTGTCCAGCGAGCCAGATGCAAAGAACTCCCCAAAAGGATGGAAGTCCACAGATATACAATTGGATCTGTGACCAGTAAGTGTGCGAACAACTACACACAAAATCACATTGCAAAAACAAAAAAGATATATGAAAGACAATTTGACAGCATACAGCAGATATCTAGAAAAAACAACCAGTGCAGTTTCGATAGGGGCAGTCTCTTGTTCTGATGATTTAAAGAAATATATTGCAGAGTAAAAAATAAACGGCATACTCTTTGCCTCTTCTAAATCCCAAAGCTTAATTGTGCCACTTGCAGCTCCTGCAGCTACTAAGACCTCTGAAGAATCAAAGCTTACCGAATCAATTCCACTGGTGTGTCCAGACAAACTCTGGGTACGAAGGCACATTGAGTAGATTAGAATCGACAAAATAACAGAATTTGGTCTAAGTTGATAATTATACAATTTCAGTGGAAAATTTGCATCTGTGTCAGTTAACCTCACAAGAATATGATGAGGGCTGAAAACCTTTAAATTAAGAGGAGAAGAGAGAGGAGGAGAGGGAGGGGGGGTTGGTTAAGAGAGGGAGAGAAGGTTACCAGTATGGCATTGGGTTTCCCAATGGCCCAGAGATTGACCTTGTGATCTTCTCCGCCAGTGACAAGAACTCTGGAAGATTTTCTGCCAATCTTAAGGCAATTCACAGCTGAAGAATGTGCTACGAATTCCTCTGAGCCACAACCCAGGTTAAGGCTAAAACTTTCGGATACATATTCTTCTCAGTCTGATACTTATGAATACATACATACATACATGTGTTTAAAGATTAAATATATATATATATATATATATAGATTGTGCAATCAGCAGGTGAGGGAGGGAGATTGTATGGTAATTTCATGAACATAATTAAATCAAGAGGAGGATACGTAGCTTGTAAGCGCGTTTAGTAGTCATGGGCAAAGAAAGAAGAGAAACCCTAGCAATTCTTTCAAGGTTTATCTTTTTTGTAAATAAATATAGCAGTACCAACTCTCCACTCCACACATTCAACTCAAATCTTGCGCCCTTGGAGAAAAAAAATCAAATCTTGCGCTGATTAAGAGGATGCTGATGCTGATGGGCGTTTCATCTTGTTCAGGCCGGATCTCGAAGAATTCAATCCGTACCTTCAAATTTCAAATTTCAAAATTCTAATACAGACAGAAGAAATTAGATCTTCAGGCTTGAGACTAGGAAGAGAGAAAAACAATAATAATAATAATAGGCTAAAAAAGAACAGTTGAAGCTTACAGAATGAGGTACATTGCGGAAGAAAATGAACAACGTTGCTTGGTCCTTGGCTCGGAGGCTCCTTTTTTCCGCTCAAGTTGAGGCCGTCTCGACTCTGCCTTGTTCCTTCACACTCTACATTACATGGTTTAGTCTCTTCTCTTTCTTGTCAAAATTGAAAATATACGCAACACGGAGACGAAACAGTAGCGTAATAGAGTATTCTTACAAGATAATTAAACTAGGAGGAAGTTACTGTCGCAGCCAGGCAGAGACTGAGTATTATAAGCAAAGGCAAAGGCAAAGGCAAAGGCATGGATTTCCTCGTCGTCTTCTATTTCTCTGCTTCCAACTCCACATCATTTCCCAGCCTCCTCGTCCTCAGTCCATTTCTATTCTATTTCCCTTTCTTTTCTTTTTTTCTTTTTTTCTTTTTCTCTTTTGGTTGCTCAAATACAAAGGCAGCGGCGGGCCAGTGCCAACATATGAGTAAATACGCATAAGCAGAGTAAAGACGCTGTCACGAATTGAGTCACCCTCCGCCCTCCTTAGATGTATAACAACATTTTATTTTTGGCTTTTGTTTGATTTTGTTTGTTTTTTGTTTTATTGGAATTGTACTTTGAAGTTTTTCGAATTATCAAAAATAAAAACAATAAAAAACAAAAAACACTTGGAGGAAGTATTGTATTAAAATCTTTTTCTTCTTCTTTCCAAAGTAGCCTTGTCCTGGAAGATAAATCAATCTTAAAATGAGAGCTGGGTCTCTCTCCCTCCTTTCCCAAGTCAAAATAAAACAGACCACCCACCCATCACTCACCTTCCTCAACTCTCTCTCACCTTTCTATTTATATCTCTTTTCCTTTTCTTCATTTTTCTTTCTTTTTGAGAAGCCTTTTCTTCATTTTTGTTGTTTGGTTTATCAATTTACTATTTAATCAATGGCAATCTATGTGTGAGCCACTCTTTAACACGACCACCCAAGATTACCCATCACACTTTGTTACAACTTCAATCAGAGATGCTGAACTCGGACTGAAAAATAAATATAGATGCTTAATAGCTTGACCTTAAAAAAGTACGCAAATTGTACAAGTACATGGTCACAAATTGCTAACTCTAAGCCCTCGGAAGAGGTAACGATAAAATACGGGACAGCATTCATAATAACATGGCGTAATACTATGGCGTAAAATACATGTTATGAAGTTGTCAACCTCAAGCCCCTCGAAATAGTACAACTTTCAGAAACATCTATATCTGAATACATTCAGATCTTGAAGTACTTATATCCATCCTCTGTGTTGGTCATCCCCTCTTCCCAATCACCAATTCTATGCCCACCAAAAACTATCTGTTGAATGCCTAGATATCTGCCAACAAGAAAGCAAGGAAACAATGCAATGTAGTCAATATCCGTCCAGTTAAAGATTGAGACATCTCTCTTTCGATTGTTCAGACTTACTCTGAGCTCAAGACGGTCAAGCAGTTGAGGAGCACATCCATGGCAAAATAGTCAGCTGTACCAAGGTCTACCCTGTTGTACATTTATATTTGAACTATCATATGGACAAGAATTACTATATTTGAACTATCATATGGACAAGAATTACAAAGTATTACAAAACACAAATTCAGCTAAGTTCTGCAACGCATACCAAACACGACCCCAGTTATCCTGAAACTCAACGTCACTGATATCATGAAATGAAGATGGCATCACTTTGAAACCCTTATCCACATCATAGAGGGGATTATACTCCATGGAAGAATTTGCAAGCTGCCAACAATGCTATGTTAGCACATTTCAATTGTTTTACACAAAGCAACAACTATTACTAGAATTTTAAAGCAATTGACAAGATGAAGCACTTTCTGCAAGTTTCTGCCTATGTTTTATAAAGCAAAAGGACCTGATACAATTGCCTATTGCATTAGGAAAAAAAGTTGTAAGCTAGTTGAATAATGAACTCAGTTAGATGAATTTACAACACGTGTTATTTGCATAGCCAAGTACCATCTACAAAAACACCCTGCATGGCATATAATTGATACTATGTTACAATCTAATACCAACAACGCCAACAATATGCCAAACTGATGTGATAGGGACTTCAGTTGTATTAGATTCTGTGGTATAAAAAATATGCAACACAACACAAATACTTCAGAAACCAAATCCCTTCCACTTTTTACTGGTCTACACCCAAATTCCAGTTGTATTATACTGCAAATCCTTTTCTTTTCCTCCCAAATTGTCAGCAACCAGATGACGCATTGATGAATAAGAATGAGATGTTACAAGCCTAGTGAGGCAAACAAGAAACGGGTTCCTTTTTGAAAGTTGTAAATGGTTCATTATCAAAAGGCTGGCTGTAATTACTAGGAGTGTATGCATTTCTGATAACAGGATGTTGTTATATATGTCACTAGCATTGCCATGATTGCCACAAAACCCCTGATCACCCCATAGTCGAAGCCACTCCTATCATCATATCTTCATATGTTGAATACCAATATACCATTTTAAGATCACCAATCCGGCTCAACTATTCAGAATTACCAATATACCATTTTACAAATGTTCAGTAAAGTTGTAAGAACTTAAGGTCTTAAGCGATAATAACTCACAAAACAATAAAGTTAGTCATAGCAGGCCATGGACGAACCTGCAGATTAGTAGAATTAAAGGCACCCAAGCGTCCCATAACATACCATGACTGAATAACCTGCACAAATTTCCCAGTAGATTCAGTGGAAATAATAAATCATCCAGATAGGAAAAAAGAGTGTTTTTCTAAGGCCTAATGTTCAAAATACAGAAAGGAAGCAAGTGGAAATACACTGCCAAAGAGCTCGACGTCGCGATCAGATGGCGATCCATAGAATTCAAACCATATGTAGGAATCAAGAGGATTGAAGCTGCCAGGCACCAAAAGAACATTTAATAATATTAAAGAAAAAGCATAGTTTGCTTTTCTTTTTTTTTAATTTTACAAATCAAATGGAACACTAGGCCACGTTATGCAGACAAGAAAGAAAGAAAGATGAGAAATTTACTCTCTGAAGGTGACTTTGAAGGCAAGGACAGAACCGGTTTTGGATTTGCTGAAGTCCCTACCCTTCTGGCGCACTCTTTCTTCAACCCTTTTCCTCATGAGCTCAGGGTTGCCAATGCTATCTCCAAGAACCGCTCGCAGCTCAGCATCGTTTTTGCAGGCGTCTTCCAACACTCTGCGAGAGGGAGGGAGGGAGAGAGACCCAATAGGCAACAGGAAATACATAACAAATTAATAAATAATAAATATGAAAAAGAAAAACAGAGAGAGAGCACTACTTGGCCCAGGCAGGGTAGTTGTGAAGGCGATCGTGCTCGCGTTTCCTCTTCTCTTCACGAATTTTAAGAAGTCTGCGTCCTCTGGCAGTGGTTCCTGAGCCTTTGGCACCACCACCAACACCCAGACCCAGCTCATTGGTACTGGTATTGGTGCCATTGGCAGTGGCACATACTAGTAATAAGAGCCGAGGTGGCTTTGGCAGATAGGAATTGGGATTGGGAAAGACCGTTTTCTTCTTCCATGAATGACAGTGGGATTCTTCAGTTCTACTACTTTTATTATTCGGGAGTATAAACCCGCCTTTGGCTGTGGCTCCTGTGGCTATGGCCGCCTTCATTTCATTTATCCACTCCTCTATTCCCTTTGACAAGAGACAATGGGTTTCTAAATTCCATATTTTCTTTTTTCTTTATCTCCCGCAAGTCGCAACCGCTGGAGCGCAGTTAATGAGATACTCTCTACTAGAGCAAGAGCCCATTCTGTTTACCAAAGCCGGAAACTTCAAAGCCCAATCTGCGAATCCGGGAATAGGGGTGATTTTTAGACAGGTCGGATCGGAATTAGGAGATTTCAATTTCAATCCAAAAATATTCGGAATGAAATTTCTATTCCAAATTTGTTCTAAAAAAATTTCGGAACAATATCCATTCTATTTTGGAAAACTCGGAATTTTTGGAAATTTTTGAAACTTATATATTTTTTGGGAATATTTTTGAAAATTTTCAAAAACTATTTCAAAATTCTAAAAATGCCCAACCATTTGAATGATTAAAATCGACTCAAAATTAGAAAATCATATGGTAAACTTGTAAAAATATGAAATTAAGGGAGTTTCAGATGAGCTTTTATGCTTAAGGATTTTAGGTTAATGAAATTGCCTCTTGCACCGTCAAAGAAATTGATAAGAATACTAATTTGTCCTTGAATTGCTACAAATTTACTCAAAAACTCGAGTTGAGATAGAAATTGATATTAAATACTCAAAAACTCCGTTTGAGTAAATCCATGAATAAGGTGTTTGAGGGTAAAAGGCAATGTTTAGATATCACACATGTTGCCTCTATTTCAAATTCTCGATTAAACCCAACAATATTTTATATGTTTTAATATTTCCCACAATCTTTTATTTGTTCATCAAGTTGTTTCTGATAATCAATGTCACATAACTTTCACATTTCCCTCCTCATGGATGTTCTGTGAAGGATATAGCTTCGGGGAGAGTTCCATTTCAATATTTCCCTTCATCCCCTTCTTCAGTGTGGGAAGAAGTCTAAGTTGGAATCCCCATTCAGACCTGAAATGTGAAGAGTTGGTTTGATCTATCTTGAAAAGTCCGGGAGTCGTAGAAATCGAAGCAAGTCTCTCAATTGTTCATAGCTCAACGCATCAATTTACAGTACTAATTTAAGTCATGTTAAGGTTAAGCGCATGGAGGTAGGTCATAGACTCAAAATAGAAAAAATTCACATTGCGTAAGATTTACTCATTCCTTATGTCCATCCACCAGAAAATGGGAAGATACACATAAATCAGTGGAGAAGAGGAGCTTTGCCTCCTCCATATTCTTATTAATTGGAAATCAAGTTTTGGGAAAATGCCAAATAGGAACTCGTGGATAGTAAACCATGAGCGTGCCATTAGATATATAGTTGGGCGGTCGACAGATCAACAGCAACATCAACATTCCAATCCAACTAAACTCATGGTTACGAGACTGGCTTCAAAACATACATTTTGCATGCATGAGAGCCCACGGTGGCTGTCAAGTTTCCAACAAATCGTGCCTTCAATGTCTTGTGCTGCATGACAGAGACATATCAGTAAATATCTCACAATACAATACGGCTGCAACGGAGTTGGAAGAACTGAGAAAGAATGCTAATTACGGCCTTATGTTAGACCATATAAGTATAGGTTATACCTTCCAAAGGTCTCTTGCTTCAACAACACTGTTTGTGGGGATTCCAACATCATCCCAGTTAGCTGTAATGGAAGTTCGCGAAGGGCCTTGGTTGACAAGGAGTAAAGCTACTCTGTAGCCTGAGAGCGGACCAGCCCAAACCTGTTCAAAGTACATAAAATTGAGAGTCGATCAATCTCACAGACAGTGACAGAATTCTTACGGAAGCAGAACAGCAGCCTACATATATCAGAAGAGATTGCTGGCATTTTCAGTTTTACCTCAAGATCTCCTTCCATTCTGACCTTTTTGGCTTGCACACCAAGTGGATCTGTTACAGTTAATCAACACAAATTTACAATTCTGGGTTCTATTAATGCAAACTCGTTCAGTCACCAGGAAGGAAAACAAGTGTCTATCTAAAGGTTGTAGTTAGTTACCTTGGTTTACAGAGATAACTTCTTTATTTGCAACGATCTCCATTGTCTCTTTTGTGATATTCCTCACATCACAACCAAGAAGAAGGGGAGCCTGCAGCATGGCTTATGCATTACCAAACCGATGACCTTAAACTGCACATATCATATAAAAGAAGAGAAAATGTTTATGGTACCTTAGAAATGGCCCATATGCTAAAATGGACTACATATTCATCTTTTGTCATTCCTCCGTTCCCCACTTCAAGCATGTCGGGATCTGTTGAAATTCAGCAGATAAATCTTTTACTGAAACATCAACAATGTGCCTAAACGACAGTATAGGTAAAGCATAGTTGCATTAGAATACTAACCATTCCAACCACCAGGTCTGGCAAATTCAGCATAAACTTCGTTCATGTCTGCTCTAGAGACCATACTGCCAAGGGAAATGCAAGAAAAGTATTATGTGTGACCCATATAGAAGACCAATTTGAGAGTTCATTGGTAGCACACTTTTCTACCTTTCCCATGTATCAGAAATGTCTTTAGTAGTTCTCCAACTATTTCCTACTTTAGCACCCCATAGAGCAGGGTGCATATCTCCCCTAAAAAACAAGAACAATTAGGGATTACTAACAAAAAAGAAAACAATTACATGGTTTTTGAGTTTTAACAAACAATATCATTACCATTCACAAAGAGAAAAGAATATGGGACGGCCTGCTTTCATCAGAGCTCGGGTCATTACAGGATATCTACAAGAAGATATAGAAATCTTTATCTGAGGTATACCTAATACAGGGAAACTTAAGTGCAGGCAGGAAGAACAAACATGAGTAGCGTTACTGCATTATCATCATAGATATTTTATTTTACCTAGCAGTTGGCTTTGAGCCATCATTATAACAGTTATCATACTTCAAATAATCAATTCCCTGCAAAAAAGTTGCAGTATTTCAAGATCCTATGACCAAATATCATCATTGCAGATGTCATGACTCCTTCTGATTAAAATCATTACAACATATCATACCCAAGCAGCAAATGTGTTGGCATCTTGTTCTTCATGGCCAAGTGAACCAGGCATTGTTTTGCTGCAAGTAAAGTACCTGCAAAGTATAATTGCATGCACTATTTGTTTAGTTGTAACAAATATGAGTATATATCAACATTCAACAACAAATATGCAGCATATATTTTCTGTATTGGAGTGTATGAGAGTCATGTTACCCTGCATCTGAGTAGATTCCTAGCTTAAGACCCTTACTGTGGACATAATCCGCCAGAGATTTAATGCCTGATGGAAAGGTTGATTTCTTGGGCGCTAGATTACCCTGAATTTGAAATCTCATGCTTAGTAAATCTCCATATCTTTTTCAATCATTCTAAAAGCCGAATTGTTTAAGATTAAAAATAGAACCTTGTCATCACGAGCAATTTCGGCCCAGCAATCATCTATAGATAGCAAGAAATGAAGTATGTCATCATCTTCTGACTAAATTGGAAATTACGAAGAGAAAAAGAAAATAGCAATGTACCTATGTTAACGTAGGTATATCCAAGTTTAGAGAGCCCGGTGGAAATCAGAGCATCAGCTGTCGAACCAGAGAAACAAGAACCGTTATTAAACCCAAATAAATTTACAAAACCAACAACCCCAACCATCAATGCATTTATCACTATGCTGCCATAGCTTTGGGAACACGGCTTTAGACTTAGTATATGAAGCTTGGATTAGGCATGAGCTTTGGTTACAGATTAAGCATAAGTTAAAGTTACCGGTTGCTTTGATGATTTTCTCATCAATTTTGCAGTTGAAGTGATTCCAACTATTCCACCTGATAAAAAAGAAAATACCTGATTAATCCCACAAGTATTTGAAAAGGAATGAAAATATAAGGATTATAAAAATTGCAGTCAGCCGTGAGACATTTGAAGGGTCACAACTTCATAACTTCAAATGCGAGAGGAATCACTGAGTAGTAAATAATGATGAGATTTTCCCTTATTATTAAAATCAAATAGGGGATTAGTATACAGACATGTATATGAAATGAATGTAACATACATAGTTAGAACTTAGAAGCTGAAAAATAAACTCTGATCCATATCGTACATACATACTGCAGTAAAAGTGCATGTCATATAGTTCAGGACACTAATTCGAATTACTAGAGTAAAAGTGCTAGGAGGAGTAAAACAAAGCATCACTGCAATCCAGAAAGGGAACAAAACAGAGAGGAATCACTAATTTTGCAGAAAGATGAGTGAACCGTTGATATTTGATAACCGAACCAGCTAGCTAAAACCAACTAAAAACAGAGAAATAAGCAGAGAGAGAGAGAGAGAGCTAGCTTAGCTTACCCCATGGGAGGAGTCAATGCAAGCCCATTGGCAAGCAGATTCCGTCTGTGCTGCTCTTGGGTTTCTGGCACCATCATTCTTGTTCTCTGCGAAGCAGAAACACCCATTAACATGGGTGGTGATATAAATGAGCAGAGCATCAACGCCATCACAATCGTCGTTGTTGGCACTACTGCACCGTCGGAGTCCTTTTTCCTCATGTTCAACATCTCTACCAATACTACTACTCCGCGTCTGCTGCTTCTTTTTCTTTGCTGTCTCTTACTCTATCACTCCCTCTCCTCTACTGCTCTCCAGTCTCCTGACACTCTCTCTACTCTGGACTCTAACCTAATGAAAACTGACAACAGCAGCAGTGCTCGTTACATATATAAGATATTTCTCATAGGATAAGAACATTGCCAACATTGCCAAAAGGGAATCAAACATGACTCTGTTATTGACTTTGATTTTGACAAGAAGACTTGTTTTATGGATAACCTTTTTATTTTTTAGTTTTCCATTATGTATATTTAAAAGGTAACAACTACAAATAAACTAAAATTGAAAACGGAAAAAAAAATTTAGAATTTGCTTTTATTAGAAAGCAATCTTCCCCGAAAGTCAAGTGAGAAAAACTTGCCAGGGTCGGCAAGACGAGAAATTTTTATATGTTCACCTCAGTATCCCACACCAATCATATGATGCCAGCTGTCTATTATTTTGACTTCTCTTTTTCACCTATCTTTTCTCTTCCTTTCCGTTCCCTCTCGCCCGGTAGTATCCACCTTCGCCCGGTGTTTTTTTTTCTTCTATTCTGAACTCAATACTCCCCTTTTAAGAGCAACTCCACCCCAAAAGTGCAAAGGGCAAGGCAAGGTTTGTCACTATTCATATAAATAGTGATAACCTTTTTTTTTTTGTTCCACCCCAAAAGGCAAGGACAATGGCAATTACTATTCACTTTAATTTATTTTCTAATTTTTATACTTAAACCGTTAATTTTGATAAACTTTTCGGATAAGATTTTCGGTTGTCACGTGTCAATATTTATTATCAAATTCTCACCTAAAAATTCAGCTAACATTTCGGATAAAATTTTCAAATTAAATTTTCGGATAAGATTTTCAGTTGTCACGTGTCCATATTTATTATAAAATTCACATCTCACTCATCATACAATTGAAATATCTACTCACTCATCATACAATTGAAATACTCATGGTCCTCATAGTTCAATTCAATCATTGGCGAAGGCAGTTCCACTGGATCACGACATGGGTGAGTATTTTCCTTCGGATGACGTAATAGTGTCATTATTGTTGGCGATTCCTTACTTAGTGAGGATTTTGGTTCCTTACTATGTTAGGATTTTGATTACTTACCCATTTATCTAGTCATATTATAACTGAGATTTATTTCATATTGTAATTTATATTTATTTTCTATTGTAATTTGGATTTATTTCCTATTTCCTTACTTAGTTAGGATTTTGGTTCCTTACTATGTTCATTTTGATTACTTACCCATTTATCTAGTCCAATTATAATTGAGATTTATTTCCTATTGTAATTTATATTTATTTTCTATTGTAATTTGGATTTATTTCATATTTCCTTACGTAGTTAGGATTTTGGTTCCTTACTATGTTAGGATTTTGATTACTTACTCATTTATCTAGTCCTATTATAATTTAGATTTATTTCCTATTATAATTTATATTTATTTTCTATTGTAATTTGGATTTATTTCCTATTTTATTTAGGGTTAACACATCTTTATACTTGTATAAATACCTCAATATTGGAGAAGAATAAGTATATGAGCAAATATGAGCATAATTGAATATTTGCCCTATTTTGGTTGACTATTATTTCCGACACAGAACGCACCACTGGAACCCACTGCAGACATTGTTTACTTGAGGAGCCATGTGTAATGGTTTTCCTCTTTTTTGTTTTCCTTGAATAATCTATTTTTAAAAAATGAAATTGGAAATGCAATAAATATATATATATGGGGGCGGATCCGTGATACTATATTTTTTACACAAGTTTTCAACCATTAGATTGAAATCGATTGAATGGCTAAGATTAACTAAACTAATTATATATTTTTAAGAAAAATAATTATTAATTGACTTTCTCTTTCTTATTTCTTTATCGTCAATCATTGTTTTATAAAATCTTTCTATTTCGTTGTTCTCTATCCTCTAGAATTCTTCAGTTAACGACTTTCCCATCCTCCTCCTCTTTCTTCTAAAACTTTACCGGTTTCTGATTCTTTTTCATCTCTATCCCTAACTTTGTTTTTTGCTTTTTTTTACTGCTTAGTTTTTGGGACAGTTATACATAGATTATGACTCTCGAAGTAAAGGCTTGGGGATAAAACCCCATCCACACACACACACAATGAACTGCACAGCAAACTGTCTTTTGCCATATATTTTTTAATGTTATTATTAATCATAATGAATAAAAGCTTGTAAGCCATTAAGATGTTAGAGAAAAAAAACACAGAGAGAGAGAGAGAGAGAGAGAGAGAGAGAGAGAGAGACACACACACATAGAGTTAGATCAACCAAACTTTAGAGAAGAAATATCGCAACAAATTTGGGCTTTTTCTTTTTTGGTTAAATATTAATATCTTATTTTCTCTTCAATATTGGTAGTCTGAGACAGATTTTCTATGTCGTGGAAGAATGCTCGGTTGGTGTAGAGGACAATGGCAAGGGAAAGGTAATGGTGAGGTTTCACAAGTTATTAATTGAGAAGATCATGATAAAAAAACAAAAGGGGGGAAAGATAATTGAGTGATTTTCGGGATTATCATAATAAATAAATAAAATGAAATGTACTTGGCATTAGAGATTTAATTTAATTTAAGTAATTAATGAAACATAATCTCAACCATTCAATCCATTCTAATCTAATGGTTGAAAATTTGTGTAAAAAACATAGTGTCATGGATCCACCCTATATATATATATAAAGACATTAAATTGAATAAAACGGCAAATTTTTTTTTTTACCTCATCGCCAAGATTTTGACCTCTTCGAATGTTTGTCCACAACCCTTCGGCTTCAATGGAAGAGGCCATTTATATTTGGCTTAATTGCTACAGTGCACCTTGAAATATTGGTCAATTCTCACTTTACCCCCTCAAAGTTAAAGTGACTCACTTTGCCTCATTGACTAAGGTTTGATGTTCCACATTGCCACTACCGTTAACTCCATCCAAAAGTCCGTTAAGTTTGATGATGTGGCAGGGGTGTTTTAATAATTTTGTGTACTTAGGTTTTTTAATTACTTTTAAAAAAAAATATAAAATATAAACATGAAAAAAAAAAAAAAAAAAAAAAAAAAAAAAAAAAAAAAAAAAAAAACCTCATCCCTTCTTCCCCCAGTCGCACCAAATCCACCTCTTCCTTCTCCGTCCCTGTAACCCCCCTTCCCACCAGAAACCCATTGCTCCCCGCCCACCCGTAACCCACAACCCACCCCTTTCCTTGTGCAGAACTTGGAAAGCCATCTCTCACCCGCAACCCACCCCTCCCTACGCATAACCCAGAAACTTATTCCTTCCCCCCCCCCTTCTCCAGTCGCACCAAATATAAAACAGGGTCAATCATGAAAGGTGTGTAGTAAGCCCTTCACAATTAAAAATCTATAGAATGTTGTTCCATGGTTTTATGAATATATTTAGATTGCCTCTGTGATTAGTAAGTAATGTTCTCCAAGGTTTCCCAAATGTTTTAAATATAAGATTAAAGGCAATACTCTGTAGTCAACTTGTTAAAGGGGAGCAGAATGTGTAACCCATCAGGGAAACCTTGATGGGGAAGGGGGAAAGGGAGGCGACCAGTCCCAGTCACCAGTAGGATTACTCTCCCTCAACGGAGTCCAGCTTTGTAGCTTTGTTGATGTCAAACCGAGCAACCAAAGAGACTCTAAGACAATCTAGTTTACATCAAATTGCAAAAAGATCTTGGCAGTTTTGCAGTTCAACGTACCTAATAAACACCAACTTGAGTTTTGGAAGGTCTGAAACATACCAAATTTGTATTTTGTTCCTGTTTATACCCAAAATGAACAGCCAATGAGGGCAAGACACGTGGACAAAGATTGTGCCCAACCATGGTGGCCTTCGGCACCCAGCCTACTGATTCCTCGATTAGGGCAATCTCCTTCTCCAAGACACGTGGCAGGCCCACAATCTATGTCTACAATCCCACATCGAAAATCTACACGACAAGCACACCTCCCAAGGCTTATAAAAGGAGCACAATTCCCCAAAATGGAGGTAATCAGAACTTACGGCTCACTGTCTATTGGTCTGTCAGTTTAATCTTTCCAACTCCGTATTTACTTAAGCATTGGAGAGCCTTCGGCCTGTACCACACCGGTGCCTAAGGTCTTACCGAGCGTGTGCTATTTTACAGATCATGTGCTCTACCGAGGCCCAAAGGCATACCGAAGGCCAACATTAATAAGTTGAGCGGGAAAGTTACCGAACCATTTTTCCGCGTCAACAGTTCCTACCCTTATCTCAAACATGGTGCTCCAATGCAAGAAATGAAAATTTTGAGACAAACCCATTTCAGTTCCAAGTTTGATATGTAAACTTTCACTTTTTTAACCTCAAGTCTCAATCAATACTCAATCCCCCCCCCCAACCCGCAACCTACCCCCTCCCTACGCAAAACCCAAAAACCTATCGCCCCCTCCCTCAGCAACCCACTCTCCCTGGGCAGAACCCAAAAACCCACCGCCCCCCACCCCCACTGATTTCTTACACCTCCCCCGATTTCTGCTCTACTCCACCTTTTCCTCATCGAGACCCATGGCCCCTTCCCTCTGGTTTTTTCTACCCCACTCCCACTGAACCCCAGCCCCCATACCCATTCCCCTTCTCCCCGACCCGTGCCCCTCTAGCCCATTTTCCCCATCGCAACCCACCCTGTAGAGAGAGAGAGAGAGAGAAAATTCAAATTTTTAAAGTTTTAAATTTTATGTTTTTATTTGAATTTTTTTTATCCATGCTGGAGGTGGGCTCCACTTGACCATATTACTCACTCAAATTTGTGAATAAAAAACCTAGGTGCACAAAATTACTGAAACACCCATGCCACGTCATCAAACTTAACGGACTTTTGAATGGAATTGACGGTAGAGGGCACTGTGAAACATCAAACCTTGATCAAGGGGGCAAAGTGGGTCACTTTAACTTTAAGGGGGTAAAGTGAGAATTGACTAATATTTCAAGGTGCACTGTAGCAATTAAGCATTTATATTTTTGCACAAATGGAATTTCGTAGTAGAAAATTTAGTGAGGAAAGTGAAAAATATTGGAAGGAGATGAATTTGTATGAAGATTTGGTGTGGAAAGTGAATAATATTGGTAGGTATTTATAGAAATAATTTCCATAATTTTTTGATATCTTTTTTAGACAAAAATTGGACAACCATTGGATTAGGCAAGATTTTTTGATTGGAGACTCCAGGAGAAGCCATGTGGCTTGTAGCCGTTGGGCTATGTGGGATGGTGGGTCACATTGATGTCAATAGACTTCGGACAACAGCCCAGTCCATTTTTGCATGTGGGCTTGTCCAGGCTAATGGGTCCCATGCCTTGCCCGAGCTGAGTTTGGAGCGCTGGAGGTGGAACTTGGGCATGGGGGGGCCTATTGCCAAAGTAAGGCCCTAGTGCTGCACTTGCTCTAAGTCCCTCTCTCTTCTCCAATTCAAATCAAACTTAAAGTAGGGCGTATTTGTTGTTTTAATTCCTTTTTATTAAGCCTTCTTTTATTTTTATTTTATTTTAACTTCTTACTTATATTTTAGAATTTTTTTTTTAAAAAAAAAAAACTTTAATGACGGAATATTCAAAGTGCAAACTAATTTTTGATTGTTGATATTAAGTGATTGCATCAAGTTGGCACCAAATTATCACTTTTACTCCTTTATGTTTCTTTTTGGACATGATTGGTCGTTACCATACTTACATAAAATTAGTCTCTCCATCAAAACTTATGTTAAATTGATGAGGTGGCATATATGTGGAGCCCACATATTCAATGATATAAAGCCACTTGGTGGGCTCGACATATGTGCTACGCAAGTAATTTAACAAAAAATTTGACGGAAACTCAAAAAAAAATACCAAAAGTGATAATTTCACGAACCTTATGACCAAAAATCCTCCTCTTATGTGTTGTGAGTGATTACTCTGCTGATAACTATGGCATTCCCAAGATTAATAAGGAGAGAATTTAGGGGGCCGTTTACTTACCATGAATGAAGGAAGGATGGAATTGGGGAAGTAATGAATCAGTATGAGAAGAATCATTCCCATTAAATTGTTTACTAACCATATGGAATCAGTACAATGGAGTTGATTCCCATTGTTATTGTTTACTAGTTCTCTTGAATCAGAACATAAACTAATTTGATTACTAAAAATATATTATATATATTTTTCACATAAGTAACTTGTGAAAAAGCAAATTGACAAAACTTTATTTACAATTAACATATAATATATGATACTATATGATGAGTGATGAAAAAACTAGTATATGATAATATAAGGAATATAATAGAAAAACAATAACAAATATGACACTGTAATAAAAAGGTATAACAAGCCAAGTAGAGGCTAGTAACTAAGGGGAAAAGGGAAAAGTTTTGTTTTTTCATACAGTGATTTTTTTTTTTTTTTTTTTTTTTTTTTTTTTTTTTTTTTAAAAAATAAGGTTTGGAGTGTTTTGAAATTATCATAAAGTGGAAATGGTATTTTTGAAAGGCAGGGAAAAAATGAATGGGAATCGGATCAACTGCTCTCCCTAGTTGATCTAATTCCTGGTTTTGAGGGAATGTGATAACGGATTTTGAGGTGGGGCTCGCACATTTTCTGATTGCAAGTAAACGGGGGTGTGAAAATGATTCATGCAAACTAACGAGGTTTAATAATACAGCTTCTAAAACCAACTTCTACTGGCTACAATCATTCATATGGTCATTAATTTGGACTGTATTCGGCAGATGACAGACTATTCTGTCTGTGCCTGCTATGCCAACAATAAAAAGCAACAGAAAAAATAATTCACTAGATAAATCTAACACCTTTCGAAGAACACAACAGTGGTTAACAAACCCAAGTAATTTTTGGAACTGTCTAGAGAAATCATTTCAAGTTCTACCATTAAACTGGTGAGCAAGGTGGGCAATGCCATTGCTTTGAGAGACTTTCCGTCTCAGGTTGAGATGATCCAAACCCCATACTCGAATTGTACGGTCATCACTAGCTGAAGCCAACATATGAAGGTTCACAGGATTCCAGCTCACGCAATTTACAGCTCCAGAATGCCCAGGAAGAGCCAATAGGAGCTTCCCAGACCCTCTATGCCATATATACACCTACAACAAGAAAGATCAAACCTACAACGTCAATCCAAAATGCCTTAATAACTCAAGCATATTAAACCATTTTAAAAGTTCTAAAAGGAACAAGCATGTTGTTCTGGTTCCATGAGTGGCTAAAGTCTCTCTCTGTGAACAAGCTTCCCATTTCTTTGCCTACATTCCAACCAATTTCATACATCTCAAAAGAACATTTGAAAAAATGAAATGAATAAGGAAAAGAAACTGATTTTTTAATGACAAATCAATTGTATAACAGTCCATGGATATTCCAATTAAATAACGACAGAGATTTGATGTATGACTGAAATCCGACTAGCATACAAGTTGCTCAAAGCAATTTCACGTGTTTCTGATTCTTCCCATAACAATGGAATAAAAGTAAACATATAAATTACGCAGGATTGCTACTGTTAGGACATCATGTAATGTTTTTGGACATAAACTGGTGTAAAAAGGACAGTTGCGTCCTGTTATACCCATTTCACGGGAAATCAATTTGTCATAACCAAGCAACCAGCCCTAATTTTTGTCAGACAAGTAAGTTCATGTAAAAGTACCTGTGAATCCTCACTCCCGCTTGCAATAAAGGCTTGCTCAAATCCACCAAAACAAGATCTAATGACAAATCGGGCACGCTTATGACCTTTGTACTTGGAAACAACCTTAGGTTCACTCTCTATGCTCCAAAGATGAATTTCTTGGTTTATGAGATTGACAAGCAGGAACTTATTGTCCTTCGATAACGAAAATGAAGTAATCACTTCATCCTCTTCAATGAGCCTTTCAAACTTTGCCTCCCTGTCAAGTAATAATATTGTGGTTTCTCTGCATATGTTTATGATCCTCTTCCCATCATCAGTTATAGCCATGTCCGATATCTTGAGTGTTCGCTGCCCTTTCCAACATTCTAGCTCTACTCCATCCAAATCCCACAGGCAGATACTCTTGTCAGTCATGCCAGAGAATATCCCTCTACCATCAGGAAACCACCCGCAGGAAATAAGACCAACACCATTTTTTTCATAAACATGGAGGCATTCTCCAGAAGTAACATCCCACCGTCTAATGACCTCCTCTAGTCCGCATGTCAGCAGTTGGCGGTCATCAGGGCTCCATGAAACAGTCAGCACAGGTTTCTGGTGACCAGTCAATACATGTTTCACTGAAACTTGGCCATCCCCTTTGACCTAAAAAGGTAAAATTGCATTCAGAAGGATTAATAAAGCGAAACATATTGTGTCTGTGTTCGCACATGGTTGGATTGATATGGAGATGCCACACTTGTGTTTATGAGCAATAAAAACAATCTGCTAGAGGATAGTAATATCAAAGAAACATAATGTTAATAAATATTTAGCTTGCATATAAAATCAAGAGATTTCAACAAGAACTTCCATCTGCAGAATGGATTTTCAGGACATGGGAGCATGTTAAATTGTAATGTGATCCAAATATTATTCAAATTGTACGAAAGAGGGGAGGGAGGGAGAGATAACAAGAGAGGTTTAAAATTCTGTCTCAATAAATTAAAAGCCAATAATCAGATAAATAGTTACCTCCCATATAATGGACAACTGATCTTTGGAAGAAGAAGCCAAGTATTTCCCATTGTGTGAAAATTGCAAAAACCATATTTCGTCACTATGTGCATGCAGTATCTGTTACAATAAATGAGTATAAGTTTTCAAATTGGCAACATGGAGCCCATCCAAACAGTTAAAAACAAAATCATAATTAGAGGCAAATTTTCTGTCCAATTCGAGGTAAACTATATACGGGACATCACCAAATTGATTGAACAGGATGGAATCCAATAAATCAAAAAAATAAATTTATCAATGGCAAGATGATGACACATAGTTACACAAACGGACAGGGCTGGGCCGCGCAGGCCTGAAACCCAACGGGCCGGCCCGTTTAAATCTCATATATTAAATTATATTTGTTTTAGAGAAAAATAATATATAATATATATTTATATTTATATCTTAAATTCAAATCTATTTCTTTTCTCTAATAATATATATAAAATTTAATGTTTTCTTTATATATCAAATAATAATTTTGTTTTTCAAGTTTCAATTTTTAAAACCCAAACAATAATCTAGCCATTTTCTATTTAAATGTACTTTAAATAAAGTTATTGGCCTCTTTTTTCAACAAATAATAAATCTTGTTAGTATATACATAATTGTAAAAAAAAATATTTAAATGAAGTTGTAAAAATAATTACAAAAATAAAAATAAAAATACATATGTCAAATTTGTTGTGGGCCCATATCGGGCCGTTTAGTGGCCCAGCACGAGCACGGCCCAGCTAGGGCTGTGGGCTCAGGCCGGGATTGATGATTTTCATAAATGGACGGGCCTGGCATGGCCTGTTTGACACCTCCAAGTGCAACATAGGTATCGAGCAAGTATATTTCAACAGTAACTATGATAATGCTGACAAGTCTAAGTATAGGCAGCATGATACAATCATATGCCATTACAAATCATAGGGGGGGGGGGGGAGGGGGATAATAGCCCAATATTCCGAAGAAAATGCAAGAGTCAATCAGCTCATAGGCCAACTGAAGAAACAAATACAGAGATGGTATGAGAGGCATCATAAGCAAGCATCCATAAAAGCAGAAGACATTCTAACCTGCGACGTCTGAGAAGGAATCTGGTCTCTTCCACACTGATGGTCCGAATACAAAGACAGGTCACTATCAAAAGTGTTATGGAAAACACAAGCATCTCGTTGCACGTCAAGGGCCTGTTGAACCAGACATTCTAACCTATTTCCAGGAATGAAGAGTGCGGCAGGAAGCAAATTCTGCAGTTTCTCCAATATCTTTGATCGTGTGCTTGCACCATCAGTATCTTGACTTGAAGGCTCAAGTTGCACAGGCTACAAAGGAGAAATCATGCGGGCAGCAAGTTCATGTACATTGTTCACATTGATGCGAAGAGGCACAATCTCATTCCGTAGAGTATCTAAGGCCGCAACCATTTTTTCCTTTTTCAAAAGCTCAAAGAACTTCTGTTCCAATATCACAAAAGATGCTGATTTCATGGTCTTTTCATCCAAGAGATCAATTGCACGCAAAGTGGCCACACTGTCATCCCATTTTCCATCCATCACTTGTTGCATAAACAGGTTGACCACTGACGAGTGCATTGGTATTCCAGATTCTTCCTCTAGTATGGCTCCAGTCTTATCATAACCTAGTGAATACAATGCCCTAGTTATAACTTTGATGAATTCTGACCTTTTGATGACTCCTGTTTTACCAATTGTTTCTTCATCTCCTTGGGATGGTAGAGGCCTAGCCATATAGTCTCCCAAAGAGGAAGCAACAGGATCTGTAATAGATGAGTGGTCTGAGGAGTTCTTTGATTCCGTCAAGGTAACTTTAACACGTTTCAGAGGTGGTTCGCTGTCCTCCCTACCTCCCATAAAATGCTCAACTCAGCCCATTTAGAAATTCTACAAGTCGAAAGGAGCAAATTTAAAAAGATAAACATCTGACCACTAATGCATCCGCATGAAACTCTTTCTAGAAGAAAATTGCATTGAAGAAAAAAATAAGCAGAGGCAAAGGTTTAACAAATCTCTAACAAATTATAACACAAGACCTAACGACTGAAAAGGCCATATATAAAAGGAAAATAAAAAGAGCCATGAAATAGTGGACAACAATACGGGGAAGCAGTGTACATTCTCTTAGAGCTAATGGCAGCCATAGCACGAGTTTCACATCTTCTTTCAGCGAACTGAGGATTGTTCTGGCTAAGCCATTAGTTCAAATACCTGATGACTGAAATGCCTAACTGAAGCTCGCAATTCCATGAACAATGGAGTCCCAAGACAGTTCAATGAGGGCTGTGACAATGTTATGATGATACCAATGATAGTAAATATCTAAATCTCCCCAACTAATGTAAATATCATATATAATGGAGGTGAGGGTCCAGAAATACCACCATTTATTTTCTTTAAAAAAAATTCATAAACTAATATGTAAAACTTTAACATTTGGATGAAGATGATGAATGAAAGAAAATGGGAAATGCAGTTTCAGTTCTTAGTATTATGATTCCATATAATTCTACCAATCAAATATTTGACCATTTGGATTCCACTTTGAAATTTGACTCAGAATGGTAAAGGGATAAATATAGGCATGCGAATTAAATGGCTTAGCCGCTCAAGAGATGATATTGAACGTACAAAAGATGGCTGTCCAGACCTCACAAAGCAGTAGATTAAACAAATGCAATAATCAGAGCAAGAATCTAATATAAAGCATAAGCAAAAGTCACCAATAAAAGAGTAAAGAAAAAGGCAGCATGAAGATGAAAAGCAAACAGCTAGAGATCGAAGATTTCATACCAGAAGGCATAACCCAATAAAGGGAATCAATCTGGGAAGCCAAAAACTCGCCAACTGGGAAAAACCCAGAAGCCAAAACAAGAGAAATCTTTGAAAAGTGTGGTGTGTTCTACAGAAACAAGGCGTAAGGAGAAAAGGAGAGAACAAGTAGACCGAAAGTAGCACCGAAAGTAGTGTACGGAGAGAAAGGAACCTAATAAACTCAATCATACAGAGGTGTGAAATAGAGAGATATTGGTAGGTAGGTTCAAATTTCTTTTAAAGAAAATTATGCTTTTGGCAATTGGCAGAGAGAGAGAGGAGATAGAGTTTCGAAATGCCAACAAACACCACACCACCCAACCCACATGGGCACTGCACACCGCACTTGTGCGTGCGCCTATTTTGTTATGCGCATTGTCATTCTTGTCCTGTGCGTGAGTTGAGTTCTGTTCTGAGTCCTGACTTGGTTTCTGGGTTTCACACACATAACTCGAATTGCCAAGCCAATTTACTAAAAAAAAAACCACTGCTTCATTTTCATTTTGACTGCTTCGCCATTGCAGGTAACAACCACCATTTGTCCCAACTGTGCGACTCCCTCAAGTTCAACTACGCAAATTTATCTCGTCTTCTATACCGAAACTGAGAATTAATTCGGATTTTTAGATGCCATCAGAAGTCAGCAGAGCCAAAAATTTATCATTGTGGGGCGTTAACACTAAACATTTTGTCCCTCCCCTTAAGAAGCTGAAGAACATTAAGGATAACGTTGTGCATATGTTTACTTGAGATTTTGGGGAATAAAAAGAATTATTGGGGTCAATTGACTCTAACTTGAACGCAAAAGTAATTATGTTTACAAACAAATGATTGCGGCACGGCACATCAACATTCTCAATTGAACAGATACTTCTATAGCAAACCTATGAAACTCAGAACCTAAAAAAAAAAATTATGGTCATTGGCTCATTGCAACTACAAATTTGCCCTATTTTCAGCTGTTCATGCCACTAAATTCTTGTTGCTTCGGTAGCCATTAAAATGGGAGTCCATAAAAGTTGCTAAAATATGCCAGTAGAGCCCTTAACCCTTTCCCTGACCATCGTCTTAACAAACAGCTCCCCCGCCCTATATGAGGACCGGACCTGAAAAAATTAATCGACAGAGATTTCTCATCAATAATGGCAAAACTAGGTTACTGCATTCAATCAAGAATGGTAACAAAAGATAATTCTCATGTTCTATACAATTGACATTAATGAAGATCTCACCAAGGGCCCACTGGCTACATAACGAAATCCAATAGACTCCCCATATTCCTTCCAGAAAACAAATTTCTCAGGGACAACATATTCTTTGACCGTCAAATGCAATGGAGTTGGCTGCAACAATTTTAAGCAATTTAGAATCGAAGTCTTTATCACAAAATTCTACTGGAGTAACTTAGTCTCATTTGAGGATTGCCTCAGAAACAGTAAAGTGGATCGCTTATGGCAAATAAAAACTACCACGGGTAAACAGGGCCAGATTACAGCCATTCTTCAATTATACAACGCGAATAGACAGCCAAAATTCCAGGGCTAACCCGGTCCAACCTTGGGGACTCATATGAAATGGCACCAGTCTTACAACTGTAAGTTCCAATGTATTGCATAAAGTACTCAATGCTAAATACATGAAAGATATGTGTATTAACTAACCTGTAAATATTGTCCAAGTGTCAATATATCAACATCTATAGCCCTTAAATCAGCCATAGCTTGCTTCAACTCGTCGTCTGATTCTCCCAGGCCCAACATTATAGAAGTTTTTGTTATCATCCCCTTCTTGCTCTCTTTTGCATGCTTTAGAACAGATAAGCTCTGCTCATACCTGCATTACCAGAATAAATATAATAATCTCAAGTAGCAGCAGTGAGCACAATTTCAGAATGAGAACCAATCTATGAAAAGCAGATGATGTACTAGGTTAACTACCCTACTATCGAGACATTTACCCCTAAACTGGATTGACACTCTTAGAAACAGACGGATGATTTTCCACGCTCTAGAAATCCATGGAAGTTCCATATGTGTCATTTCGTCAACTTAAAGAGGCTTAAGTTACAATGAGTGAGAGCACATCCAAAGTTTCATAACTACAAAGAGCCACAAAGCAGGTGGACAGATTCTGAGAGGGATGCCTGGACAGGTTTTTCTCCATATCAAGGCTTTTGAAAGTGGTATTTAAGTTTAACTCAAAACCCGTCTGCCTATCCCCAAGTGAACAAGCTAAGCTACGCTAAGAGGAGAAAGGGAATAGATAAGTAAGCAATGCACATCTTGATATAACTTGATGAGCCTGTTGACTTATCAAAAAGGGAATACCTACAACACATGACATTCAGTAGCCCCATTTCTCTGTGTAAGCATACAATAAGTTTGAGCATCTGTGCCTAAGCATGTAGCGCTTATACACACTTGCAGGCATGTGTATAGATCAATGTGGGTTAATGCAAATGTGCTGCTGTGTCTAATATCAAAATTATGGTACACATTAACCCAGAAGAATTCCTTTGGTGTCTAATTTCCCTTTGTTTAAGCTATATGGTGAATGGACATGAATAATCTATGCTGCTAGCATAATGGAAATGACACTCCAACTGTATTTATGCTAATTTGTGGGCGAACATAATAAGCATGCCCAAACAAGAAGTTAAACAGACAATGGGTAGTGCATGATACAGATGACTAGTAAGCAAAATATATAACTGAAAGGCTTTGGGGAAAAGAAATAGAAAAAAGAGGAAGAAAAATAAGATAATGGGTAGTGCAGCTGACCCCGCCCGAGGGTCTCTGACAATTCGCTGGAGGCGTTTGACGGTCTCAATGTTGTGAGCAAAGACATCAAGCCCGGAGTAGAGCAGAGTGTCTACAGCCGTCAAGTCACCACGAAAGTCAGAAGTTAAACATTCAACCATGATGTCAGGTTTGAGAGTCTGCAAAAGTGCAAAATAAGTTTGTATTAGTTGAATGCATTACAATCAATTCAAGGCTTATGTTGTCTCAGTATGTTGCCAAACAAACAGTGAGTGTTGCAAGAGGAGGAAGGTTATGTGTGTAGGAGATGATTAGGAAAGATGCAAAGTTAGTTATGGGGTGAGAGAATTACCTTGAGGGCTTGGACGGTCAGAGCAAAATGTCGACTTCCACCATCGGGCAGGTCATCACGATCAACGCTGGTTAAAACAATATAATCGACACCCCAGCTGACAATGGCGTTAGCAGTGTTGAGAGGTTCCATGGGATCGGGAGGTGGAGGGGTTCGGCTGGTCTTGACGGCACAGAAACGACAGCCACGGGTGCAGGTGTCCCCAAGAAGCATGATAGTGGCAGTGGAAATGCCATCCCCACCTCCATTCCAACACTCCCCGATGTTTGGGCATTGGGCCTCCTCGCACACCGTCTTCAGATTCAAACGGGACAATGACTCCTTGACCTCCTCATACTTGTTTCCTTGTGGGGCTTTCTGCCTTAACCAGTCGGCCTTCTTCACATTTGGGTCTCTCCCCGTGTGCAGGCCCCCCACCACCGCCTCACATCGTAACCTCCTAGACCTCAATTGCACATTCAAGGGTTTTGATGATGATGCTCCTCCTGCTGCTGCAGACATAATCTGGCCTTTTGGAATATCAATTGGGATTATTGACCAACATGATGAACATTGCACCTGTTGAATCATCATTTTCAATTCTTTCTTCTCTTCTCAAGATTTGATTGCAATCCACCACCAATTTCACTTCGAAGGAGCCTCCTTGTTTTTCCTGTGTTTGTAATAGTACCTCAAGCTTAAAAACAGAATCTAAACAGCCCATGCATTATACCAAAAAACAGACTAAAACATATTCATATCATTTGGATATAAATAAATAAATAAGCCAGATTCATATAATTTGATAAACTAAAAAACAGAGATAAAAGTATGTAATTTTACCCTAAAAACAAACCAAACAGGCTCACAACAAAAATTAACCAAGCATATCATTCAGTTGGTTAATTTCCCAGGCATACCAACAGAATAATATTATTCCCAACCATGAACTAATACCAACAGAAATTAACTAAAAACAAAGAACTAATGCCTCAGAAATTAAGGGCCCATTTGCTAATGTTTTGAGGAGCTGTTTTCCATTTCTGCAAAATGAAAACGATGAAAAATGCGCTCAACGAGCAAGAATTGAAAACACAGAAAACAGAACAATAACTAAAAGACGTTTTCCACATTTCTTTGAAAAAAAACTGAAAACGCGGGATTGAGTTTTGAGAAACACCCCACAACCACATCAAACCATACAGGACCTGGTTGCAGATTATTTGTGAAAATTCTTTCATTACTGAGGTGTTTCAATTAATCTCTGATCTTGCAATTCTATACGTTTCAGGTTCTACTAAAATTTGCAAACTGATGGTGTGGTTGTGAGGTTGTTGAGCAGCAGTGTGGTGCAGTAGTTTGACGATGAGTAATTTGACTAGCCGACGATATATTATGGCTCTTCTGTCAAGTGTAAGAGCTAGTGGGAGGGATGGTTGGGTTAAACTTGGGTTAATTATAAGAGGCTTATTAGTTTTTGATAATTACATTCATGGTGTCACTCAAATTTTGTTCAAATATTTGATGTCCTAGCATTACTTTTTCGGTAATTATTTCTATGACAATGTGTTTGATTCATTATTCATTAACAGGTCTAAACAAACATACAACAGACCAATTAAAACAAAATCCCCAAATTAATTTCCACAAACCCAAGTCTGGAAAATCAAGTTGAAATACAGAGCAATTGGAGCAAGAGGACACATACGTACCTGATATTGAGATGAGATGAGAAAGAGAGTTAGCTGAGATGGAGTGGAGAGGCTGAGAAGTTTTGGATGAGAGAGAGTTAGCGGAGCAAGAGGATCGAAGGGATAAAACACAGAGAGATGAGAGAAGCTGACCTGCGTGATATTGAGAGGAGAGAGGCGCGGAGGCGGAGGCGGCTGAGAGACTGAGAGTGAGAGGAGCGAGCGACGAGACGACATAGAAGAGAAGGAGAGCACCCTACTTGTAACCTTGTTCCACCTTGAACTTTCCGCCATTTGTTGGGTTGGTACTCTACTACTAGCTATTCCACCCAATGCAGAAATAGTAATTCAGTGAAGAAAAAAATGAAAATTCACTTTTAACCCCTGTTCTGTTTTAGTGTGTTAACAATTAAGAAAAATAAAGTAAAGACATAATTAACTTTACTAATTAGTATTTGAGACATTGGACATTTTTATTTGGGTTTTAATATTTAAGAAAGAATTGTTATTTTTGATTATGCCAAAGAGGAGGCCCAGATTCGTTGGATCTCTCTAAATTATGAAGGTAAAATATAATTTTACCATTTTGTTTAAAACCATATCTCAACCCCTCTCTCTCCTCTTCCTTATTAACTCCATTAGGCCTCATCATTTGGCCCGCGGGCTCATGGGCCGATGGGGGCCCGCCCGGCCCATTGGAAAAAAGCCCGGCCCGGCCCGTTATGGGCTTTGAGATGGCACGGCCCGTCTTGGGCCGGGCTAGGCTTGGGCTTGGGTGTTTGAAGCCCGGCCCAGCCCATAGGCCCGGCCCGATTAAGCCCAAGAAAGCCCGGCCCGGCCCACCCACAAAAGCCCGGCCCGTTAGGCCCGCATACACATATAATTATGTATAAATAAGAGTTTAGGATTAGGATTATATCACTTAAATCACATATATAATTTGTTTTATTTCATTTACTTTTCTTTACTCATTCCTAATTTATAATTGGATGATTAGCACATTAATTTGTGTCAATTATTTATACAACAATTATATATATATATATAAATAAGATGAACAATATATCATATCACTAAATATAATCATATCATGAAACATAATCGTACTACTACCACCAAATATAATAATGTTTTTCTTGAACACATCACCAAACATTTACATATTTATTTATACCATCCTTTAAAAAAAATATCTTTTTGATACTTATTATTTTTTAAAATTATTTCTTAAAACGTATTACGGTCTAATTATGTAATAACCTCAAAAATAATACTTTGTTTTATTATTTTTGTGGAAAATCTTATTAAGTTGTGTGACTTTATTGGGTATTTTATGAATTTGGTTTGATGTGAAAATATTGGAATTAAGTGAGTTTAATCTCAAATTTAGACTAAAATGCCTTATAATTAAGTTTATGATTTTTTTCGAATGAAGTAGGCCCGTTTCGGCCCGGCCCGGCCCAATGGACTTTCTCAAGCCCGACCTATGGGTCGGGCTTGGGCTTTGAATTTTCTAAAAAAATCCGGTCTGGCCCGGCCCGATATTTTCTCTCTCCTCTTTAAAGCCCGGCCCGGCCCGGCCCAAGCCTGTTAAATTTGGGCCGGGCTAGCCCGGCCCGGCCCATTGACGAGCCCTAAACTCCATCGATGACGACGCCCCCTCTCTCATCTTCCCTTTTCTCTCCATCAATGATACGACGCCCTTTCGTTCTCCTCTTCCTTCTTCGCTCAATCAACGACGACGACACCCGCTCTATCCTCTTCCTTATTTGCCCCATCGACAACGACACCCTCTCTCTCATCTTCTTTCTTCTCACGCAAAGCTCTGTTTTTCATGTGTTTTCTAGATCAGATTCTTATTTCAATTTTGTAGATCTGTTAGGTCAACCTATATGGATCTAACAATAGATTCGTTATTTCAATTTTCTAGATTAGATTCTTCTCATGCGAAGTTCAATTTATGTATCTATTGATTTATTAAGACTATATCGAGAAAAAAAAATTGTGTCATTAAAGATTCATATAGTCTTAATAAATCAATAGATACATAAATTGAACTTCGTGTGAGAAGAATCTGATCTAGAAAACACAGATGAAAAACAGAGCTTTGCGTGAGAAGAAGGAAGATGAGAGAGAGGGTGTCGTTGTCGATGGGGCAAATAAGGAAGAGGAAAGAGAGCGGGTGTCGTCGTCGTTGATTGAGCGAAGAAGGAAGAGGAGAAAGAGAGGACGTCGTATCTTTGATGGAGAGAAGAGGGAAGATGAAAGAGGGGGCGTTGTCATCAATGGAGTGAATAAGGAAGAGAGAGGCTGAGATATGGTTTTAAACAAAAGGGTAAAATTGTATTTTACCTTTATAATTTAGACAGGCTCAACGAATCTGGACCTCCTCTTTGGTCTAATCCAAAACAACCAGACAAACTCTGGATTCTGAGCTCTAGGGGTTATTCTTTGGCTTGAAGCTTGTTGCGGCTAAAGGGGTGGCTAGGCTTTCTATTGAAATTGATTCTATGACTGTTGTTCAGCTTATCAAGTAGCATGTTCCTAGTTGTCTTCATCCTTTTGCTGGGGTGATTGCAAGTAGTATTGCTTTGATGAGTAAGTTTGAATCTGTTGAGCTTACTCATATTTATAGGGAAAAGAATGCTGCTGCAGATTGTTTGGCTAATTAGAGTCTGAATATGAATTTGGGAGTCTGCTATTTTGATGAAGCTCCGGTTTGGATTAGTTCTATCCTTATTGATGATTTGTTGGGGGCTGTGAAGCCTCAGATGATTAGTGTTGGCTAGTTGGTTTTTTGTTTTTGGGGTTTTCCCCCCTTCTTCATCACAAATAAAATAAAATAAAATAAAATAAAATAAATAAATAAATAACCAAACAAAAATGCACAATGTCTCAATTACTAATTAGTAAAGTTAATTATGTATAATACCTCATTTTTCTTTTGTTTTATTTACTTAACTGCTTTTTCTACAACACCTGTCTTTTCTTTTTGCTCCACCAGCGTTTATTATAGGGGAGATTTATCAGACGGGCTGGAAGATGGCATCTCGCCATGGCAGAAAATAAACGCTTGACATCAACTTGTATATTACTCCCATCTTCATAGATATCAGAAATTTAGGGTGGTATTTGGTATCCTATTCAAATAGGAAACTCAAAAATGAATACCATTAATTTCCAGCTATAAATCAAATATTATCCTATTTAAAAATAAAGTTGATAATACACACTTTATGTGACAGAATCTGGGCAGATGCTGCAACCAAAATTTTTAAGTCTACATGATCCAGAAATGAAACAGATTACGCTTATATGGGCAGAATTTTTATCTGTGCCAAAACTCTTGGATAATGGAGCACGTGAATCAAGAAGGAGAGAGCCCTAGCCAGATTCATCTGAATCTGAAGCATCAACCATCTTTTCCAAGGAATCCATATCGCCAGCTTCAGAGATCGCATGTATCCGTAATTTGTCTGCATCTTCACTGGGCATAAGAGAAAAGAAGAAGAATTAACCAAGAGCACCGAAAACATTGATCTTAAAGTTTCGTTCTGATCACAATGGCATGGCCATTTCTTTTTCCCTCATTCTTTTACAAAAATTAAATAAGAGCTGAAAATTAGGATAGAGGCCTACTCAGTAACACCAAATATTTCTTTGACAATTAAGGAGCTATCCCTCGAACAGAACTCTGGCAGCTGCCAAAATTTTCCATGAAGATTATTAACATATTTTAAGGTAAATGATTCACAAAATAACCAAGATGAAACAAGGCAAGAACTAATCATAAAATGACAAAAAAATCAATGAAATTTTAGTGATGATATGCAGATTTCTCAACCCAAAAAAAAAAGGGGGGAAAAATAGGAAAAGCTGTTCTATACCTAAAGGGCTGCAAGGGAGCAGCTGGACGAAATGAAGAAATCGCAAGGAAGAGCAGCAATAGAGTAGGCGACCGGGTTTTCGTCCAAGGAGCTCCAGTTTTGGCCTTCGCGTCTCTGTTTGGAGTGTTCTGGCCTAATTTAATAGGGTTTTAGTTTCTTATTCCTAGTTAACTTGTAGCTAAAGTCTTATGCATTATAAATAGGACTTTTAGGGCTATGTTAATTTTGAAGCAATACACGAGAATTTAAGAGGGAATTCTAGGATGTTTACAAGGGCATCAAGGGTTTTAACAAGGATGAGAGAAAAGAGAGCTAGAGTTCTTGTGAAAGCTAAGGGGGTTCAAGTTGTAACCAAAGTTATTCTTCCATACTAGTGAATTTCTTCGGTGGATCACCCAGAGAATATAGGCACAAGGCTGAACCTCTATAAATCTTTGTGTTCTAGTGTGTTTGCTTTAGTCTCTTCGTGGTGTGTGTGTGTGTTTTATTCTAAAGGGGTTTGTGTGTGTGCTGCGCATATTCCATCAACAACGAGGTCTTGGAGTATTTTCGCACAACACTATTTTCGTGTTCACAATTCATAAACTTAACCACCTCTGTACAAAAATGTTTTAGGGACCCAATTAGATAATTTAACCAACGGAGTTCGGACCGTAACCCTCACATGTGCAGCAAACATGTTTGACCATTCCCAGCTAAAATGAATTCGCGGCAGGAAAAAAATTCTAGCATCCAGCGGGTACATACCGAGACCGCCCTCATCACAACAAATTGATCATGCGACCAGCATGTGAATGGGGAAGGTGAGAGGGTTATTTTGTATGGAAGAATTTCTCCAGCGTAGCACAACTGGCAAGAACTTGTTTGGGAACTTAAATAAAATAAGTGAAATATTTTTTCTTATCATGCGGTAGTTTTTGACCATGTCTAACTGAACAAAATAATTGGAAAAATTACCACAAAATGGGAATATGTGTATCGTGTGACTTTATGCGAGAAGAATAGAATTTTAATGACAAAAAAAAGATGGTGAGGAAAACTGAAACATACAAGGAGTTGATCAGAGTCATTTTTTTGACTCTTCAGTCCCTTACCTCTGACAGATAGAAAACCTTTCCAAAAAGGGCTTGAACAGCTAGTTTTCTCTTGAAACCCCTTTCAGTGTAGCCTGAAATATCCATTACAACTGGGCCTGGAAGTCACAAACAAGTAGTCAGCATCTGATAGCACTTTTTTGGAAAGCACTTTTCTAACTTCTCAATGATAAGTTCGTTAAATGGTAAAGCAACCAATTAGTATAGCAGAAAGAGTGCTCGTTCTAAATGCACTAGAAGCATCCATCTTTTGTAACTCACATGTTTAATGATAAGGGGGTATCAAAAGATTAGTGTAGAAGAAAGAGTGCACATTCTAAGCATACTAACTCACATGTAGGAGGAAGTGGTATAGTCCTCAGCATATTATTTAATCTTCGATGGAAAAGGAAATGTTTTGTAATTAGACCATACAAGTAATGAGAGCAGTTGTTTGATGAGTTAGTTACCTTTATCTCGTACAATTCTTCTTGAAATTTCATTTAGAATTTCAGCAACCTGAGAGTCATCGAACATGGAAGCTTTTCTGAGCTGAATTAAGTTGGAAACCACGTCTGGGTTGAACGGTTTTTCATTCAAAGTATAGCGAATGTACTTTCGCAAAATATCCTCCATGCCAAAACCAGTCTGAAAAATTGATTACCGGCTGTTAAACAAGCTCAAAATGGCAAAAGTTTATATGCACGCACACACAACACAAATGAAATTGTTAGAAGGAGACAGTAATCATCGAATAGTTTGGAGACAATTTATAAATGTAAGAAGAGCCATATAGCTGCACTGATAAGGTTGCTCCAGGAAAACTAATCCAATTGAACAAATTAATGATTTTGAAAACGACCCCATGTCAACAATAAGCCAACAAACAGCTACTTGGTTCAGCAGAGTTGACAATAGTGTAACCATGATAAGGCAAATTATGACATTAATGGTGTAGAGTACTAGTAATTTTTACAAATTACAATCCCATGAAGAGACCAGCATCTGAATTGGTCATGTATAAGTAGAAATGTCACCTTCTGCACAAGTTGGTTCAAAGCATCAGGTTTGGGTTGATCTGCGCCACTTTGAAACAAGTCGTCTATTGATTTACATAGCATAGCATTTTTATTGACCTGTTACAAGACAATTAATAAAGTCAAGCGAAACTAAATACTATTAGTTCCTAAACCATAAACCCTAAACCAAATGAAGGGAAAAGAAATAGGAAGAAGAAGAATAGGGGTGAGAGAGAGAAAGAGAGAGAGGAGCAGACCAGTCTCTTGCGTTTTTGTCGAGGGGAAGAAAACTTTTTAACGGTCTTGACAAAGGCAACGACGAAAGTGAGACCGGCATAGGCCAGAGGAAGAGCCAGAATCCAAGGGAGAGAGCTGGTGCCCACTCTGGGTCCAGGAATGGCCTGGGATACGGAGCCCGTGAACTCCACGAGGTCCAAGGCTTTCTCCTGAATCCATGGCAGATCCTCTTCCACCTCTTCAACTGCTTCTTCTTCTTCTTTACTGGTTTTGTTAACACTAGAATTCGAACCCGAATTACTCTTCGCCGCCGCTGATAGAACGCATGAGGGTCTGCGTGCTCTGAGTGTCAGACTGAGAGGTCTGAACGTAATTGTGAAACGACGAGTATTATAAGAAGGAAATACGAATGGGGAACTCTTTGAGGGGTCGCGGGGAAGAAGCACTTGCAGTTGGGAAGAAAAGCAAGTCGCAGAAGCGAAAGCCATGAGCCGGTCTCTTCTCCTCACTTCGCTTATTCAATTATGCTGCCTACAAACCTTATTGTTTCGGAAAATTATAATTTTAAAGTGATTTTTCATATTGGTAGTTTTTATTTTTACAATGCAAAACCTCTGTAAACCGTCTTTTTTTTTTGGCAACTATTATAAAGAGAGGCTGAAAATAGTTGGGGTCACATGTTTAAAAAAAAAACTAAACACAAACATCCCGGAAACAAAAAACCAACGACTAAGCAAAATTTTATATCCAAACTTTGAATGGGTAGTTTAGTAAATACTCAATAAAATATAAAATAAAACTAAAAGTAACCCACAAAAATCGGCCCTTTTCAAGAGAAAAAATTCAAATAAAAAAGCAACCCCACAAAACTCACCCCCACCGTAGGAAAGTGATGCAGCACGAAGTGTAAACTAGAAAAAAATCTATGTTTTCAATTAGAAAGTGTACCTTGAATCCAGAGAGAGAGAGAGAGAGAGAGAGAGACTCAAAGAGAGATTTTAGTTTATATTGAAGTTGAAAATTAGAATATGCACGAACAGTAGATGATGCACAAGCCACAAGCCACTCTTAATATAGCTATAGATGATGCACGAACGGTAGGCAAGTGCATATGCATGAATTAGACTATTCATGAATAGTGATTAATGAAATATATGAATCTAACATAAAACATGTATTCAATTTATTTATTAAGTAAATGAACCTAGAGTCACTGTTCATTGAACCTTGCTCTTGATTATGATGCCTCATCATACTCCCGTGCTTGAAGAAAACTCAACCCTGAGTTTAAATATAATATGTTCAACGAGTATAGCCGCCCGGCTATACTTGGGTTTATTTTAAAATTTTTAATAAATTGTATAGCTAAGCGAAAAAACTCAAAAATGGACAATAGAGACTCAAGTAATGGCCTACTAGTAATGGATAATGTTCTAAACTACTCTTATCGATAGACGAAAAAAATTAATGAAAAAAAAACAGTATTTAAAGAGTATAGCCAAACGGGCAGCTATTCCTTTTAATTATAATCTTGAGTATAGCCCGTAGATGTACTGTTTAAATATAATATATTCAAAGAGCATATCCGCGCGGCTATACTATTTGTTTATATTAAAAAGCTCCTCTAGCGATTAGGCACCACATGTTGAACGACTTAGTATTTTAGAAAAAAATCATATTATAGCCAAATGGCGATACTATTTAAATACATTATATTCAAACGGTATAGCCACACAGCTATATTATGTAATTGAAAAAAAATTAAGAAAAAAAACCCTCCTACTTGCATTTGTTTATACTTTATAGATATTAATTTATTAGTTTCAACATATCCAAAGCATATATTAATTGGCCACTATATACTATTTAAATATAAGTTTTTAAATTGTTCTAATATATATATTATTTTTATTTAAGAATATGTGAGAATTATTTGTATAATACGTTAATTTTGTGTGACTTAATGAAAATTTTGTTAAAAATATGTGTATTAAACATGAGAAATACGTACGTACATGTAGAATACGACTATTGTATGTTTGCTTTTTTCAAAACGTGAATTTTACCGAGTCTTTAAGATGTGTACAAAACACGAATGTATTATTGAAAAATACGTACGTACGTGTATAATAGAGTATTAAAGTGCTAAATTTTTTATACAAGTAAAAACTCTGGAAAAGTAAAAAAATTAAAATGGAACAATAGACAGAGACTCGGGTAATGGCCTAATAATAATGGACAATGCTCTAAACTATTCTTATCAATAAAAGAGAATAGGGGAAAAAATTTTAAAGAAAAGAAGGATCCCAGTGTGTGTGTATATATATATAACGTGTATAGCCGGTCGGCTATGCTGTTTATTTAAAAAATTAAATAAAAAAAGAGTAACGCCATGCGGCTATACTTTTATTTTTTTTTATTAAAAATATCGGGTAGAGCCGTGCGGCTATACGATTTATTAAAAAAGAAAAAAAAAGAGTTGCCGCATAGCGCCTAGTTGCCCACGTGTAAAAAAAGGTATAGCCGAGCGGCTATACTATTTTTTAGAAACATTAATAAAACCAAGTATAGCTGTGCGACTATACTATATATTATCATTATTATTATTATTATTTTTAAAGGGACTCGTCTAGCGATTAGGCGTCATGTGTCCAAATAAGTATAGTCGCGCCGCTATACTAACAAAAACAAAACCAAGTATACCGGTTGGCTATATTATTATTTTTTTAAAGGGCTCCCTAGCGACTGGGCACCCATGTGTCAAAATATGTATAGCCAAGTGCCTATACTGGTTTTTAAGGAAAAAAAAATCGTAGTATAGCCCCACGGCTATACAAAGTACAGCCGCGCGGCTATACTATTTAATTGAAAAAAATTAAGAAAAAAGGACACTCCTACTTGCATTTGTTTATACTTGATAGATATTAATTTGCTAGTTTCAACATATTTGAAGCAGATATTAATTGGCCACTATATACCTATTTTATTTTATTTTAATATATATTATTTTTATTCAAGAATATGTGAGAGTTCTTTGTATAATACGTCAATTTTGTGTGACTTATTGAAAATTTTCTTGAAATATATGTATGAAACATGAGAAATATGTACAATATGAGTATTTTATATATATATATTTTTTAAACGTGAATTTTACCGAGTCTTTAACACATGTACAGAACACGGATGCAGTATTGAAAAATACTTATGTGTATAATAGAGTATTAAACGTGGAAATGCTAAATTCTTTATATGGGTAAAAACTCTGGGAAAGTAAAAAATTAAAATGGGACAATAGACAAAGACTCGAATAATAGCCTAATAGTCATGGATTCTAAACTATCCTTATCGATAAACAAAAATAGGGGATTAAACTTAAATGAAAAAAAGATCCAAATATATATATAACGAGTATAATCAATCGGCTATATTATTTATTTTTAAAAATAATAATAAAATAAATAAATAAATAAAAAGTAAAGCCGGGCGCTATACTATTTTTTTAAAAAAAATTGGGAAAAAAAATCGAGTACAGCCGTCCGGCTATACTATATATGAAAAACATAGTTGCCGCTTGGCGCCAAGTTGCCTACGTGTCAAAAAGGTATAGCCGGGCGGCTATACTATTTTTTTTAGAAACATTAGTAAAACCAAATATCGCCGCACGACTATACAATTTTTTAAAAATAAAAAATCGAGTATGGCCGCCCGGCTATACTAATTTTTGTTTGGAAAAGACGGCTCCGTAGCAATTAGGTGCCCGCGTGTCAAAACAAGTATAGCCACCCGGCAATACTATTTTTTAGGAAAAAAATCGTGGTATAGCCTCGCGGCTAAACTATGTGTCAAAAAAGGTATAGCCGCGCGGGCATACTATTTAATTTAAAAAAGTAAGAAAAAATGGTGTTGCTTGTCCCCAAATATCACTATGAACAACCTCAAATGGTGTTGCTCACTTTGAAGGCACCAAAGAAAAAGGAAGCTTAGTAAATTTGCCTTTTAAACAGGACTGACAAACAACAGAATCAGTAGTTGAACAATGGAATTGGTGTAGTGCCACAAAGTGGAAGTATTACTTTTCGTCCAAGAAATGCAGTTGCTGAAGAAACAGAAGAAGATGAGGAAGGAGAAGTGGAGAATGGTAGTGGATACAAGCCATTATTGCTCAGGCGTCAGAAAAAAAACCCTCCCTGTGATTTTGTCATGTATACATAAAGATAGCTCATCAAATATGCATCGACAATGATTCTCTTTGCATAATTGATCAACTGATAGAAGACTACTAGACTATTTAGGAACATGCAGAATTGTATTAAGCCGGAAAGTATGATTAGAGGTAGACAAAGTAGAAGCCCCAATGTGAGAAATTGCAAGACCTTCATCATTGGCCGCAGTAATAGCTTCAGAACTGGTATAAGGAGAAGCAACAGACAAATTATTCATATCAGCGGTCATGTGGTTTGTTGCACCATAATCAGCAATCCAAAAATCTTGAGGAGAATTAGCCTCAACAGAACTCATGGGAGGAACATTTGCGGATGATGGATAACCACTATATCTGTAAAAACAAGTGACAGCATTATGATTTGTCGTCCAACAGATTTGACAGCGTGCAATCAGTCTGAGGAGAAGCGGAACGATAACGAAATGTAGCAGCAATATGTCATTTCTTATTGCAAATTTGGCAAATAGGAACAGAGTGAGAAAAGTGAAATTGCTGAAAATGAGGTTTAGCCGGGCCCAAGAATACCATAAGAGGAAGGAAAATAGCCTTCCCGAGATAACGAACACCATTGTTGTGAGGAGGTCCATTGTTATAGAACGTGTTGCCCTTACCCTTGTGATGAAAAGAAGAGCCTCGGTTCCCATTATTTGGTTGATAAGGAAAAGCAGGGGCTGAAGGAGCAGAGTATGGCATGGGAGGTCCAGATTGAGGAGACATACCAGAGAGTGGAGGAGGAGAAAACCCCATATGCGTAGCAGCGATAGCAGACATAAAAGGAATCTGTCGAAAAGTCTCTTCAATTGTAGCCTCCTCAGCCTTGAGCTGGGACTGAAACTCCTTCAAAGAGATGACATTTTCACGGCCTCTAATTATAGCTTTAATGTTATAATCAGAGGGTAAGCCTTTCAGAGCAAGAATAACAACATCTTCATCAGAAATAGGAACACCAACTGCTGACAATGGATCCCTCGAATCCTTGATTTTCTGCAGATATTGATCAATAGACTCAAGACCCTTCTTCATATTCTGAAGATCAGTCTGTTCTAAAAAAATAATAGTTTTCATCTTCCGTAAAGCCAAATACAAAACATTTATATTATAAATAATATATAAATAAATTGGAAAGTTTTTGAAGGTATAATGAAATTGAAGAAAACAAAATAATAGGTAAGTAAAAGAAAAATAAATAATAAGTAAGAAGGTGAGTTTGGTACGGTGAAGCACGTCAAAGACGTTGTCCTAAAGCCTTTGTAGCCTCCCTACGTGCAGGTACTGACGGTCTACAAGACTCCAAGATACCCCTTGTACACGAACTCAAGATCTGCTATGAGCACATTTATAGACAGATATAGGTATCCAAGTCACATAACCATTGCCCAAAATAATAATAATATAAAGTAGAGAATATATGTAAAAGTAGAAAATGAGAGAATTAGAATGTGTATGTGATATTCTGATAGTGTATTGTGTGTCTTGTGTGTGTATTAAATGTGAAGGAGGAGTGACATTTTATAGGCATTCGAAACATGTAACCTTCACCAACCATAAAAGTTCATCAACCAAAAAATTAAGGCATTTACCAACCAGAAATAAAGCCTGAATATTAAATATTTATAACCCTCACAATAAATAAAATAAAAAAGCCAAAATAATTAAATAAATAAAACGGTTAAAATTTTAAAACCTTTTAAAATTCCAACACAGTCTTCATCTGAAAAATACTTGTCCGAGTAACATTAGCAAACCATTCCTTGAGATTCATCCACATGTCTTGAGATGTCTGACTAGACACAAGAAATAGCAGAGGGAGAGAAAGTAACAGTGATTAAGGTCATCAATGCAATTAAATATATTATATTTAAAGGGTATAGCCGCGTGGCTATACTATTTATTAGAAAACAATTAAATTAAAAAAACTCACAATATATCACATTATTCCTAACGTCCACTTCACTTTCATTCAAAACCCAGAACAGCTCCCTCATACTAGTATAGCCATAAATCTTTATTTGAATTGTTGTTCTTTTTTGCAAAGAGATTGCAAAATCACCATCTTTTATTTTTGTTCCAACAAATAAGAAATAATCTTAGCATATTCTATTCGACAAAAATTTGGCAAGTTAGAACTGAAAAAGTTCGGTCACTATATAATATTTTAATTTAAAATTTAAATATTTTTAAATATATATTATTTTTATTCAATAATATGTGAGAATAACGTGTATAATACGTGAATTTTGTGTGTATTATTAAAAATTTTGTAAAAAAGACGTGTATTAAACATGAAAATATGTACGTACATGTACAATACGTGTTGCTTTTTAAAAAAATATGTATTTTACCTAGTCTTTAAGATGTATACAAAAAATACATACATACATGTATAATACGAGTATTAAACTAGAAAATGTTAAATTCTTTATACGCGTAAAAACTCAGTAAAAGTAAAAACTCAAAAGGAGACAATAGAGACTTGGGTACTGGCCAAATAGTAAGGAATAATGCTCCAAACTACTCTTATCAATAAACCAAAAAAAAAAAGGTGTTTAAAGAGTGTCGCTCGGCGGCTATACGTGGGTTTTATTTTTATTTTTATAAGTCGTATAGAGTTGAGGGACTACGCATCAATTTTGGAAATTTTAAGACCAAAATAAGAATTATGTACAAATTCAGGGATTATTTCACCTAAGAACCCCAAGAATTTTGAAACTTTGTTATATATAGTAAAGATTAGGAATTATGCACTCAAACCCAAACCCCTTCATTATGATAAATTAATGTTACAATCACAAAACCACCTACTATTACAAGTTTTTTTTTTTGGTCAACACCTACTATTACAAGTTCACTCCTACTCTACAACACATGAATCTATTTATTAATATTATATCCTATAATTTTTTGCATTTATACAACCAGAAGCCCAAAAAAACAAAGTAATTTTAAAAAAAGCCTCAAAGAAAATTCAGCAAAGATATGATCAGCTTCCCCCATCTCTTTAATAAATCCGTAAATAGCTTCAACTTTCGGATTCTTCTTTTTTAAAAACATAAAGTTGGCCTTTCACTGGAGATGCTCAAGAGCTTGGATTTTGGACTTGGAGATTCCCTGGACCATTTTGGGGGGATGATTTTGTAATCCTGTGTTTTAATTTTTTATTTTTAACAAATAGTATAGCCGCCCGGCTATAATAATATTTTCGAAGCGTATAGCCGCACGGCGGTACTGTTGAAATACAATAGTTCAAACAGTAAAGCCGATCGGCTATACTTGCGTTTTATTTGTTTAAATAAATATTATAGCCGCACGGAGTATAGCCACCCGGCTATACTAGAGCAACTGTTCATTGAACCTTTCTCTTTGATTATGATGCCTCATCAGAAAGGAGCAGTTGCTTTCAGTTTGCCCAAATCAGTTTCTCCACATTTCGTTCCTTGTTCCATTGCTATTATATTTAGAGAGAAAGAGAGAGAGGTAGAGATGGCGGGAGTGGGTGGTGCTGTAGGAGTACTGATATTGGACGAGTCTCTACTTTTGGTACGCTACTACTACTACTTCTTCTTCTTCCAATTCTGCCTAATTCTTCAACATTTCACATCACTCTCTCTCTCAGGTGAATTTTTGAATTTTTAATAGTAGATTTTGTGTTTATATATATATATATATATATTTTTTTTTTTGTGCTTAAAGTTTTGATCTTTTTGTTCATATGCATACAGTGTATTACATGATTGGGTTAAACACTAAGAAAAACTTTACAGCCTACATTTTTCAACACTAATCACTCCAGACACCCTGAAAATTTTCATGGATGACTCATTGCAAGACCTTTAAGGACGTCTTTAAGAATCAGCCATGCAATTACCATTTCCATGTTTAGTGTATTGCAATTGTTTTGCTGTTGTTTCTTTTGAAATTATTTATGGCTGTTTGAATTGCACATTTTTACAAGTTTGGATTTTCTCTTCTCTCTCTTCTTCCACAATCTATTTCCCATTTTGGTGTAATACAATTGTTTTTATGTTAACACAGCAATGTGAAGTACATTTGACACTTTGGCAGGGGCTGAGGAAGCAAAGCAAGACTTCCAAGAGATTGTATGAACTAGAATTTGGACTCCGTATCGTACGGTCGTTTAAATTGTTGACTAGGGTATGATAATCTTCAATTGAAACAGATTAATAGAATTTGATTTTTATTCCATCTCTGCTTTCGCTCACCTAATTTTCGTTTGGTTTTTGGCATCCGCAGATGGTTTTACTTTAGTTTCTAACTTTGCTAAAGCATGAACAAGACTTGCGAGACACCCTGCAATTCCTTTTCCTCTTAGGTAACGCTCTAATTTCAGTTATGGGTTACATGAATGTTCGATCATGTTTTCCTTTTTATCTATGCTAGTTGGATTTCTCTGTGCACTTCATATGACTTTTTGGTTGTATTTTTTCCTGCACTGCATTAAGTTTAAGTTTCGTGCTTCATGAATAGTTACACTGTTAGAATCTAGGAATTGAATCATTTGCTTCAATTGGGTAATCCGTAATTGTCATCATAAACTTTGATTTGTTGTATGTTGAGGCTTTGTGATTATATGGGTGTTGTACTTCATTAAACTTACTGTCTAATTTTATTTTATTTTCATTATACTTCATGTGTTTGCCCCTTTTCTACAACTTGGCAGATGGATGGAGAGAGATTGGGATTTAAACTACTCTTATCGGTAAAAAAAAAAAAAAAAAAAATTTAAAAAAAAAAAAAAAAAAAAAAAAAAAAAAAAGTACAAAGAGTATAGCCGCCCTACTTTTAAAGGAGTTTTACTAAAACACCCAAAATGAGGGCTGAAATTATAAAAAAAACTCAACACCCAAAACACTTTATAAACACACCAAAAACCCATCATTACACACACTCAAAACCCATTTATAAACACACCAAAAAAATATACAATTGTTGATTTTGGGGTTGATTTTGGGTGTGTTTCTATGTTTAAATAGTGCTTGGGTTTTTTTTTTTATAAATACATGTCTAGGATTGGGTTTATTTATAAATTTGTATACTTGTAAACAGTATAGCCGCGTTATATGTTCAAAGAGTATAGCCGCCCAGCTATACTTGGTTTTATTTTTATTTTTTTTTAAAGAGTATAGCCGACGGCTGTACTGTTTAAATATAATATAGTCAAAGAGGATAGTTTAAAGGATATAGCCACGCGGCTATACTATTTATTAAAAAACAATGAATAAAAACCTCCGATCATTTTACAATCACACAACCACCTACTATTAGAGCTTTGGCAGTAAGGGGCCCAGGGGAGGGTTGGGGGGGGCAAACCCAAAATGTGGTTTCCAGCAACAAGAAGCTGACAGGGCAAGCAATGGGGCCCACATACCTGGGTTGGCCCGAGCGCCAGCCCACGGGCTGTGTTGATGTCATTGCGCTGACGTCACAATGACGTTAGCGATGGGTTTAAATTTTTTAAAAGCTGGCGCGTGCAATGCACGCGCCAACTTTAAAAAAAATTTGACGTGCCACTACAGTGACCGCCCAACGACTCTCTTTCACGTGTCTTCTGCTGGGCCATCAGATCAACTTTTTAAACATATCCAACGGCAGCCATTTTTTCGCGAATAAAAAAATCAAAAAAGCAACCCCCAACGGTTCTATGCCACGTGGAAGCTCCTGGGCTCTCCGATCATTTTTTTCCAGCAATCCATCGGCATGCAATTTTTTGCTCAATAAAAAAATCAGAAAAAATTTTAAAAAAATACGAAAAAAAATACTGAATTTTTTTTTTTCTATAAATACCAACCAATACTCTTCACTTTTAACACCAACAACCAATATTTTTGTAATAAAAAATTGAAAAAAATACCAAAAAATTATTTTTTTTTTTTTTTTTTCTTTACTCTTATTTCCATTTTCAACATTTAAGTAAATGTCTTTGTCCTTTTACTTTTATTTATTTTTATATTACTCAATTTACTTAAGTTTGCAATGTAAATAAGGAAGTACCCCCATTTGGATTCAAATAAAAATACTAGAAAATCAAATTCCCACCAAATCAAAATATGAAAAATCGGTTTTAGTGCAAAATACGATTTAGGCTAAAAATGATGGCTCATTAAGTCAATATATACTTCATATTAAAATCCCATAAAATCAAGTTTTCTTATTTGATGTGTAAGGAATAAAAGCCGCCAAAAATTTTCTTGAGAAAATGATTATTTCGAAAAACCATTTTTCATACTTAGTTAATATTGCACCTCGCTAAAAATCTTGAGAAAATGATTTTTCATACGTAGGAACCCAAAAATCTTATCCGAAAATATTATCCAAATTAATTGTTTAAGTAACAAAGTTGTGAAAAAAACAAAAAAAATGAATAATATTTGCCATGGCAAGCCTAAACTGCTGGAAACACACTTTGCTAAGGGATGGTAGGGCAAGCACTATTCACGTGAATAGCAGCTGCCCTAGGGCTCCCCTTGCCATTGCAAGGGGCTAACTGGTGGAAGTGCTTTTACAAGTTCACTCGTACTATATAACACGTGAATCTATTTATTAATATTATATGCTAGAATTTTTTGCATTTATACAAATAAACACCCCACCCCCCCCCCCCCCCCCCACCCACCCAAAAAAAAATTTTTGAAAAAAGCCTCAAAGAAAAGTCAGCAAAGATATGATCAGCTTCCCCCATCTCTTTAATAAATCGGTAAATAGCTTCAACATTCGGATTCTTATGTTTAGATCAAATACATGTGTGGAAGAATGCTGAAGAATCATTCCAAAAACCTGCTTGATCATCTCCAGTGAAGGCCAACTTTATTTATAATAAAAAATTCGAGGACTACTGCTTGTTGCGAGGAAAAAAAAAGAAGTTTAGATCTTTCTCCTAAAGCTTGGATTTTGGACTTGGAGATTCCTTGGACCATTTTGGGGGGATGATTTTGTAATCCTGTGTCAGCTTTTCCTCTTTCTTAACTTCATCTTCTTCTAAAACGTCTTTCGAAAAGGCATGAGGATTAGCTTTAATACACTTCTGCAAAACTACAAATGGATGCACGCAATCTGATCCCTACAAAGAAAAAAAAAGGAAAATGAAAAAACATTCATGCTAATTACACTCGGGGAGAATTCAGAGATTCAATAGCAATAGTTATTAGAATTTATATATTTACTTCCACCTGAAACAGAACCATCTGATGATAGTAAACTTTATGGATTTCCAACTTATGACCATCAGAATGGTAATAACTAATGGAGAAAAAGACATCCACTTGATTACATTATCAGTAGATAGTAACTAACCAAGCAATAGAATCTATTTCACACCATAATCAGAATTGGCAAAGATCAAATTTCAAGAATTTGTCATTTCGCAGAAGGGTAGAAAAGAGAGAGTGAAACATGAAAAATGTCTTCTCAAAATTTACTCCTGATCTCCAGTCCCTTTGGTGGCTAGATGGACCGTTAAATCAAACCAAATGGATGTATTTTCCATTTTAAGACTACTATAAGGTGAGAGTCTAGAAATTTAGGCCAACAGCGATAGTTTTCAGAAGCATGTCCTAGTACCAACTCCAATTTTGAGGCAATTTGGTTCTGGCATTCTAATTTTACCACCTTCTTTTCCTTTTCTTTTTTCATGATAATAACTTCTAGTTATGACACATTCTGTTACATGTTACATCACATTCAAGTAGATAATAAGAGTTGATAAATATGCGGAATAATATGCCAGAATGAGATACATAAGAGTTGATAGTTGTGCTTGTGCCTGTTTGCACAACAAGGAGCAAAGAAATTTTATTTAGTGATAGTTGGACGTTACCTTTTCTTCCACTGTACTCTTAAGATAACAGACAAAAGCCTCTGAAAACTGAAGCCCACAAGGGCCACTTCGTAAGTCAGCTATGCAAGGGCATTCCAGTGCCTTCTGAGCCTTGGCATCAAGAGACTGCAAAATGCATAGTTCAACACCTTTAAGATAGCCAAACTTAATTAAAAAGGAAGTCGAAAACAAATGTCCACCGTAACTTTTATAAGTTAATAAACCTATGACCTACAAATACCCCACCCGCCCCTTTAGCAGAAACAAGTTTGTCTTTAAAATGGACCAACCTCATTCCCATCATTGCCATATGCTGCAGCTTCTGAAAATGCACAACATAGCAGGAATGTCAAGTATTAACTAGCAGATGGTGAAAGAAACAATGTCCCAAAAATTAAGGAATGATTCGAATACTATAATACGAGCTGAAAAACATTATACAGGAGGGTGTAGGGGCAAAATTAAAGAAAACTTTCTCTACTTACTAGTGTGCGAAATCAGTTGCAAAACTTATGTGAAATGAAAGAAATGATCCACCTTTTTTGTTCCACTAATCATGCAAAGGGTTGTAATAAGAGTTTCGTCTGTTGCAAGATTTTGGTCTATTAGGTGGCCTATGGTTGTCTTTCCTAGATGATATAGCAAAGTGAAAATTTTACATAAAGGACTTATTCCGCAAATATTCAGATTGCTATAATAGATCAATTCCTACAAATTCCGCATAAATGAGGATAGAAGGACAATAGAAGTCACCCTTTATTATCAAAGCACAATCAGAAATCGAAAATTATTATCACATCATCAAACAGTTCAAAACTAGAGACGGTGACAAGAAACGCTGTATAATACACAAATTTACAGAGATCGGAAGGAGAGAGAGAGGTACCTGCGATAAGAGAGTCCATGGAAGAAAAGGAGGGAGAAGCGGACGGTGCAGCGGAGGAGACCCAGTGGCCTTGTTGGTCCACTGTGGCTGCCTCGCTTTGAACTTGACCCATCGTCTCCGTCTCTGCTACTACAATAAGCAGCAATCTTCCAGTTAATAAAGTCATGGATCGAGTTGACCAAAAAAAGTCATGGATCGAGACTCAATCAACCAAGAGATCGTTCCCGCTCAAATCCTACACGTTTTCTGATCCAGCTGATAGCCCATATACTAGGCTTCCTAGCCCACCCAATATTTACCATTTCTCTTGTTTCTTGTTTATAAGGAAAGGGTTGGGCCTGTCCTCAGGTTTAGCCCCAATCCATTTAAATAATTATTATAGTGCCTCTAAAATATTGGTCAAATCTTACCTTGTTTCATGTGAAAGTTAAAGTGACCCACTTTGCCTCTTTATCAATGTTTAGTGTGTCACTTTACCCCTTACTGTCAACTCTATCTCAAAATTGTTGACGTAAAAAGGGTATATTAGTAATTTTGTCCTACAGATGAGTTGTAAAGCCCACATACGAAATAAATGGATTGAAATTCTCAATCTCAAAATAAAATAATAAATTTTTGAAAGCTAACCCCTGTTTTGCTAGAAACACTTCCCTACATGGTTGTATTGCCCTTTCTTCCTATCTCTTTCATCATGTTATTTATTATAATAGGAGAGAAATAATAAGGGACTTGTAAGTTGTAACTGAAGTGATTAAGAGTTGTCATTGCTCAACCCAATGTATTAAAAGTTATCTTTTAGTCGTCAAACTCTCAAATCAATCAATATAATCTTTCATCTTTTGATTTACATATCAATTTGGTCCATGATGTCACATTTCGACAATTTTTTTGATACATTTAGTCTCTTGTCATCATTGGTCTATTTTCATCTAAATATAATTCATTTTAGTCCTAAAACTCAAGCTTTATTTTCTCAAATTGGGTTCTCACATTAGGGTGCATTAAGGAGAGCATCTATTATTTATTGAGCAAAATATGTGAGATTTAGTGTTATAAGTAGATACATTATACTTTCACAAAAATACCCTTCAAAAAGTTGGTGAGGTGATCAAATTTAACGAAGATTTTGACGAATCAAAAGGATCAAACTAATACATAAACCAAAAAAATGTAAGTTGAAAGACTCAAATGAAAATTTATGAAAAATTCAAGACCAATAGTGATAAATAATGTAGAATGCAACAAAGCGTTTTGCACACATTGTCAAAAAAAATAAAAATAAATAAATACAATAAAATTAGTTGAGAAATTTTGGAATTGCATTCATAATTTAGCCAAAAAAAGGCATTGTAAGGGCTTTTCGTTCCGGCAGCTACTACTGGCATGAGCTGCCGTAAAGAGCAAAAATGAATGAAATTGCCCCTTGAGCTTGAGTTCGAAGATCAAGCCCCAAAAATGCTTCGAAAGGGCAGTAGAGCCTTAGGAAGCATCTTGATTATCTTCACTAACCAAAACAACAGCAACTTACAGATGATTTCTTAATGCTTACAGATAAATTTTCTAGCTTGGCATGAGAAGCTTGTGGCATGGGAGCAAAATTGTCATGAGTTTAGCACTAAAGAGAAAATTAAGTGTTCCTAGGGGAAATATGAGGTATTAAGGTTGGAGAGAAAGGATTTTGCAGAGAGGTTTGGTTGAGTATGAGGAAAAAGAGAGAAAAAGATGGCTTGAGTGTTTTTCTGGCAGCTTGACAGAGTCTCTGTCAAGTGTTAGAACAGTTTGCCAAGAGGGAAAACTAAGGGAAAAGGATGAGCTGAGCACGAAATTGCTGGGTTTTGAGAGTAAGAGATGAAGCTTGCTCTCTGATGTGGTTAATGCTTGTTGGGTAGAAAATGCCCCCTTTTATAGTCGCCGGAAGCCATCATTTTCTAAGAAACCCTAATAGATTCTATTTAATTTGACCAAGTCTTTTCCTTCATTTATCCCATTATCTCTTCAATCATCCTATTTTGGTGAAATCCACTATGCCCATTTGCACAAGATCAGAGATTTTTGAGAGCTCAAGGCCTCCTTTCCCGCGGTTGTTTCATACTCCTATTTTCAACCATCTCATTCCTTTCATTTCTTCCTTTTTTTTTATGGCTAGGTCTAATAAGGGAAAGAGAATGGGTATGCATGCTGGTTCAAAGGGTGATCTGGGCTCCAATATCTCTTGGTCTCTTGGATGTTTTTCTTGAAAACTTGTTCCTTCCTTCCCAGCAACCCACGTGGTCTTCCAAACCCCTTTGTGGCTTTATCTTTCAGCAAAAAGATGGAGTCTTTGCTGCTTGCTACTTCTAATTGTATGGGTCTTCTAGGATAGGAAGTCAACCTACCAAACAAATGGGCCACCTTCATCAAATATTGGGCTATAGGGGTTAATTTTAGTGGACCATTTTGATTGGGCTTTTTGGTTGGGTTATTTTCCCTTTTGTGCTCACCCATATATTTAGGCCTAAGAAATGAGCTTGGGTTCTGAGGCTCCCAAGCAACCTGAAACCTCAATTTCTCAACCAATCAATGGGCCTTATGACAACTTATTACCATCTATACCACAACCCACTCAAGCAAGCTCCCGACATCCTGCGTGCCTTGGGCCCATTTAAGCTTGTAGCGTGGCATGTGTGCAAAGCATATATGACGAACTTTCACGTGCCCAAATCAGGTTTCTTCTTGATAAGGTATCACATTGGGCCGAGAATTTATTTGGACAGAATCGTGGATTTTTTGGGCATCAACAAGCATTAGTCACAAAAAGCCAATACAAACTAGTCACAAAGTGCAATTACAATAACGAAGTGATCTAACATCAAAATTAAAAAAATCTCGGGCTCCTCCACTAACGATTACACATGATCGAAGAAACTTTGGAATAAACATCTCAAATAAGAGTGCAAACTCATAATAACTAAAAAATAAATAAAGTTTGAAAAAATCAAGTCATAACACTACAAATAAAACTCTGAAAATAGATATACATTGTCAATCTTTTAAACATCTGAAAATTTTCTTTAATAGTACAATCGATAGTCTAAATTACAAGGTATGGAGATTTCTCACACACACACAACTATGATGTCGTAGAAATTCGAACCTAAGACTTTCGTCTGCAAGTTAATATTTTTTTTTTCATTGGGCTAGACCTACGCTAGATTCTTAGACATAAGCAGTGTCCGAACCACGTCGTGTAGGCTCCAAGCTAAACTTCGGTTACAATTTAAAAATAAAATAAAAAAGACGTCGAGAAGGAAAAAGAAGGAAATTGTGGGAAAGGGAAGAGAGACGGAGGAGGTATCTGCAAACAAATCAAGAAACGTCGGCATTGGCAAGGATGATATGATATGATGATATCATTTAGATTATTATATCGATGAGAAGAAGAAGAAGAAGATAAAATAAATAAAATCATGGAGAATGCAAAGTTGGGAATGTTGGACGGTTTCTTGACGACGACGAGAAGCCATCATAAGTCCCTGAAATCCCTTTTCAGCCGCAACAAGTCCAATGGAGATGACCAAGACTCCCCTTCCTCCGCTGTCAATTCTCCAAAACCCATTCCTCAGCTCTCTACTTTGGCCAATTCCGTCGTCTCCCGCTGTTCCAAGTCATTCTCTTTCTCCCCTCTTTTTGTTTTCTCATATCTGCACATGTATATACCGCCTTTATTTTTCTCATCTTCATTCATTTATATCTATTGGTTTGCGTATTTATTTTCGTTTACATTAGATCGAGAAACAAAGATTGCTTTCATTCCTGTTACATGCATTTCATATGGGTCGCAGTTGTTTTTCATTTTGTGCTACGTTCTAAGTCTAAGAACCAGCACCACATTCGGGCTTCGTTTGTTTTGTCAATTGTATATAAACAAAATGCGGCTATGAATGTCTTAATAAATTTTCCTTGATTTTAAGAATGCTGGGTGTCTCATAACACATTACGTTGTCTGGATGTTACAAATTGTGTATCTGAATACCTCCTCCTTGATTTCGATTCGTTGTGTGCTGGATTACATGCAATCTTACATCAAACTCCCAGCCATCTAAATCTGTCTCTTATGCCTTTTAAAACATTGCACGTCCCCATAATTTTTTTCTCCTAATATTAGGTCGCTTTAGAACATCGAAACTACTTTTCCCTTTACTTTGTTATGCCTGGAGAGTGCCTTCACATGGTGAAGGAAAATATGTTTCTGAAATTTTTTGCATCATAACCAAATGGATGCTTTGATGCTTTTTATCTTTGATTGCTTAATGGTATTGCACTATGTCAACCACATCTTCAAATCCCAGTGCACAACAGAAGTTGGCTGAGTTAAAACCATTTTTTACAGATACTTCATAACTTGTACCTGCACTTTCGGCAGAGTAACTAACCATTTTTTCTTGTTATTTTTCCGTTTGCATTATAAAAAGAAAAAAAAGGTACAATAAATGTTCCCGTTTACTACTTCTGCCACTATTACTATTGTCATCATCATCTTCATCAAACGCTAAGCATTACATTAATGAAATCCTTAGATTTCCTTAAGATAGTGAGCATGTACTGCTCTGTATTGCTTTATTGTCTAACCTTGATCTCCTGGTGACATCTGTATACATATGCATTTATGTCCCTTTGTATATACTCTCCCCAACTGTTATAGCAATCTGTCTCCTAGTAATCTTGAAGCTCAATGCATTTCATGCTGCTGCAGGATTCTTCAAATTCCTACCGAAGAATTACAGCATCATTTTGACACACAGCTTCCTGAGAGTGTTAAGGAACTTTTGACTTATGCTAGGAATTTTTTGGAATTTTGCTCATACCAAGCACTCCATATAGTGTGTTGTCGCCCAGATTATTTGAGTGACAAGGAGTTCCGTTGTATGACATTTGATATGATGCTTGCATGGGAGTCACCCAGTGTTGAGAGTAAACCACAAGACAAAGTGAGGCAGCCCCTCATTGTTATTTAAGATTTAAATTTTTTTTTGTTTCCCAATAATTGGTCAGAAACTCTAAAGTGTTGGTCCTAAGTTTTATCTTCTATTTTTGTGAACAATCTTCAACTGTAGGAAACTGCTTCTTGCAGTA